TTGCGACGAGAGAGAGAGTAGGAATATATCATTATTACAAAATTTACGACATATTTGATATGTAAAATTATTGCATAAAAAAAGAAATCTATTTTTGATAAAACTATTATTAGCTGAGATAATATTTCAATTAAAATTCTGAGTTTAAAATTAAACTAAACATAAATTGAATATACTTTAAGATAAAACTTGCAGAAATCGTGAGTTGTAATTAGTTAAAGAGACAGCTGTTAGTCTTTCTTGAAATCAAGTGGAACAAGTTTTTAATTTACATATTCAAACAAAATTATTGACGGTTGCGTATGTGTATGTGTTACTCTATGAGAAAACTGGGTGTTTCATTATTTATATATTTTTAAATAGAGATATATACAAAATATTCTAAATATTACATATGTATTTTTATCTCACTCTCAATCAGTTTTACATTATTTTGTAATCGAACATTTTTTTTGCAGAAAAAATAAAAAATTTCAATATTAATTTTTAAAGAAATTATTCAAAATTAATGAAATTAAATAAAAAGGAGAAATTGTTTTTTGTACTACAATTTGGAAAAGTCAATTTCGTGAAATGAATATTGTCCCCATTGTAAATAGTTTCTGGCAGCGCGCAGTCAATTAATTTTCGCCTTCATATAAAGCGAAAACTAATTGACAAATGTGACAATTTAATATATTGTCATAGATTTTTTTTCCCCCGAAGAGATTGGATAATTCGGTAGTAGGCGAGAAACTCTTAGGTAAATTATTTTGTTTGCGCATAAAATTGCCTCATCCGGGGTATTAATCTCAAATAGACTTTTATCTAGATAATGCCTATGGGAAATCGTTACGGCAATCGTAACTCCGTCATATTGCAATCGCTCACGGACGAATGGCACTTACGATGTATGCTAAATATATATACATATATACCATAAATGATAGCCGGAGTTTTTATATATATTTGTTGCTCACTGCGTTTATTTGGATATATCTTTTCATTTTATTTTTATTACTTTTATTGAAAATAATTATTTTTTCAAAGAGATTTTCTAATTAATAAAAATAAATCATTTTTCCCGAGGAAAAAATTGATCCTTGAAATTCATCTCCAGGGTGAAAATTTCAACGGCATTAACGAGGGTGTGTTTCCTATAAAGCTCTTGATATTCTAAACGATTGATTCTAATCGCATTCATAACGCGACAAAAATATATATTACGGTAACGCTCCTGGTAACGACACAAAGAGTTAGATTTTACTTTTAGTTTCGAAAATGGGATTACGGAGTGGGGCAGGCCTTGGCACACTTTACACACCGAGACACGCTACTAACAGACAAAGATAGAATGAGATAGAAGGAGAGAACGCTTGAGCAAAAGAAAGATAGTAGAGAGAGAGAGAGAGATAGATAGACTCGCACGTGCTTATACTTGCGACAAATATTACGAGAATTGCAGGTACGATATACATTATACCTATGATTAATTTACATCCTTTTTTTTATTTCTTAATTCTTATTTCGATGGTGTCCCTCTGTTCTTGAAAAAAAAAATTCTTTTCGAAAATATTGATCGTAGATTTCTCTTTTTCCCCGAAAAAAGAGTTTCGCTTCTTATCTGACTCATCTTAATGGTGGTTTTAGGCAAATGTTATTCGAATTTGTTCTCAAAAAAATATTTTCTTACTTTATACTTAAAAAAATATTTTCCGAATAAAATTTTTACAAAGACAATGGATATTTTTAATATGGAAATATTTGGAAAGAAGTTCATATTATATCCGCAACCGCAAACTTTGTCATTATTTTTTCTTTTTGTTCTGTTATGATTTCCGGTTACGTATACTGGTGTAAAAAAAAGTGAAGAAGTAGGCTTATAGCGAGAGAAAAGAATAAAATGGTGAATCGCATGTTTTAACATTTTTAAAAATATATCTCGTTCTCCGGCGTGTCTGCTTTAGGGACTTTTCGTTTTTGTAGGTCAGGGCTTTCACTTTCGTTTCGGCGTATTCTTTTTTCAACATCCGCCCGTACTCACTCTTTCGCTTTCGATTGACCCTTTTTCAAGAGACTATATATAAAATGTATGGTTAAAGTACACGAATTCGATTACGATCCACTTCTCATTCTTTGATGATCCCCCTAAACTATACTCTAATACCTAAAAACTTTCGCGAAGAGAAGCCTTTTCACGCAGGTGAATAAAAAATGAAAAAAAAAAAAAGAAACGAAAGAAAGAACGAATCAAGATCAGAACCCGAGTACCTGCTGCTATCAAGCAGGTACGAAAAATTTTGCGCCCACATATAATATAAAAGTGGTCTCGTCGTTTGTGTATGTGTGTAACATAAGACGAGAAATAGTTTTCGATCGATTCACGGAACTCTTTAACGTTCCCCTTTGCCCTTTCCTGTCTCGAGGGAGAAAGATATCGAAAATCATCCTTGTAAAATAATTCCACAGGTGTCTGCGAGAATAATCCATTGAGGGCTATATTAGTTGTTTAATTATACTTCCATTTTTAGACGCAAGGTTCAAAATTATTTATATATATTTTTATCATTTCTAAAGGGAATTGAATTGTTTTCTTTTTCTATATATATTGTTCTATATTTATTATATGTATGTGTATATACTATAAGTCTGAAAAATCTATCACGTCAGATAAATAAATACATAATTCATTCACTTAGAATCTTATTTAGGTTAAGAGCACTTACGATAATCAAAATATCGATTAAACTTCACCAAGTGCATTACCTATAGGTCCGAAGATTATACTCTCATTACAGCATACTTTTATTGCTCGATATATTTTTTTTGCCATTTGCGAGGTTAACATTTGCCTTCAAAACAAAATAAGGGAAATTTTCATTTTTTTTTTCTGTTAATCGTATTTGTGTCACATTACCCCACATAATTGAAACGATAGACTAAAAATAAATAAATTTCCTCCGATTCTTTAAAAATAGAGACGAACTCGAGAAAATTTGAAACTTCACAAAAAAGTGCAGTACTTTTATTTTGTATAAAAAAAATCAGTTATTTATTGAAAATTTCTCCAAGACAAGTATATAATAAAATATTTTGAATTTGAAATACAATTTTCTAATACGTAATTTTTTTTCAAAGATAATTTTTAAATCAATATGCGCATAAAGAATTAGATATAAGGAAAAATCTGAGCAAATTTCCATTCTATAAACCGTATAGATTTGTTTTTTCCTCCTTTGGATTGCATCTCAAAGTTAAAGGATGTGGACACATTCATCAATAAAAAAATTAATTTCATTCAAATAATTAATTACTTGCTTTTTATCAAAATAAATATTTACTTGAACTAAATATGACGAAAAAAAATTTTATTTGATTCAAATAAATATTTCTTCATAATAATCGATTATTTGAATCAAATTTTTTTTACCCTGTCAATTACACCAATCGAGGAAATTGTGTTAAATACACGAAGCACGAAAGATTTATTATTTGTTAAAATTTCACCCCTTTTATAAATGTATAAAATCAATATTTTAATCAAAATAGGGTAATATGGCTTAAAAACGAATTACCGAAATTTAATATTTATTGTGACCTTTTTTTATCATAAAATTCTAATTAACATATAAAAGAAATTTTTGTCAATTCAACTGAAAAATTATGTTATCTAAAAAAAGAAAAAAGCAATGTTATTTAAAAATATTTCGTTCAATATGAGCGCACCATTAAGAATTCTTATGGTGTCTCTGATGAAACTTTGAGAAACTCATTGTCAGAGAAGACAAAATTGGAGAGAAAACACGAGTCGCGCGGATGAAAGAGGGGAATTTTTTGAAATAAAAAGTAAAGTAGCAGCAAAAAAGAAAAAAAAGCAGCGACAAAAAGAAACACACATTGAATTTATGGGGAGAAAACGGATGAAGAAGAGAATCATAAAACGGAAGAAGAGACAGAGAAGGAGAGAGAGAGAGTGTGGAGAGGAGAGTAGAGGAGACGATGAGAAGAAAAAAGGGAGAGTTAAAGACAAAGATGAAGATAAAGGCAGAAACAAAGAGAGAAGAGGCAGTCATAAAGAGGAGAGACAAGAGAGGGGTGTACGCTAGGTAGAAAAAAAAGAGAGAGAGAAATATAATAAGAGGGAGTGAGTCGCGGCTGCGTCATGTTCTCATCGAAGTAGGTCAGTGGGTCTCCCCACCAAGTTTTGATCGCACACGACACTGGCAGACTGTACCATAGACTGTTGGTAAGTACATACAGTGAGAGGCACCGGTGTACTGTCAGTGGGGAGTGCCAACGGCGTTACTGTTGACCCAGCCACAGTCTGAACAACTTTACAAGAGTCGATCTCTTGCCTGCTCTTTGAAAGCAAGAGTTTTCTGTAATTCACCTTCTCTCTAACTGACTCTCTCCCTCAATTTCCCCTCTGGATCGGACTCTCTTGTTATTCTTACGATACACCTATCGCTTTACTATCACTTTTTACATCTCATCACCCACACCTTTCTTCTGCTCCATCATTACTCAAGGTCCTCGATTATTCAAAATCAAATTCAGAAAGCCCGGTTGCAAATTCAAAAAAAAAAAAGGGAAAGTTACGAGTTATTCGCTTCTTTACATTCCATGAAATTTTACTCAACGGGATTTACATATTTTATAGCCGAAATTCAATACTAAAAATGGTAAAATTTACAAGACTCTAAAGAATCATAAATTCCACCGTACTGAATTTAAAGTACAGTAAATTTTACTAAACTTTATTTAAAAGACGGTAAAATTTACCAAACTGATTAATAAAATTTAAAAAAACATTTAATTAACTAAAAGCAAATGGTAAAATTTATTAATTTCTATATTTAAAGAATCATAAATTTCGCCAAACTGAATTTGAAGTATGATAAATTTTACTAAACTAAATGATAGTAAATTTTACAATGCAATTTAATTTTAAGATTTAGTAATATTTTTTAAATTAAGAGAATTTTTTAAAGTAATAAATTTTTTTTTAATTAAAAACTCACCGGTGAAGTAATCCCGCGCGTAGAAAATCATCTTTGGTCCAGATATAGAGTGAAACGTAAACGAGGTGCTTCATTAATGGTCTAATTCAATTTGGAGGATTGGGGCCATTAGCTAACAATCCTGCACGGAAAGTCCACCATGAATTTTCAAAATTTCTAATTGTAAAAACCTGGAAAATAAATTTTTTTTTAGTTTCAATCGTTTCTGACTCAAATGAGAAATATTTTTAAATTCTTGAAATTAAAATTATCATTTTAATTATTACAATTCGATTTTCAATAATATTACTTTAGTCAGTGAAATTCTTTTTATTTACCGTCTGGTCAAATTATATTCGTTTAAAAAATATTTCATTCAATCGATTGCAAATAGGTTAAAATTTTTTTCTTTTTGTGTCTTTTCTCTATTTTCTTTTTTCTCATTATTCAATAAAATTAGGGAAATTTGAGCTTTCGTGACTTATTTCTAAGACAAGAATAATATTCATTAGATTATTTAAATAACATTTGATAAAATTACTATTATTAAATATTGCTTGATATTTATAACAAAAACAAAGTAGGTATTGTATAGTTCGATTGAAATCTGTTAAATAAAAAAAGAAAGAAACAATTTCACCAACTATCGTGATATTTTTTAAATTATGTGAGAAATGTGATAAGAACATTTAATAAGGGACTAAATTGGAAGAGAGAGGAAGTTGTTGGATTAGAATTTAGTGCGCATTAAATTCATTTGGGTCGTTGGTCATGCAAACTTCTAATATTTCAATGTCTATAAATATAATTTATTAGACACGAAAAATATTAAGTATAAAGAAAATATTTTCAATAAATATATTTTCTATTATTCATCTTATTCAATTCAAATTTTATTCGAAAATTTATATTTTACAATAAACTAATAATTACCTAAAAAAATTAGTGAAATTTTTTGTTTTATTTGCATGACAAAAGATATATATATATGTTAGATTTGTGTCATTTGGGAAGAGAGCTATAATAAAGGAAATGTTAAACTGTATATTTATTCATTATTAAGTTATAAGCAAACACTCGAAAGCCTTTGGAGAATTTCAAATAAGATATATTCATTTCTTATGCGAATAACGTTGCAGCCCTAAGTCTCGCACATTCGTCACAGAAATTGACAAACTTCCGGAAAAAGAAAACGTCTTTTTAGTATATAAAACTTGCGGCACCTAACACAAGATATATATTTATAACTTTTTTGTTTTGCGAAAGTTATAATAATAATCTTCATATAAAGTACCAAAGAAAAGAAAAAGTAGACGCTCGAGTCTTACAATATATCTTAAAATTTCTTAAAAGCATTTCTGACATACATATATTTTTCGTTACTGGAGAAAAATTTTCTTGATAAATAACAAAAAATCGAATTATAGTAATGCACTAAAAATGAACTAAAAGCTTGATACATATTTGGGTAAAGAAACTTTTTTAGTTAGGTCAACAAAATTTTATTGAGACAATTAAAACTTTTTGTTAGTCAAATCAAACAAATTGGTTGTTACATTATACTGACATAGAAAAAAAATTAAAACATCCTTTTTTCGTTATTATTCGAATAAAAATATCCGAGAAAATGAGTATGAAAGAAGGTATTTATACTGAAAAGGAACGAAATCAGATTGGAGTAAGGTAATCCTCTTTAGAATATTTAGAATTGATTCGTTGCTTGAGCTCTTCTCACATCCTTTTGATACAGGTTCACTTCCTTTTGATATCAATGGTACTATAGGTTCTCCAGACACTACGTAATAGATGCTTCCCGCGACGAAACATCTGCACCAAAAAGGAGTGTCTTTCATATTATATATATATATTTTTTTTCTTATTGTTGGATCTGTTCAATTGCTTCCTTTCGATAGTCAGAAGAATCCTTTTGACGGGCAAAAAAAAGAAGGAAGGAGTGATGCTTACAAAATTGAAGATCATAAATTATGGATATAGTATGTTACGTAGATTGACCCACTTCTTGACACTAATACCAACTCGATTCTTTCCTTCTGACGAGTTAAATTTGGATCTCCGTGTATATAATCAAACCACAGATGCCATGTGAATATTGGTCTCTTTGGCGCCACAATTCTTCCTTTAAAAGAATTTTTTTTTGTTTCATTTTATTTTCTATAATTGCATTACTTCAATTTTATTTGTTTTATACTTTTTCTTCTATATCATCTTTATTAGAATGATTCTTCAAATATACCTCACATTTCGAGAATGCATTGATATAACGAAAAATATAAATTTTAGATGAGGGGGGAAATAAATAGTTTTCCTCATAAAATATTCTGAATATAAATTCATATCAAGTATAAATTTGAGCAAGACATCCTTGAATTACGTAAAGTTTTTCGTTATTGGAACATTTTGAAGAGATGCTTTCTGATGAGAGAAATCGATTAACTATAACGTCAAAATTGATTTTGATTCTAAAATCCGAATTTAATTTGCTTTACATAGGAACTGTTTAAGAAACACAATCAATTCGCTGAGACCTTCATTTATTACATTCTCATATTTCCTTCAATATATACTTGAAATCTCCTCTAAATTGTCAAATTTGAGGCTGTGGATTTTAAAAGGACCTACGCTCGAATTTACATCACAAGTTAAAATTTTGAAATTTCAATAATAGTCGTTAATTTGATATTGAATGAAGTAAAATTCCAATTTACGATCAAAAAGAAGTTAAAAATTCTGATGATTTTAATTATGCATCTTAATTTGCGAGCGTGTTCCATGCCGATATTTTGAGCATATTGTCATTCCGTTGATTAATAATTGAATTAGCCTTCGCTCATCTATCTATCTCTGACTTGCAATGAGCCCACCACCCCCGCTCGCCTAGGAAGGTACACGTGCTTACGTTGCTCGGCACTTGGGCGATAAAGCTGCCGCCGCCACCACCGCGCGAGTCTCGGACAATATTTCTGCAGCCGACATAGACCTGGTTCCGTAAGTAGGTCAACCCCACCTTCGTTGTCGCGTTCCTCACTCGTCCCCCTTGCCCCCCTGACTCCCAGCCCGATTGCCGCTCGGCTCGTTTCGCGCCACCACCACCAAGCCCCTTGCCCCCACGACCCTCTCCGACAGCCCGAATGATCATCGCCCCTCTCCTCTCTGCACACTGACCCCCGCCTCCTCGGCGGGCACCTGGCCGCGCGCAGTGGCTTACGCTGCTGAATCACTTTCACTTATGCTGTGCACTGTGTTGGTACTGCTGTTCTCCGTCGGTAAGGGGCTTTTGTATGAGCGCGAAATACTCTCCGCGAAAAATAATAATAGGGATATTTTAGTGTAAATTTTGATTTTTTTTCAAAAAAGATCAATTTTTGGAAAGTTAATTGGGTGCCGGTTGTGACCGCAAAAGCGCGTGGGAGCCGCCTTCCAATTTGGAGTGACGTTGTGTACAGGCCGGAGGCACGGATACAGCGGGTCTAGGGTGACAGGAAGGGTGGGGGTGGGCCCTTCAGGAAAAGCAACGAGGCGAGAGACAACAGTCGCACGCAGATCGCCGTGTTGTCAGGCCGTGTTTGAGGGGAATTGAACAGCCACGTTACAGTGCTCCGAAAAAACACACATCTCTCTCTCTTTCTCTCTCATACATTCGTTTTTACTACACGATTCATTTACTTCGGCCTAGTATCTCGTTTATTTATTTAGCCGTTTCTGTTTATTTATAGCTGCACGTCTATTAATAATCAGTGCGAAGTGTCTTTAAAGGAATATCGTCCCGGTTTATTATTTGGTGCATCGTGTGTGATTTTTTTAACATCATCAGGTTTTTTGGATTGCAGTGCTGGAAAACAAGGAGTTATAAAAGAGGTGTCGTTGATCCACAAGTTTGTCGTGACTAATCACATAAATAGTGACAGAGGTTCTCCGTGATTTTCATTCGCGTTTAACACTCACGATAATGACCCGAACGTGTTGCAGATCCTCGAGTGGATACGAAGCTGAAACAGTGCCTTGGTTTCTCCTTCCATGAGATCCGGTGTTTGTCCCATTATCCCCAACCCCTGAATTAAAACACTCTTGTTTTTAACAAAAAAATTATGTGCTAGAACCAAAATTTCAGTAGGAACAAAATATTTAATTTCTTTTAGTGGTCTTTTTGCAGTGCAAGGGGCCAAAAATTAGGAACAAATTAGAGATTTGGTGGTGTATCCTTTTTTTTTTGGTTTTTATTTTGTTTATAAATTAGTGAGTGGTGATTTATGACCCGAAAGATAAATTGTGGTGTGTCACTCTTTCATGGGTGATATGTTATTGGAGATGGAGCAACATTCGGGCCTGATATCCCTGAACATGTCGCCATTTCAGTTGAGCCCTCAGGGCAGTCCCCAAGGTGCTGGCACAGGTCAGCAACAACAGCAACAGCAACAACAGTCCCAACACACGAGTCAGTATGGATCCTCCCCCTATGGTAATTGTGCGCAAAGTTCACCCTCAAATATGTGCCACCCCCAGCAAAATCAGCAACAGTCCCAAATGTCGAGTCACAATCAATCGCAACAAAGTGGAGGCGGTATGTCCGGTTTTGAGGCGGCATTCTTTGATGCCACGAGCCTCGAGGAACGTTGTCCCATGTGCGGTGACAAAATGTCCGGCTATCAATACGGTCTCCTTACTTGCGAATCTTGCAAGGGTTTTTTCAAGCGCAATAGCTCGCCCTGTAGCAGTAAAAAGGTCTACACATGTCTATTTTCGCCAACAGGCGGAGGCAGCTGTGGTACTTCCTCGGCCTTGGAGGGAGGCACTTACGCCGGTGGTGGCAATACCGGCGGTAACAACAACAACAACAACAATAATGCCGGTACAGGTGCAGGAGGTGGCAACAATGCCGGACCGACTGGTGCCGGCGCCAGCGGGAACGTTGCCATTCCTGGTGCACTTTGTCATCCAAGTCTTGCACAGGCGGGTGTGGGTGTCGTGACTGGTTCCATTCCTGGACCATCGGACTTTCCTGATACCAAGGACGTCATCGAGGAACTGTGTCCTGTGTGCGGGGACAAGGTGTCCGGTTATCACTATGGATTACTCACTTGCGAGTCCTGCAAAGGATTCTTCAAGAGGACGGTCCAAAACAAAAAAGTCTACACCTGTGTCGCTGAGAGGTCATGTCACATTGACAAGACACAGAGGAAGCGATGTCCCTTCTGCCGGTTTCAAAAGTGCCTTGAAGTTGGCATGAAGCTCGAAGGTGAGTTATATTTTCTCTTTCTATTCCATATTCGTTCTCGGAGAATCGATTTTAGAATCAGCCTTGCGATGCTTTAAATATGTTTTTTATGCCAGAAATTTGAACCGGTTGTTAAAAATTTCACTTTTGCTAAGAAAATCAAAATCGATTCGGAAATATACATCCCTTAAAATTTAAGAACGTTCTCAACTATATTTTAAACTAAAAACATTTTAAAAATTTCATTAAAAAAATTGTTGAAAAACTTGTGCCGTTTATAGTATGAATTATATAACAAATAAATATAACTATCATTTACAATAATAATGAATCAGTTGGAAAATTCTTAGCTAGAATCAAAAGAAAATGTCATTATTGGAGTAGATATCTATCACTTTTCTAAATGTTAAATTGAAACTCGTGGATATATTCCTTTCTAGATAGGTTCGTGAACGTCTGTTTTACATATGTTGCACAATACGTGTTCATAAACATAACCCATATAATGGAAAGAATTTATGAGTTTCTTTTTCGATTCGGAAAAGTGACAGGTGACTATATATGCTAAAACTCACTCTCTGTAAATTTTAAACTGTTTGAAAAAGCTGCTTAACGAAATGACGTAAAACTCACTAATTGACAACTAATTTTCAGTGAAATAATGGTCTATTTGGCCAGTGACCAATAAATAATAATTTGACACCAATTAAATTGATTTTTTTTCTTTTTAATTTAATTCCATCATGGAAATAAATCTTAAACAAAAATTTAACTCTTTCGTAAAAAACATTTTGTTTTTCTTGCCATACAAAAAAAAAATTAACCAAACTGATGATGCTCAATGATACTGGGGATATTTTACATTTTTTTCAATATCAATAGTTATGTTAATAATATGTTATTTTTATTTGTTATTTTTACAAGCGCAAGGAGGTAGAGTGAGAAACAAGTTCCAATAATAAAGCAAATACTGTATAGTACAGTGGAATAGTCAATAAAAGCTGTACGTTACATGCCAAAAGGTCAAGATGTCAAAGTAGGTCGTAGAAATTATAAGCCAAATTGTAACAAACTTAATTGGTATCGTTGTACATTTAAAAGTTTTGAAATTAAATATTTCACCATCTTGTGTACTTCACAATATATTGAAAGTTAATTAAAATTATTTGAAACGTGTTAAAAAATTGTTTATAACATGTGAAAAACAATTTTTGTGTTCAAAATATTTTGAAAAGTGCCAAAGGTGTTGGAAATTATTTCAAATATTTAAAACATGTTTCAAATGATTTAAAATGGTCAGAACATTTTAGAAAATGTTTTAAACATGTTCAAAATTGTTTAAAATATTTTTAAAAAGTAGATCACTTTCTAAAAACAACTTTAAACAATTTTCACTGGCAATTGAAATATCAACATTTCACTTATTAAGCACTGTTACGTCAACGAAAAAGAAATGGAGTTTTATAAATTTTTGATGTACAGTGTGTAATGATCGATTGATTTTGTTTGAATTGACTGACTGACAAGTGTTGCAAGTACAAACATTTTAAAAATGTCTTTATAATAATAAATACAAAAACGATACCTCAACTTTTTAAAATTGATCTCTCTTGGCATATTTCAAGAATTTTTTTTATCTCATTTCGTAAATATTGTTCGAAGACGCTTTTACTTTGTAAAATGAAACGAAAAAAGATTTTTTTTGATGTCTTAATATCATGCGACATCTCTTGTCACAAATTATGTATTAAATGTCCCTACCCATTCAAGTTAAATGGCGACAGTTATTGCTAAATATATTAAAAACTTTTCATAATCTCCATTGGAAAGCATATAAAATATCTTGAATGCTTGACATGGCATTGAGAATGTAATTGTCGAAATCGATTTCTATTATGAGAAACCACATCCACCTACGCCCTTTTCGGCACACTAACTTTGGTTAAAAATATACCTATAATTCTTTGAGATTTGATCCCTTAACATCTATATGTATTATGAAATTTAATAGTCTTTTTTCCATAAAAAAAAGAAACGAAAGTCAATTCATTTTTAATGCATTTTTAGTTTCAAATCAAATATAAAAAAAAATTGAGATGAAAATACTACTTTTCGATGTTGAAAAACGTATAAAACAATATTTCGAAAAATTTATGCCCCAATTACTAATCTTTCAGAATATTTATTTACATTGCGCAAGATAATTCTGTTTTTTAAATCGAATAATGAAATAGTATATAACTTATTTTCCATCATTTTACTTAATTTATTATTTTTAAAATAAAAAAAAATTACACTAGACATAATTTTTATTTATATATTAATTTTTCTAAACCCTAAGATTAATAATTTATTGCTGATAATTTGATTCAGTGGGTTAATAAAATTAACAATATTTATGGCGACTTTTTTTTGTGTCTTAGTAATTAACTTGTATATTTATAGTTTTCAAGACACATTCATTTATATAATAATTACAAGGACTACATTGTTAATATCTCTGATTTACAAAACCCATAACTCTTTTAAATAGTTATCAGCCATCAGTCTTATTAATCAATTATTTTATAATTAATGCATATTTTTTTTCATCTTATTTTGCATTCTTTGTTCTATTTTGTTACTTGTATGCATGGGCTATAAATATAATTATTATTTTGTTATTGTGTTATCCATTAGATTTTTGTTATTATCACATAAATATTGTAATTTTCCGTATGCGTAAAATTTAATTTAATTTTTCAAAATTACAACAAAATGAAATTTATTATTTGTTATTGAACTGACGTCATTCGTTGTTGAACTTTATCATTGCTTTAAAAGTTTTTAAAATAAAATAATATATTTTACAGAGAAAAAGCGTATTCGAAAAATTAAAAAATAATCTAAAAAATATTGAAATTATTTTTAGGATTCTTTGTGTGGTTATGTAATTTTATAAAATAAAAGTTAAAAAGAAAACTCTCACTTTTTATTATCTACGTCAAATTTTGAAATTTTTCAAGTTTATTTGGTGTAATATTTGAAGAAAATTGAACTGAATTAAATATTTCAAAATTACAAATTGAATTTTAATTTTGTAAGTAAATGAAAAAAAAACTTTCGATTGAAGTGAAAGTAAAAGTGAAATTACATAATCACATTCGAAATTTAATTTGAAAAGGATTCTTTTTTTTGGAGACTTATATATTTGAAATGATTTTTAATTGTTATGATATTAAAAATAATTTGTTGCTTTTAAAAGTGTCAACATCCCTTCTTGACGGTTTATTTCGACACTGTCAGTTCTTATCAATGTGCTACTTCTGTACACGTGGGTGGTGGGTTGTCGCAATGGAGGTCAAGTGCGGGAAATAGTAACTGGGTGGAATTAAATGATGCCTCTGACAGACACAATTAAATTTACTGACACTGAAGCACTCGGATCAATTAAATAGCCAGGAGTTTGGTCAAAACAAACAATAAAACACCTTTAAAAAAAGTGTTTAACAAATAAAAAAATATAATGACTACTTTGCTCTAGATTTCGTGACTTTGATCTAATTTCACAATGCCATATGCTTTGTACATCTATATTATCTCAAATTGTCTTTTGCAAAAGTTTATCTATAATGCTTTTTTTTTAACTTTAAACCCCGTTTTTATTATCTAGTAGCGATAAAAATTTTAAAAAAGGTGAAAACTTTTTTGTTATGGCAAATATTGTAAAATATTATTTGTTTGGCATTTTTTGCAAATGTAATTATGTCAGATGTATTGTATACATTGTGACATAATTACATATATATATTTTTTTGGATGTGTACTGTAGAAAATTTGTCTGTTGTTGCTAATGTAATGTAAATTTATTTTTAACAGATTTATAAATTATAATATATTAAAAATTTTTGTATATCATAATTATTTATTTGTCGCTTTTGCTGAAATAAAAATTCAGTCAAATTTGCATGTTTGCTAAATTACCGATGATATCACGCTATATTACTCTTTACTTCATATGAGGCACATTTAACCCAGATTGTGAACGACGGAATACGTAACACACAACATACCTCGTTTGTCGACTCAACCTCCTCACACTCTCGGTTTACTTTTATCCACTCAATAAATAAAAATCATTCAATTAAATTGTATCAGTCGGGCAAATAGAATATTTCAGAATTATTTCATTTTTTAAATTGAATCATGTTTTTTTAAAATAAGAGTTGTCTTTGAAAATTAAGAATTTAGAATCTTTTTAAACGGCTATTTTTTTTTACTTTTTTTTTGTGTTGATGAGAAATCTCGAAGAGCAAGTCATCTCTGGTGAGACCAATCACGACTTGAATCGGTCACATTCTTTGCAATTTTTTTTTTGTTTTTTTATCTTTTTCGTTTCTGTTTCTTTGATGGGATTTTTTTGTTCTGTGGAGGATGCGCGAGAACCGGAAACCATCACTTTTCATTCAAGAGACTCGGTTACTTTCGTCAAAGTTCGCCAAAAATCGCTGATTCACCGATCTCTATTCAAAGCGTCATTTGTATGATACTAGGTGCTACCTACATGCTTTTTCATGTCAGAAAGACTAGCCTTTAGGCTTCATAGTCTTCTAGAATCTTGATAGTAATAAGCTCTGACTCACTCTCATCCTTCTCTATTATCCCACTTGCTCCATCATCACTCTCGATTTTCAAGTCAGTGGCGCCTAACTCATTTATACCGCGTGTTTTGAAAAACGTTGATCAAAGATTTTCAATCACTTTCAATTTTTTATGATGATTTTTCTAAAATCTATACAAATTTTATAAGCAAAACATTTTCAATTTAGATACGGATTAGATTTAGCTTCTGTTGTTCCAAGGAAATATCAAACAGATCTAACTTTTGTTGAACAACAAATATTGCCAAAGCAAACCGTAATTTTGTTTACTCTACATAGTTGTTTTGATAATTGGATAATTTCGATCCATTCAACAGAAAACTTTTGTCCTATACTATAATTTTAGAAAATCAATCATGTTTGTACCAACAAAGATTTCAATTATAAAAAAATCAAACTTTGCGTCGATGAGAAGAAGAAAGTTGTAAAATTTCAAGTCGAAATTCAAATAGTCTATATGAAGTGAATAGTGTTTAAAGGCAAAGAAATGAGCACGGTTTTGTCGCGTTTATGCAATCGTCGACACGCTGAAGGAGCAGAGTATATAGAAAACGAATGGAAGTTATATACACACATACATATACAGAGTATATAGAAACGAAGGAACGAACCAACAGTGAGAATTGCGACAGAAAGCGTTTCGAGATTCTCTTTAATCGTTGGGCCTTGGGGCCTAGACCTACTTGGATTGCACCTATAGCAATATATGTAACTTAAAATAAAGTTGTACTATACCTAAGTGCACCACACTTAATGTATATATACTCTTCGACTTCTTTAGATATCTCAAACTCTTCGTATCTTGTCCTGAAATTCAGGATTTCGATGGCTTCGTTTTTCTTTATTGCCTTTTACACGGTCGCAACACAGTGACACAGTTGATTCTGCAATGCTGTGCGCGCGTTTACGCAAACGATACAAAAGCGGGCGGCTCGTTTCTGATAATAAATAACTTTACTCTTACTTTTAACGTCGCACGACTTAATACCTGATCAGACTCAACGATAAAGGCGTGAAGTAACTACTCGTGGAATACACACACACACACACATAGACCAATTAACAACTACATTGATAAACCAATAACTAATAGAATGAATCATTTTATAATATTATATACTTTTACATATAGGCCAACTTTTGATAAATGTATTATTTTTTTTTCTAATTCGAGTTAATTGCTTTCTTAGGAGTCTAGTTTATTTTAATGCGGGAAATGAGTTGAGAAACGTGTATGAAATTAAGAAAGAACTCTTATAGCCAATTACTGTTTAAAAATTACATCAACATTTTGCTGTTTAAAAATATACGCACTGGACGAGTTTTAGATTATTTTGATTAAAATAACTTTTTAGGAAAACCTAATTTTGTTTTTTCTCGCAAAAAATTCTGGACCTTTCCACGATTGCGAATTTTTAAAGAAGAACGTGCAAACCAGAAAATATGTTTATGGTTCTGATTCTCCATAATTTGGAAAAATAATAACAGTAACATTTAATTATATTGTAAATTCTATACTTATTTTACAGCAGTAAAACTGTGCTAAAAATCATTGTAGAACCTTGGGCTTCAAGGAGTAAACAACTTCCTACATATTTAATCATCCATATCTAAACTGCCGGTTATGATTGAATGGGCATTTTCTTTACATCATCTTAGTTTATAAATCGATTTGACAAATAGTCAATTTAATTTTTCATTATTTAAATAAAGAAATTAATTTAAATTAAAAAAAAAAGTGTTTAGTCAGAATGTGTATATTGTTGGCGATTTGTATATCCATAGCACTTGGCCATCAAAATAAAATCCGATCAGCGTTTCCGCACGGCTTCCAATTTACCGTAATCCTCAATTAAATTAAAGGGTGTGCCTTATATCCGAACACTTTTGTACAAAGACACTCCCTGTAATCGATCGTTATAATTTTAACCGGAATACTTTTACTTTAATCTCCTCTCTCGTTACAGTTGAAACTTTGATCAATAAATTCCTTGTGCTCGCGCGAATGGATCAACTTTTGCGGTCGAGACGCACTGAAACCGCATCAAACTTACTTAACCCCTTGGCTTTGCTCTACTTTTCATTAGTCTTTCAAGTTCCAATAAAATATCTTTTTCCCACAAATTAGAGAAAAATCCAACTCATTGTGATTCAGAACTATTTTTTCTGTTATTTTAATCGGAAATTGTTTTGCGTAACTATTTTTTATGATTTTAAAAAAGAAATAAAAAAAAAAAAATTTTCTCAAGAAGAAAGTACCTTTGGTAATGATAGTTATGTCACTGAAATACTCGAATCGTTAAATAGTAGGCCCGGGCCAAATGTGTTACGAATGAAAGAATGTTAACTTTTCCTTTGGTAGAGGTGAAACATGTATAGTGACGTAACTGTTTCTTTTAAAAAAGAGAATTATGTTCATCATGAAAAAGATTTAAATCGTAATGTGATTGCCTTAAATGCCCTTTAATTAATTATGTAACAAATACTTTCTTTCACTTTCTTTTTTATTTTCTTTCCGAATTTATATATCCTACAGCACCTTTTTTCACAGGATTTTTTCAGATTTTAAAAATCTGGAAACATATTTTCGAGGCTATATACCATGTCACAAATTAAATGCTTTTTTTAACTGACATGACGGTTTAAAATAACTTTGCCCTCATAAAGTGTTTTATAACAGAACCCAAAAATTTGAAGAGGAAATTCTTTTTTTTAATCCTTGTCCACCCTTTGCTATTGATTTTAATTTTACTATAGTCCTAAAATTGAAATTTTACGTTTGTACCTGGAGGCATGAGTGCCAATAAAGAGGGGACGTTTAAATTTTATGATTTGGAAAAATGTGTTTGGACAGTTTTTGAAGTTTACTGCACCCAACTAGGTAGCAACAAAAAAGAAGAAGATTATCCTAATCCTAATGCCAAACAGATAAATATTCAGAAACATGTGTTTACTATATAATTGCCGAAATTTGTGCCACGTGGTTCTAAATTCTTAAATCATTATGACATTTTTCTTTATCCATGTAAATATTATATTCTTTTTTTTGGGGTCTAAAATTTTAGTTCTACTATACTAAAATTAGCCGTGAAATTTTTACAAAAAAATTCACCTTTTTCATTCTATTTTCGAAAAATTTTTTCCTATTTCTAAATGACCTAAAGTGAGAATTTCCCATCTTTGATTGCAAACATATTTCGAGTTTGAAAAGATATATACATATGTACTTACTTGGCTTTTGATGAGGCGAGGCGAAAAACGGGGGAGAGACAAATATCGCTATTGGAGAAATATGGCTTGTTTTGTGACCCAAAGAATCCTCGACCCATGAAAATAATGTGAATGTCAGGCACTGTCCTGGCATTTAGAAGAATAAAAGTTTCCGATTGCCATTACAGATAAAGGAACATTAATGCACGCTACATCAGTCGGTGAAGCTGGTTCTCTGAAATACAAAAAAAAATAAAATATATACATTTATTTGAATTGATTAATATTTCATGAGGTTCACTTATTGTGGAATTGATTTTATCCTTTTAAGTTTTTAAAGCATATAAAGTTTTTTCTCATTGCTGCGAGAATGTAATTTTCTCCCGCGAGTTAAATTGCAATCGAAAATATAAATGTTACTTTATTTAATAATTTATTTATCGAGAACTTTTAAGTGAGATAATATTATTTTTTTCTTTCTTCATTTTAGAAAATTGAATCCCCTTGTTAATTATTATCAGTTAATTAGAATAAATTATTTTCAATGAAAAAATTTATTTCTCGAAAATGGAAATTTCTTTGTACATTTTAATAGACTTTTTTTTCTAGAAGAAGACATTCTTGAAGCGAGATTATTACTCCGGGTATACTTTTATTTTTATCGTAGAGAGAAATTAAAAAGTTTCAGAATAAATTTGAATATATAATTTTTTGTAATTTATCAACAATTTTCATTGTTAATTCAAAAGATTTGTCACATGGGAAATTTGTTTGTATATATCGTCAGTTTGCATGCACAGAGGATATTTCCTCCTACTAAATACATTCCTGGGAAATTTTTCTCAAAAGAATATATAAATAATAATAATAATAATAATAATAATTTATTCATATAACCCGAATTATTTCTGTACTCTTGTTTTACAAATGAGGGCATGACAATAATTATTATTTATTATTTCAAATGTTTATCAGAAACTCAGCATTATTATAATCTGATGAAAAAACAAAAATGTTGACAAGAACTGATACAAGAAATATTAATTAATAATTATTAAATGGAAAAAAAAAATTAAAAATATATTAATAATTTTTTTTTGGCAAATCTTTATATTTTGATTAATTAATATAATATCAAGTGTAATTTGTAAAGTGACGTATCGTCAAGTCTCGGTTTGTTAATCGACATCATTATCGCTTCCAACTTCCGTTAAATTACATTTTAGCAGATAATTTATGTAACACTTTCCTTTATGTGAAAAGTAATTTAATAGTCTACACTGTATATATGAAGAAAAAAAAATTTTCAGAAAAATTGTCTCTTTCTCTCTTTTTAAAAATGTATTTCCTTGACCTAATTTTTTTTGTCTTATTCTATATCTATATATTTCTATATATATATATGTATATATAAATCTTTGTACATGTATTTATTATAAATATGTTATAGCTTCCATGCCTTTGGCTTTATGGGTTTATTATCGAACAAAAAAAAGAGAAAAGAAAAAAAAATGTGTAAAGATGAGATAATATATCTTAAAGAAGGGAGATTTGAATAGATTTTTAAACAGAGGGATAATCCCCTTTAAAAGTGAATAAATTATATTATAAATTATGAAAATTAAAAATTGTTATATATTTATAGTAATCATACTTTATTTTTTTTAATTATTTATTTAAAAAAATGTTTCGTTTCTGAGAATATATATAAATATTTCGGGATTAAAATGCAGTAAATTTTCGTTAAATTTATTTTTTTTTTTATGAAGCACACGTTTGAAAATGGGGTTTTGTGAAATGATAATACAGGACACAACAGAAATTGCTGCGTCGTTACACGTCTGTTTAGAAACTCACGAATTTCATAATTATTGTATTATGTTGCAAGATCGTGTCTATACATGCTGCCCGCCCGCTTGGCCTGTAAGCCTACCTGCGCCTTCGACGTCGTCGTCGTCGTGCGATCTGGCATTCGGGGGGGAAGGGAGAAAGGTTAGGTTGAGGCGGGGAATTGTGTAATCTTTTACTTGGTTCAGTTGAGGAGAGCCTCACCGTCTTCTTTTTCGCTCGTTGCCTATATGCCTTTTTATTCCTCATCAATTTCATCTCGCAAAAAAAAAAAGAAAACAAAAAAAACTTAACCGAAAGTTCGTCTCTCAAGAATCTCTTAAAAATAGGACACACGGTATGACATCCGCCATGGTGTGGCCCAAATAAAAACCACATGTGTATCCCCCCTCTACGGATATATTGTGTCATCTCCCTAAACATACGAGATTATTTTCTTTGTCCAAAGAAGAAATATTTTTAAAATTTTCTATTTAATATTTAAATAATAATTATAACAAAATCAAATTTAAAATACAATTATTGAGACAATTGAAAATTTTTACAAAACCTGATAAGATATAAGATTTCTCTGAACTGTTTTAAGTGAGAAACTTACACTAGAACGATTTCTAAGCAGCAGCGCCAAATAAAGAATAGGCCGGTTTACTCACTTCTTACTATAAATAGACTATTAGTGCTCTCGATTGCATTCATAAAGTGCCCAGTCTCGAGCATACCTAATCGACATCATAAAGTCGCGTCTTAACCAAAGCAATATAATTTAGTTGATAATTCACGAGATATCATTTGTTCGCGTTCGCTTTAATTCCATTAACAAAACTTACATCAAAAAAACTCGCACGTTCATTTTAACATTTCACGAATTATATAATTTACAAATTATAATATATTAAACGCTTCAATTCATTTCTATTCAGGGGGGATCAATGAATCACGTATTAATATGTGTGTTAAGTCAACTTATTTGAATTTACCCGCAGAAAAAAATTTATTTTATTTCTAAGGAAATTTTTTTTTCTATCAATTTATCCTCTTCAAAATTAAAAATAATTTATCAAATAATATTATTAAATCTAATATAAATATTTAATGTAAAATACACGAATAATTTCAAAAATAATTTTATATATTAATAACATTTTTTATAAGGAATTTAATTTGTAAAATTTTCATGAATGCTTTCTTAGTCTAGTTTTTTTTTATCGATATTTTAGTATCAGTAGCTCATTCATGTAATCTAGTGATTATGCTAATTAATAGCAAAACTGGTTTTTCTCTCTGTCTCTCTACATAATACATATATATATTCTCCCTTCCATCCCTGAAGAATCGATGCACTCGATGGGTATATATTGCATTTGGCACAACACTTTCCTTTTTTTTCCTTTTGAAAAATCAATAGAAAATTTTCCAATCCCTAAGTTTTAAAGACAATTTAATAAAATCAAGAAGTTAATTTAAATCAATTGAATGAAAAATAATGGAAAATTCAATTCAATTCGCTCTTTATAGTTTTATAGAGAATATTCCCATTAATCATTTGCACACCCATTTTGAAAAAGGAAAGGCACTATGAATTGTGACGATCGATATTTCAAAATGAATGGAAAATTTTTCTTTGAAAAGAAAAATCATGAAAAAATAGAATAAATTTTCCTTTAAAAAATTTTTTTAAATTAACACGGAAATATTTTATCATTTCTATTCCAAATTATGTTTATTTTTTAAAAACGGTTTTTTTTTTGTTAAAACTGAATCTGTTTGAACGATTTTAAAAAAAAATGTTTATCACTTGAATAATTCTAGTGATATACAATTTAAAAAAAATATATATTTCTGTTTATTTATAGAAATTTGTAAACCGCTTTAATTTTTTTTCGAATTATTTTCCCGATAAACTTTGAAGTTGGATAATAAATTATGGTGGGCATTTCTTGACACTAAATCGTGTTTTACTTTTGTTATCGCTTTTCTTTTTTTTTTGAATCATGTTTGATTTCGTTTCAATTTGTAGGCTTTTCTTAAATCGTACATAAACACGACGTCTATGCTGCAGTGGATAACGCAGTGCGTTCCAAAACCCACATATTTCGTTATGCAAATTAATTATAGACAATATTCCGTTCACGTTATTGTCGTACGGTTAACTTTGATATTCATACATAGATTTCAATGCGTCGAATGACAATTGAATACGATTCAACATTGAAAAACTGTCCTCGTATAACAATAAACAAAACAATCGGAAATTTCCTCAGTAAACAGTTCTCTTTCATTATAAAAAGAACCAAACTTATTTCTAATAAGTTTTTTTTCGAAAATAATTAATTCAATAATAATAGTAAAAATAAAATATAATTTTAATAAAAATTTAATTTATAATTTAGAGGGTAATAAAGTTTTTCGGATAATAATGAAATTTAAGCGAGCAATTGAAAAAATATGTCAATGGAGATATTATATATGTTATAGGTATATTCAGGCATGCGAAACATATGTATAAAATGGTAATGCAGCTTTAAGTGTTTACCCCATTAAAGTTGCATGTAATTTTAATTCTGAAATGCGTTGCTATGACATCGTAATTTATTCCTGTTCCAAATTGAACTGTGAATATGAATTCCCTAGTTTATGGAAAAAGACAGAATATAAAAAAAAAACTTAAGTTCCATATAACTTAGTTGTTAATTTTATTTTAAATGCAAACGAAAAATAAACTTCTAACCAATAATTTAGAAATTTTTCACGGCGAAAACAAAATTATTTAAATAATCTATTAATGAATATAAATTAATTTATAATTCTCTTCAAAAAAAAGTTATACTTTTTTCTTGCGGAGATAAAGTGACACTTGTTAAATATATGAATTTTTAATGAAAAATTATTAATTAAATTCATTCAATGCCACAAATTTATCTTATCTTTTTTTCATTTGTTAACATATCGTCTGATTTAAATCTTTCTTTTAATGCAAAAGAATGAAAAAAAATTAGATAAAAGTTTTTATAACTTTTTTTTTTGTTTTTTTTTTTAATTCTTTTATAATACGAATGGGGATATATAATTATCACAGTGGTGCTAATATTGAAAATATAAAATATGTGTTAAATTAAAATGCAAAAACTTTTGTGTGCACTAGTAAAACCTCGCAAAACGAGTCCTACACTCGAACCCAATGCAACCCACGTTTGAAATACCACATTCACTGCTTGAACGAGAATTCGGCTTTGAAAAAAAAACGATAAGCATAACCATAAAGTAGTTCTATAATAGAACTACTCGACAAACATTACAAATTATATAACAATATAACAATATTAAAAATTTATAAATATTTTACATATGTATATTTCTTTTTATATCAAGAGAGTAGATGACTTTTTTTATGTTGTATCTATATATAACTAATATAATATGAATTAATTAACTGATAAATTGCACTGATTTGCATTTTATTAGAAAATTTTACCAGTTATTAATATTTATGACTAAAGCTTTTTTTAAAGGAAAATTTGTATTTAAATCAATGAAAAACTATAGCAAAAAATTATCTAAATGCAAAAAAAAATCAAAATCTATATATAAAGTAAGCGAACAAGAAAATAAATAAAGAATACTAATAAAAATTCTATACAAAAAAAATTTATGACTTGTCGCATGAATAACAATATAATAAAGAAAATATGTAAAATATTTACATGTCGAAATTAGTATAAATTTTTTTTTGCACGGTTTGAATAATGTCAACAAGAGTTTAGGAAACATAATATTTCGAAGATAATGATTATAAAATATATATATATAAAAAAAAATTGACGTTACGTAGGAAGGGAAGAAATTCTTTAATAGGTTACACGATCTGCAATCGAAGAATCAATTATAATTCAAGATGGCATTGTTTTGTGTGAACAATAGCGTCTTGAGATTCGCATACAGTAACGCGCGTATTATTAAATTAGGCTCTCTTTAAAGCTATAGAGAGTATGACATATATTATGCAATTTGTGCTCACGCCTACCGGAAAAAGTTTCATTTTCGCGGAATTGATATTTGGAAATATATTCTTTTTTTTTCCTTGTGTATATATTAATATATATTTTGTTTTAAAAATATATTAATTTGTTTATCATCTATAGATTTAAAACTGCGCATTTTCCGAACAATTGTGCGGTGTTTTTTTTTTTCTAAACAAAAAGAAAAAAAAGTATTACAAGCTAACACCAGCGAAACGGAAAATTGCAATTTGTAAGCATAATGCATAGCGCCTTTCATTTTCACTCGATGGAAAATTGTGTCAATGTAAATTTATCTATTTATACAAAAATTAAGGGCATCGTCATTGGGAAAGCGGAAATTCAATTATTTTCTTTCTTTTTTTTGTCCAGATTTTTTTCATGTACTTCAACTTGTGAAATGAGATAAAGTTTGTTATAGTTAAAATTTTTAATATAAAAAAAAGAAAAAATATATTAAAATAGAATAATATTATGTAAATTTATGTTTATTTTTATGGGAAGTTTTACAATTTTTCGTTTCATTCTAGTAAATTTATATGAAAAAAAAATTTATGGATAAATTTGTCATCGTTCCACGGGGAAATTTTTTTTTTTTTTGGCCGAAATTCAGATATAAATTTTCAAGTCTCTTTCATATCGCTATATATAGATATTAAACAGGGTTCCCTTCAGTCTCCAGAGTCAAGTTTACTTGCGCGATTCGCGTCATATAGAACCTCGTGTCTATGGTACTCCTTCCCCTCCCCCCCTTTTTTTCTCTCTATTTCTGTCTCTTTCTCGTTTTATCATTTATACATGATATTAGGCCTGGGCGTGGTTTTTACCGAAACATTTCTCGTTACTGAATAATGGACGGTTGTGTGTTGATAGCAATTGATTGTGTACAGAGAGTTGAATATATATATATATATTTTTTTAAGAGTAAAAGGGAATGGGAGACATGCCGAGAGGTTGAGTTAGGCATCACATTAAAGTCATTGTTTGTTGGTGAGGGTGAGAAAGGGGTAAAAGGGGAGGATTTGGGGTATTCGAGTTGAAATATGGTTTATGGTGGTATGGAAGGGAAGAGGGAGTAAATAGAGAAAGAGAAAGAGAGAGGGAATGAGACGAGAGTATAGAAGTGGACGGGTAAGCGATTCAACCTCCTTTCACTTTCAACGTGCACTCTGCGCTCTGTTCTAACTCGACGACGAATAACTTTGGCGAGATTCATTCGAAAATGGACAAAATATTTTATAGTCCCTAATAAAATATTTTCAAATCGATGGAAAAGAATTTTTTTCAATTTAAATAGCAAAAAAAAATATAAAAGTACACACAGAGGTGAAAAAATAAAAATAGCAAAAAGCAAAAAAAACACTAGAACTCTTGTTACTGAGACAACTCGTTCGAATATATAAAATATATAAAAAAATATATCAAATATATAAAAAATAGAACAAAAAATTTTAATACACTGAAACCGCAGTTATTGAGACACTAATGTGTCTCAATAACCAAAACTTTACTGTATTAAAAGTAGAGTATTTAAAACCAAAATATTATTTTAAAGATTAGAATACCTTGAAACTCCTGTTATTGAGACACTGGAACAACAACAAATTTTTTTAAAGAAAGAATTGAGAAGAGAATTATAAATAATTAGGATTTGTCTAATTTGTTTTAAATGAATTTTTCCTGATTATCAAGTTGCAATTGTAAAAGTACAATTTGTGAACGCTCTTTGAAACCTATTGCTAATATGCAGCATCCCAGTGGTCCCTCAATTCCTATATATATATATATATATATATAAATGAACGTGCTCGCAACTATAAAAGAGATATACACACAGTAGGGGATTCACGATTCAACATGGGTGATAAAACTAGAGCCGTGATTCAAGCGAGAGTGGCCTTTGTTCTACTTTGGAGCAATTAGCCCCGACTTCCGCTTTCATCGGTAGCGGCCTTTAGAAACTTCACTTCGTCAAGGTTGCTAAAGGCGTTAGCGCCTATATGAAAAATTCCCAACTCAACCGATCGCACACTTCGTTGTTTTTGATTAACTTTTATAATGCGAAAATATATTTTTTTTCAAAATAGAATTCAAATACAAAATTCGAAAGCAGGGAAAATTATAATAAAAATTTTTCTGGCAAGCCTGTAAAAGTTTTCCTTTTTTTTTACCGAAACTCAGAATTAAATTCACAAAAGTATTTCTAAAAAATATTTTTGTTTAAGGAAAAAGAAATGAAAATCCTATTTTTAAATCGACAATGATTCAATCTTGTACAATGATCTTTAATCATAAAGAGAATTATTGGAAGAAATTTGTTTATTACACGATAAGATTACGAGTAAAAAAAATTATATTTTTTAATAGCAAATTTTTGATGAAAATTTTTTTTTTCTATTTCAGCTGTGAGAGCGGACCGGATGCGAGGAGGTAGAAATAAATTTGGGCCAATGTACAAGAGAGATAGAGCGCGAAAATTACAAATGATGCGACAAAGGCAATTGGCATTGCAAACAATTCGCGGGAGCCTTGGTGATCCATCGAATTATCCATCGGCAGTGACGCCGTTTTTGCACATTAAACAAGAAATTCAGATACCTCAGGTCTCGAGTTTAACGTCATCGCCAGACTCGAGTCCATCGCCTGCAGCCGTTGCCGCTGGTTTGGTTACGACGCAAGCGGGCAGCGGCGGTGGTGCCGGTCAACATCAATTGATAGCGCCATCGTCACAGCCAAATATCACCGCCGGTAATCATTTACATGGGAATCCAAATCCAAGTCTAGAGAGTAAATTATGGGCGGCAAATTCCACGACACCAAGCCCGAAGGCCTTTAATTTTGGTGAACAATCAACACAACCCCACGGTACCAATAATGCAACAAGCAACAACACAGCCACCTCAACACCCTCAGCCGTTGCGGCACTCAAAACTAGTCCGATGATCAGAGACTTTGTGCAATCGGTCGACGATCGCGAGTGGCAAACATCCCTATTCGGATTGCTGCAAAACCAAACGTACAATCAGTGTGAAGTGGACTTATTTGAACTTATGTGTAAAGTGCTCGACCAGAATCTCTTCTCGCAAGTCGACTGGGCGAGGAACTCGGTTTTCTTCAAAGATCTCAAGGTTTGTTTTTACATTTTTTTCTCTTTTCGAATTAAATTAATAATTTTTCATCTCAAGCTCTGAATTTACAATAACAATGAAATTTTCTCTTGGAAATCAGAAAAAAAATCAATTTTGAATATTGAAAGGGCGAAAAAATATTATATATTTTTTTCTGAAATGTTTCTACTATATATTATAGAATCATTTCTATTAGTATCGAATGTAAAACATGAAAAAAGTGAATGGATATTGAAGAAGTCTGCCAGCTATATTTGTAAAATTATAAATATTCTCCCAATATTCTAATCGTGAAAATTTCTGCAATATCCTACAGAAATATATATATATATATATTTAATATTTTTATTTTTGAAATAAAATTTCTTTAGAAATAAAATCGATTTAGTTTTTCCCATTTTGAAATTATAACTTCCAAGCAAAAAATTTCATTGATATTTAATTATGAATTGCAAGTTTGCAATGTTTAAGAAAATAAAATAATTCCCAACTTTTAATTAATTTGACTCTTGAATGAAACGATAATAGTTTTAGAAAATCTGAAATTCTATCAATAATAATTAAAACCTAACAAATAAAAGTCGTCTGTTGAAAACTACAATAAATTCAATAAACTACAATATCAAATAAAACTACCATCAATTGAAAACACTGTCAAATCTAAAACAATCAATAATTGGAGACCACAATCAATCGAAACTATTAACAATATTCTATTTTCCTTTAAAAAAAATTTCCCACTTTTCGAAACCTAAACTAAAATAATTTCTCCCGTTTTCGATGATATCTTTTGCGAATTGGATAAATATATATATAATTGACAAGAATTTAATGGCATCCCATGCGGATATGACTCGATTTATCTTCGGTTTTATTATGAAATACACTTGAAGTAGAGGGGAAAAAAAATATTGATATAATAGACGCGGAAAGTATTTGGATCATGTTTTGCGAGTAAGTCAACGTACCTGCGGAAAATTTTCCCTTCCCTTTTCATATATATGAATGCTTCAACTTTTAAACGCGCGCCATAAGTAGCTGAACTTAATAATTTTGTTATTGTTCTTGTTGAGAAAATACCTCGAATTAAATAATATTTGCGTTCTTTTTTTTTGAAAAAGAAAAAATATATCTTTTAATTCCAGGTTCTCGAAACAAAAACTATTCATTAAAGAACAAAAAAAATTTGTTTCTCATTTTTTCAAAGGTATATAAACATAAATTTGTGTTTCTTAAGTATAAGTTTTTCTTTTTGTTAATATGGATAAATTAGCGGACAATTTATAGCTTGAAAATTATTTTATAAAAAATAATACATTCAATGTTTGCATGTATTGCATTTGCATATTTTCATAATATTTGTTTTTCAATTAATTTTTCAAGAAGCTAGTAATATCACTTAAAAAATTTGCATTTTTAAATTTAACCGAATATTTTATTTTTAACTAATAATTTTACATTACTAACGATTGAAACAATGTTGATTTCAACTATTAATGTAAATTGCAATTGATTTTAAGTAAATGTATCATTTATTTTTTTCTAATAAATAATAATTATTCATATTTTTTAAATAAAATTGGAAATTCGAGCAAAATGAAACAATAGAATTAAGTTTGGCATTGCGCTATAAATAGGTGTAGATTATCTAGCACTATAAATAAATGTTGCCGACTTCTTTGACAAAGATAGGCCTGTGGAAATTATTACGGCATCCCACTGTAATGGGAAATTATTGCAGTTGTAAATTTAAAAGTATAATTTATTTTTTTCCATAGAAACATCATTATAATCTAGTCTATTGAAAAAAATTGAACTATTTCTCTTTTTTTATTATTATTATTTTTTTCAATCTTAGTGTTAACTGATTGTGAGAATTCTCTCCTACACAATTCATCTTCATTATACATGTTCTTGAATTGATTTTTTTTTTAAATATAGAGAAAATCCTTCAAATTAATATTGAGATCAAAAACAAGAATATTCTTCATTAATTTGAATTCTAATTTGTATCCTTCATTGAAATTGAAAAACAATTTGTATTATTTCTTTTTTTTTATTTCTTTTGTCAATAATGAAAAAATGCAATATTAATCTTTGTCAATCTTGGTCATTGAAAAATTACTTCTATATACCTAGATCTGAGAAATAATTTAGATAACCTCAATTTTTTCCTTAATAATGTACAAGCAATTTTTCATTTGACTCGATTTTCTTTTTTTTAAAAAATGTTTTGTCCTTGCAAATTAATGAATGATTCTTTTTTATATAATAATTTGTTAATTTGAAATTAAAATAAAATTAACATAATATATAATAGAAATTCAAACCAAGATATAAAAGCTTATATAATTATAGAAAATAAATTTGAAATCATTCAGGGATTACTGATTAAAATTTAAAAAATTTATTGATTTATAAAATGGAATTAATATTAAATTGAGTTGATAAATATTTAATTTTATTAAAGACAGAAATAAAAAAAAGAGTGTTTTCTGTAATAAAAGTAAGTCATTGTAACTATAGTATTGATTATAAGAGAAAGATATGATTATAATAAAATATGTAACTTAATATGAGAAGATAATGTATGAAAATTTGTATTTTAGCAGATGAATTAAAATTTAATCCTTAACGATAAGTTACTCGTTGCTGGGCTGTTAAAGTTGTATACGTGTATATGTGTGGCGGGGATGTGAGGTAACCGTAACCGGCAGCATTGCACAATCCCTGAATGATTTCAAGCATCGCCTCATATCTAGGTCACAACAAGATACGTTTCTAGGTTATGGCACTTACCTCAAAGCGGGTTCACAATAATTCTTCACTGCAATTATCCGTGTATACTTTTAATAATGATCTAACATTATAATGGATTTAATTCCTCTTGATTCTCGGACAACATATTCTCCTTTTTTTTCCTTTCATATTCCTCTCCTCTCGATCTCTGCGTGTGTCCTCTCTTTCACTGTCATCTCGTGAACCGGTTTCTTTTTCATTCCAATTTGATTTCCATAAGTTACACTCGATGGTAAATAACTTAAGAAATGGTGCTGTTACTGGCTCTCATTTTTTTTTCTTTTAAATCTTTAAATACACGGCTGTACCAGATACAAACGAAAGTAAAAGTCTTCGGTAGTAGAAAGACTTTTCAATCAACCGGCCTTTCAGGGACGTATGAGTAATGATGATTTCAGAGGCGTTTGCTCATTAAATTACTTGCTTTCACGTAACTGAGCATTCCTCTTGTATCAATTTTGCTGCATTCCAATCATTTTTTGGAGAACGCACTGTTTAATTAAATTAATATTGAGAAAAAAAATTTAAACACGTTGTGAAATTTAGAGACACCATTTTAAACTTTCAAATTCTGCCAATTGTTTCAATGAAAACGATACAGGTGGCGCCACTTTATCGCAAAATTTCAGGGGTGGAAATGTTTCTAGGGCAGTTACTCATGAGGCGGGAAATTTGAAAATATTATAAACTAACCAATAGGAAACGAGCTTTGTATATATCACGCATAATACATATTTTTATTGATTGATACGTAAAAATTTCAAGTTTTCTCCGTAACTAACTAACCCTGAAATTGATTGTTTTCATTTTCGAATTTAAATTCAAAAATAATTGCAAAAAGATAAATTCCAAAAGACGGGAATAAATAATGAAATTTTATGTTAATACTTACGTTTTAATTAATTGAATTTTTATTTGACAGGTTGACGACCAAATGAAACTTCTCCAGCACTCCTGGTCGGATATGTTGGTGCTTGATCATCTTCATCAGAGGTTACACAATAATCTGCCAGACGAGACAACACTTCACAATGGGCAAAAGTTTGATCTCCTTTGCCTCGGCCTATTGGGGGTGCCATCATTAGCCGATCTTTTTAACGATCTGTCCTCCAAATTGCAAGAATTAAAATTCGACCTGTCCGATTACATCTGTATGAAGTTCCTTATGCTGCTTAATCACGGTAAAATATTTACAACACTTTAATTTCTATTATTTAAGAATTTTTAATATTTTTCAATATAATTTTTAATTATACACTGCAACTCAAGTTATTAAAATAATAATAAAAAACATTTTTAATAATTACAAATTTCTGAATATTTAATTTATTTTTATTAAAATTTTTAATTCTGTGTCTCAATAATAGGAGTTACAGTGTATTATGAAATTGAAAATTAAAAAAGAAAATAATTCACCTTTTTTTTATTCATTCAAAAACAATTCAAATTGAAATGTGAATATTAATTATTGTTTTGATTTTCTAGATGTCCGTGGATTGGTAAACAAAAAACACGTACAAGAGGGTCACGAGCAGGTTCAACAGGCATTATTGGATTACACGATGACCTGCTATCCATCCATACCTGTAAGTCACGCAAAATTTACATTTTACTCTCCCTAAATTAATTTTTATCCCACAACAATTATTATCGAACCAAGGATCATTATAAATTGTTTTAATTATACGGGAAATAAGATAATAATGATTAAATTAATTAAAAAAACATTCAAATCAACATTTTTTTTTGTTATTTTCAGGACAAGTTTAACAAATTGTTAGCAGTATTACCGGAAATCCACGTGGTTGCGAGTAGGGGAGAGGACCACTTGTACCAAAAGCACTGTAACGGAGGCGCACCAACACAAACACTTCTCATGGAAATGTTACACGCTAAAAGGAAATGAAACAACTTTCACGACCGGCATTATTGTCGGGCAATCGAGGGTTGTTCGAAAACCTTAACGTTTTATTGCAAAGGTCCCGATGATAAAGCCCCTTACCGACGGACCTCGGTATCTCGGCGATTGGGAGCCGTTTAGGTAATCAGTTTCAAAAAGAAAACAAACAAAAAAAAAAGAAAAATGCTAAGAGCACTATCTCTTAAATGCAAAAAATTAAAAAACAAAGAAAGAAAGAAAAAAAGTACACACACAAAAATCAAGTATAGACATTAATACTTTAAAAAGCATACAGTCTATGTATCATAATGTGTAAATCTAAAAAAAAATATATTATAAAACATAACGACATATATTTTCTATATTTGATGTTGAAGTTTTAGAGATGTATCTGTGGAGAAAATAATAAAAAAAAAAAATAATAAATCGGCTCCCGTGATCGGTGTCGAGGGGGTTGGGGGGAAGGGAAGGGGGGGCAACGGCGACAAACGCAGGGAAAATTAGTAAGCGAGATGCCTTGAAAAACAGTACAAAGGGGTGGTTTAAAATAAATTATCGGTCAAAGGGCAGGCAACTTTTGTCATAAATAAGGATATATTAAAACAAAAAAAGCTATTTTTCTAATAACTTAGAGAACGATTTATTTTTAAGTACCATACCACTGAAGCCTTGCTCTCAAATTAAGAATGGAAAATACAAATACCCAACGATCTAACTATCATTATTTACAATATTATATACTGTATATGTGTGTATTCCGACCGTTAAACTCTCCCTCGCTCCGCGTTATATTTTAATTTAATTTAAATTAATTACATTAAAAGTAATTAAAATTTTGTATTATAATTATTTTTTATTGGGCAATATATTTCAATAATATAAAGTGATTTTTATAAATTGAAATTAACAAAAAAAAATGAGAAAATAATATTAATAAGGTGACGTTTCAATTGTTTTTTTTTTTTTATTTTAATTATTATTATAAATTTTATTTTATATACGTGTTTTTCAGTTTCTTTTTTATATTTTTTTCGGAGGGGGCAGAGTTTACGGATTTCAAAATAGGGCAGGGGGGGAGGGGAGGGAAAGAAAAATCCGACTCGCCAGCCACTTGTGCTTCTGCAAGGGATTCAACGGGCATACTTTTGAGCGACAGTTAAAAAATCGATTGTGATATAATAAATACATGTATATATGTATATAAAATATTTAATTATATTTTATATAAATATATATATATGTGTGGAAAAAAATATGTATATGTACGTGTACGTTTTATCACACGGCCACCTAGGCATCCTTAGAACTTCCTGTCGAATGAAAAAAAAAATATCTGCATTTTTTTTGTCACATTTGCACAGCAACAGGGCTACTACTATTCTGTATTGTAAATACTAGTTAACACATTCCAATTACGTTGTATAGTATACAAAAAAAATCATGTTAAATATGTAATTATTATATGGATATTTCGTGTATAGAGTTTAATGAAATAAATATATTTCTGTTGCTTATTGAAAATGAAGATGAAGGAATCATTATAGATACTTAAATGTCTTCACTAATTTTAGGTCTTTAATTAAATGTATAACTGCCTTTTTTTCTCACTTTCACTGTTTTTTATCTCTTTTCTTTTTTCTCTCTCCTTTCTAACTCTCTCTCTCTCTCTCTCGCTATATCTCTTTCATTGTCCTATATCTTTCACTCTATCTCCCTCTCTTTGAAAAAAAAATAGGTGGCGGAAAATTAATCCTTAAAAATCGCGATATTTTTATTATATTGTACATTGTACGACAAAATGTTCTTAAGAAGGATAATAAGAAAAAAGAAAGAAAAAATAGAGGAATCATCGGAGCAAGGTTCACGTGGTTCAACAATTGTCTAGTTGTTAAAAATAAATAATATATTTGCGCGTATATGTATATGGCCCATCATATACATAGACACAGATAAGAAATTTTAAAGAAATGAAAATTATTGTCTAATCGCGATTGTTAAATATAACGAAGTATTTACGATATATATACATGTTAAGACATAGCTATATCTATCGTAGTTATTTTTCACTTACAGATATAATTAATAATTAATTAATTAAATTCATAATAATAATAATAATTATTATTGTTTAGGAGTTAGTCAGACAATTTTTCAGCGCTGTGAAGGTCGTCTTTCGACGCCTGTGGTACCTAAGCCATCGGTTAAATACACATGCTAGATTCGGGAGTCTAACTCGTGCTTCAAAAAAAAAAAAGAAAAAAATTTGGATCAAATCCATTTTTATTTCAATCAATTTTTCCATGCTCAATTCTTTGCTCGTCGTTCAACAATTTACTCTGTAATATTATGTGGATCGGTAAATTTTATACTGTCTAAAAAATTCTGTAAAAACTATTTTCACGTGAGAACTTTTAAAAATATTTTTTATTTGAAAATTAATAAAAAGCGATTTATTTAAAATAACAATTTAAAATACATTGAAATTAGACTTTTAAATAAAAAAATTTGAAATTGATTTCAATTTTTCTTACAATTTTAATTATTGTAAAAATAGACGGAAATGTTTAGTCGGAAATAATTGATACCGCTCCATGTAGAATTTGATAAAATCGCTGTGCGAATTTCTCCATTAACTAATTAATAATATTCGTTCCACGCTCGTCTTGAGAAAAGTACCTGAATGTCCTAGTGTTAAAAGAACGCTATTTTAATATTACCACTTTACCAGCACCTTTTGCAATTAAACCATAGAAATAATCTTAATCGATTCTCGATGAACGAAGCTTGGAAATAAATATATATAAAATAAAAATATATAGATATATTAAATATATCTCCATATATTTCGACGAGCAAAGATTTGAAAAATAGTTTAAATGAAAAGAAAAAATATATAAATTTGAGGAAAAATTGAAAAAAATTGTATATGATTAGAGAAAAAATAATATGGTAAATTTTAAGAATTGGAAAAATAATGACAAATTATTAATTGAAGAAAAAACGAGAAATGGCAAATTAAATGCAAATTAAAAGAAAAACGAGAAATACAACAAATCATAAAATGATTATAAATTCAAAAGAAAATTTAAAAAGAACGTCTCGCAGCGTTATTAAAATCTCGGCTTTTTTTATATACCGATGTTTCTCGTCTTGCAAAAAAAAAAAGAATCGTAAAGTTTTTTTTTTATTATTTGACTCCGACGCGAATGACTACCTCTTCGTAACTGTATTAAGTTTTTATACTTTTACATTAATTAGCAACCACATACCTCAGACGTATAGACACCCAGATAGCAATTCTAATTCGCAAAAAAAAAACAGGAAAACAAAAAATAACAATAATAATTTGGGATGAGACGACGCGCGTTCCATCGTATACTTTTTTATTCTTTAATAATGTGATTATTTAAATATCTTGTGATTCTTGAATCTTTTTGTGATTTGTTAAGTGTCCTTTTTAATTGTCAAGTTTCCCATAAATATTATTAGTTATCACGCAAAGTTATCTTTATTTTAAGCTATACATATAATATATATTTATATTGCTGTTTGGGTAAACGGAAGTGAAAGACGTAGAACTTTTTATTTATATTTGTAGCTTTGTTCCGACAATTCACATCAATCCAATTTTTTAATCAACTTTTTCGTAAATTATAAAAAATTTCATATTAAACGACTTTAAAAAATTTTCTTATTAAAATTTTAATAGTCAATATTTCGTTTAAATTAGAAGATTAAAATTATTTTGGATTCGATGATGTTAATAAAATTGAATGTGTTTATGTATAGACGATTAAAGAAAGACCATAACGAGTGATTTGAATTTTTTGACAATATGATTTTTCAAAAATGTTATTAAAAATGCAAAGAAATGGAAAAGAAATATTTTTGTCACAGTACACGCGTCCATCCTGTTCAATCGTCCGATGAATTCCGTTATGATACGCATATATACGATATAAATAAAAAAATAATTAAATAAGTACATAAATATATATAAATATTTATATATATATATAAGCATATATGTATACAAATATTTATATATGCTAATAAGTTTATTAACCATAATTGTAATTAGGGAGCTAAAAAATACTACATGTATAGTATGCTATACATATATATAAAAAAATTATGATGTTATGTATATTGTGTTAAATATCGATGTACAGTTACCAATTACAATTGGCAAATGCTCTATATATAAGTTAATTGTCAAATATCATTCTTTCTCTAATTATTATTTGCCAACCAGACTCTCGTCGTTTTTCAAGATTAATCTTACGTTTACAAGCGACACACTTCCTATGCGTTGTTGTTGTTAACACTGCCATTAGAAATTGGCAATTGTAAATTATGTAGAAAAACAAAACCTCAATGAATGTAAATACATCTTTATTATTAACATACGATTGATCATCGTTGCTTTTCATGGTCAGTGAATCCGATTTTTTTTCATACACGTCTCTAGATCCCATTCTTTTAGAAATTCAATTATTTTCTATTATTACCTTTTAAATTTTATTTAATCCTCGTTCTCTCAACGATTTTTTTTATTTTAAAAATATCTTCTATCATTTTTCCAATATTTTTCTGTTTTTTTTTAAACCTTTCTATATTATTAAAATGTTAATTTAAAAAGTATTTTTTATAAAATTACTTAATTTTTTACAAAACTTTTATAATTTTTTTTTTGTTTTAACTATTTTAGTTATATTAAAGAATTTATAAATTTATTTATTTTAGTCAAAATATAATTGTTTATTATTTTTGGAATCTCAATTCAATATGAGACATATTTTAAAATTATTTGAATAATTTATTAAAAGATATTTTTTCACACAATTTTCGTAACAAATGGAAACTATTATTTAGTGTAAAAGTTTGCTGCTTTTAGCTAATGAGAAAAAAAAAATAGTTTTCTAATGTGGATCGGATTTAAGAAATTCATTGTATGAATTTTCATCCATTAGTGACTGCAATTCCTCAGGATTATCGAGTTCAATTTTAAACAGCCAACCATCCTCGTAACACGAAGAATTTATCAAACTCGGTTTATTTTCTACAGCTTCATTTTTCTCGATAACTTTCCCAGAAACAGGACTTATTATTTCTGATGCTGCTTTTACAGATTCTAGTGCCCCACACTCGTCTAAAATGGAAATCGCATTATTTTTTAGCATTTATTTTTTAAAAATTAAAAATTTTAATCCAAAAGTTAAATTTTGAAAATTTTATTGAATTTAAGTGTTTAATTTTAATTAAAACTTTTTTTAAAAAAATTGTTTAGCCTGACTTGGACCCAACATTTACTTAAAAGCTATGGCGTCGACAGTACCTTCTTTTTTAATAAAAGAACCAACGTCTGGAAGTTGTGCATAAACAACATCGCCAAGAGAATCCTGAGCATAATTAGAAATTCCAACAACACCTATTTTACCATTAAGCTCTACCCACTCATGTTTATTTGTATATTTCCTTTCTGGAAAATAATCCGATTATTAATTTATATACAAATTTTTTTGAATATAGCAATAGGAGGACTTCTATTGTTTAAAAAAATAATTTGTCTATTAATAAATAAATTATACATTATGTTTATTTTATTAACATAAATAAAGTGACACTATTTCATTTCCATTTCTTTTCATATTTTTAATAAAAAATTTTATCAACCTTTGCAAAATGTTTAAGGTTATGTTCAGTTAATTTTTGTGATTTTTCTCACATAAGAAAACAATAAATAAAAAACAAGATTGATAATTATCAATATTTATGAGTCTTTAACACATAAAAGGAATAAAATTTATTAGAAATGTGATATCATACCTGCTTTTTCAAGAGCCTGTGAAGTATGTACGTGACGTGCAAAAGAATTTGATGATTTTTGTGAAACTATTCGACGAATTTCTGTTTTTTGTGTTCTAATTGCTGTTCGAACAGTATATCTTGCAAACTGTGTCACTAATCCAGTCATTTTCTCGTTAATTCACTATTTTTATCCTTTTCAACTTTTTATCTCACAATGCATGCGGGGAGGAATCAAAACTTAACCTCAAAAACGCTCCTCTCCAATCAACATGCGATCGCGTAATGCGCAATGACCCGCGAAGCAAATTCAAACCACGCGGAATCAGAATCAAAGATTACAGAATCTCACATTTAGTTTTTAATTGACCTAATAAAAAAAAAATATATTTTTATCTCGTTTCATTAAATCAAATAATATTTCATATATACTTCAGCTTCTATATACTGCGAATTATTAACTTTTAACGGAAATATATATTTTTAAATTTTGATTTTAACTGAAAATCCATTTGAATTTTATAACTGAAAGTAATTTTAAATTTAAATTAAAATTCCTAATAATTTTATAATTTAACTGAATTTTCAAACAAAAATTAAATTAAATTAATAAAAATAGTAGTTTAAATTGAAACTGTGATTACAAGGAGAAAATTTATATCAAGAATTGTTAAAATGATAATAATGAATAATTTTATTTTAAAAAGTCGAAAAGATTCTTTAGAAATTGAGACAATGCGTGACCGATAACACATTATCGTAATCACGTGAGGTCAAAATGTCCAAGATGACCGCATTGGCGATAACCCACAATTCCTCTTATCGGAATTTAGTGTGTGACCTCAGAATTCAGGACAATTATTCATAGATATTCAATTGTGGAAAAAGATATACTAAAACTATTATTATTTATCATTTCAATTCAAATCATAATTATCTGCATCTCGTCCTCTTGTTTTTCGGACAAAAGTAAATTATTTAAATTCGTTAATAATTAAGAATTGTAAATAATTAAAAATAAAAATAATTTTTAAATAAGTAAATAATAAATATAAATAATAAACAAAATATAGAAATAAAAAAATAAATGAACAAATAAAAATACTAAATAATAATTTTAAAATAAATAACTGAATACATACCTAATATATTTTGTTAATTTTCACTGCTTTTCTCGTCTCATTAAGAGAATTATTTTCACCAGATAACAAATAAATTATACTCAAGTTAAGATCTTTTTCAGATCTGCTCCATGTTACGACCTCATGTGCGATGGAATTCTTACGAAACATTTGTTTACGCATAATACGTTATTAAGTACTATAAATTAATAGTATTTGAAAAAAGTTTCATTTTCGAGATATTTATACATGCGAACTTATCGTCAGTTAGTTTCTTTGAAGGTCCATTAAATCTGTTTATCAAGAAATTTTTTCTTTTTCATTTTTATTAAAGAACGATAAAAATATTTGTATCGACACGTGGTAAATTCAATCACATTTGAAAAGGATTTCTCTTCTAAAAATCCTTCTAATCACACAAATCTGTAGAAAATTTAAACTATAAAGAATACTGCAACTTGTATTAAATGCGAATGTTCTTGCAAATTTTTCTTTTTTTTTTTTTTGTTTAGAGCTTATCTAATTGTAAATGAAATTACAATCCAATTGTGTAAGATCTTCCATTAGGATTGTGAATTCCAATGGCTACTGGTTTACTGACATTCCATTCGTACCAAACATTTTTAGTACTGCATTGTCTCCAAAAATGAACGTAAATCTCATCGCCAGCTTTCAAATGAATTGGCTCCTATGAAGAAGAGACATTTCAGTAATAGATTTTCTGCTATAAACGAAATATCATTAAAGTCTGATGCGAATTTATAGATCGATTACCTTTATAGGGAAAAATATTGGAAACCAACTGATCATTCCAGGACTGTGTGTTCCCGGTTCTATACTTATCATTACATCTTCAAACAGTACACTCTCAAAATATCCTGAAAATCCATGTAAAATTGTATTTTGTTGAACGTTGAATTTTCTCATTGCATATCTCGAGTTATCTATAATAGGATCTGAAAAAAATTAAACATAAATATTAAATAATAGAAAAAAAGTTTAGAGATTGATGACATTAATTTAAACTAGATTAATAATCGCGTACCATTGTTGGGATGTTTGAAGGTGAAGAGCGCTTGCGTTGGTGCGATATCGTATTTATTTTGAAGATGAACGACGTACGGCGTTTCGAAATGAGTTAAAGGATGTTTGTCCTTGTCTTTACATTGTTTCACTTCGTTGAAGAGTTTTGAAGACTGAACAGGTGCGATGTAAGATGTGTATGATTCAGGTATACTAATTCCAGAAGCTGAAAAATAAATAAAGAAAAAAGAAACAAAACATAATTATAAATTTCTTATAAAAAGAAAACTGTGTTTTATTAAAGAAAAATATTTTACGTTTAAGATGCCTTTGAACTCCATCGAGACACTCGGGCGAAAGTTCGTTATCCCCGAAAGATCCCAACAATTCAGAAACTAAAATATCTGCCTTCTCGGGAGCAACCCATTGTCTCATATCACTCGACACTACTGTCACTTTATCCATCCACATTTCTTTCTGTAGTGCCTGCAACCTACCAAAAAAAAATTTATATAATCATCAATTATATCAACTATATAATCAATACATCAATTATATAATTACATCAACTGACAATTTGAAAATTTATAGAACTAATAAAATAAACACTTACGTTAACACTGCATTTGGATTTTTTTCCACTGCATAAACTTTCACAGGAACACGAGCCGAATGTGATGCATTTAAAGCAGCACGAACCAATGGACCTCTTCCAGCACCGACTACCATGATGATACTGCAATCATTGATAAATTAATTCTTTTATTCTAATATGTGATTCATTTTTTAAAACAATCAATCTAAAAAAAACTTACACAGGAACATTTTTATTACTTTCGTCATTAGTTGCAGCTTTGGCAAGAAGTGCTTTATAAATAGCGAGTTGATACTGAGAATATTTAACTGGATCTTTTTCAAAAACTTCGTAAGTTCCGGACTCTAAATTATCCATTAACGGTTGCAAAGGGCATTGCAAAAAATCCTCGTAACCACGAGCGTAACGTTCGATAGGACCATCAGTCTGCCAATTCTATAATGTATTTTAATAATAATAAAATATCAATTCGGCAAATATTCAAAGTTTGTCACTAATAATAAATATGCAAATGTCAAGTACTCACTTTCCAGATATAATCCAGGTAAAGATAATAATAGCTAATACTTGGATAGCGATTAGCACCAGTGATAATAAATTGCATTTCTAATGAACAGAACCTCTTGATAAACATTTGATGTGCTTTTCCCAAAACTGGATAACCCTTTTTGTTGCTCATAAATAAAGTTGTAGGTAAAATTAAACATTTTATAGGTTCGCCTAGCCATCTGCTTATCTGAAAATTAGAGATAATTCTAATTAAATTTAAAATTTCCTTGTTTTAAAAATTATTCTTTATTTTTATTGATAATAAAATTATAAATAAAAAGGTAAAAAAAATCTGTTTATCAGTTACCTCTTCTTCTTCCGGCAAATCGTGGCTCACTATCAAAGCAACACCAAGTTTCCTGTCGAAATCACAAATTACTCTAAAAGCATTCCACCATTCCCATGGACTCTCGGTTTTAATTTTAGATAAATTCTCTTCGTCTCTATAAAAGTTTACTTGTTTCACGGGATTTTCCATGGGGACCTGAAGCCATACCTATAAACATTCCAAATGCAAATAATTATAATGAAATAAATTCTTTAGCTGTAAATTTAGAATAAAAAATACATTTTTTTAACACAAACCTGGAAGTTTATAGGAAAAGCAAGTTTATCGGCAATGATTCTAGCTAAATTAATGTTTTTCTCGATATTGCCCTTTAATTTCATAGTTATCGCAATAAGAGATAAATGTGAAGCTAATTCAAATTCTTGATTTAATGTCGTGACACTGTTTTTTGCAATATCAGGAACTGAAGAATCTACATCGATGTAGGACGAAATTTTTCCAACAACTAAGGCACTCCAATCTAAAATTGTTATGATTTTTTATTATAAATTTATATTATTAATTTAATCTAATATGAATAATTCAAAACGCACCGGAATTACAAAGAATCATATCAGGCCTGGTAAAAGGGTCAGTTCTGTCTTTTGCAGGACCGGAAATAAATTCCCTTTTATATCGTGGATGAACCAATGGTACAACAATGTAATCATATCTACAAAAACATAAAATTAAATTAAAATTTTTAATTGTTAATTCTTATGACAATTAAAGTTTAACACTCTTTAACACCAGCTCTAAGTTTCTAAATTACCGAATGTATGTTAAATAAATAATAATTTAATATTTTCTTTTATAATTATTACTTACTTGCAGTCTTTAGCATAACAGAGACATTGCTGTAGTTCAGGAACTGCACAAAGTTCTAAGCCACAAGAAATTCTTCTCTCACCTGACATTTCTTATAAATTATCGACTTCCTGTCAAATAAATAATTTATTGAATAAAAATTAACGTATTACTTATTTATTATTAAACAATTTTGTTATTGCTAATAATTTTTGACATGCTCGTTTTCAACAGACACTATACATAAATATTTTATTGTTTATGTTTAATAACAAATGTAAGATGATTAAGTTTCTTACCTTTCCAATCTAAAGAATTAAATGAATTTTAATAATTTATATAAAATATTATAAAACAGTATATAGTTTTAATCAAAAAAGACTTAAATTAAAATGTTAAACACATTTAGCGTCATTTTTAGGTTAAATACTCACGGTCGCACGTTCCGGTTTACGTAGAATGTAAATAACGTATCAACGCGTAAAACTCGTAGTTTCGTTAATATTTGCGCGGCAATTATTTTTTTTTTAAATTACAATGTAAACAATGTAAATAATAAATTCAAATTAATTAAATTTTTTGTTAATTATATTTTTAAAAATGAGACAATTTTCATTTTCAAATTATTAATAAACGAATTCACAAGTACATATTCTTAAATTTTACTTTTAACAATAGTGATTATATAAATAAATATACAGTAAATTTGACATTATTAATCTAAATTTCATTTTCAGTTCTTTTTATAACATTAATAGAAAAATGTTGATAAATAATTTGTTTATTTTAAGTAATTTTTAAATAGAAGTAATAATCAAACAGAGCATTTAAGAAAATTTATAAAACACGATCTATTACAACAAAATTAAATTTAGTCATTTTAATTCTCTTTTCAATTGATGAAATAATATCTAATGAAAATTTCACAATTGGATATAATTTAAATACTTTAATAAATAATTTGTTTTGTAAAAACAGAAGAAAAAAAATTTTTAATAATATGACTTTTTACCAAAAATTATACTATAAACTACTTTTTTTGGAAAAAAGAAATTTTTAAATTAATAATAGGTAAAAAATATATAAAAATAATTAATTCTACTTTTAACTTCATTTCTATTTAAACTTTCATAAAAAAATTAGAAAAATTTGTTTAACTCTATCTCTAATCGCCTTTCTTTTTTTTGTACTGAATTTTCTCAGTTTTATTATTTTAAGTAATTTAAAAAAAATTCTTTTAGCAAAAACAAAAATTGATTTCTTTTTGACTCTCAACTGAGAATTGTACCTTAAATGCTCATCGTTTTTATCCAAGGCCTTAAATATTCGATGGTAGAAGAAAACATGTTCAATTTGCTAAAAAACACGATCTTGATAACCACCATCGACAACACTTGTACTCGGTTTATTGCTACTTTCTGCAATATGATAATTTGGATGCCTCAAATTACCAGATCGTCTTGGCGGTGCTAAATATTCAAACATGCTTTGAGTATATTGCGACAACATTTTACTGAGGTCACAGGGCATTGGGTCGTTCCAAAAAAATTCATGATCCATCGCTTGATTAGCGTCAATTCTCTTGCTCGGATCAAGTATCAATAATTTATCCAATAAATCACAGGCATAAGCATCTTTCACGTATGGTTTTAATCTATCCTTTACCTATAAAAAAATTTCTTTTAAATAAAATTCTTAAAAATTAAATAAGTTGAAAAAAATAAATTAATGTACTTTTCTTTTTTGTCCTTTAATCAGTTCTATTTTATAGTAAAGATCTAAATACTCCACACCGGGCCAGACTTCAGGTGAAAAAGATCCGCACAGCTGTGAGATAAGAGTAAGTTGTTGTTGTTCTGTGTTTCCTTGCATTATTGGTGATCTGAAAAAATATTAGTTTCAATAAAAAGCAATACGAGAAAAATATTTTTTAATAAAAAATGTATACCTTGTCCACATTTCTGCCATTATACATCCAGCACCCCATAAATCGACAGGTGGACCATAATTTCTTTCTCCCAATAATAATTCTGGAGGTCTATACCAAAGGGTTACTACCCGATTTGTATAACGATTTGGTTGTCCATTTTTATTAGGACTAAAGGCTCGAGCTAAACCAAAATCAGCCAATTTTAAAATTCCTGTCTTCGTTATGAGAACGTTTGCAGCCTTCATATCACGATGTAAAATCTGCGGAATAAAAAATTTAATAAATTGCCTTTATTCATATAGATGTAAATAAATAACCATTAATAAAATTATTTACTTTATTGCTGTGAATGTAATGAAGTCCATTAAGCAATTGCACCATTACTTGCTTAATTTCTCCTAAACTAAATTTAACGTTTACATTTGAAAGTAATCCTGCGAGATCGTGCTCGCAAAAATCAAATATCAGATAAAATGTTGAACGATATCGATTACCGGGGGTGCCTGTAAAAAATTTGAAATTTTCAAGATAAACAATTTATTATTTTTAATGCAATTTAAATTCTTCAAGATTTTAATTACTTTAAAAAACACTTCTAATTTACCTTTCGTTCGGCATATTTCAATCAAATTGACAATATTGTTATGGTTTAGAACCTGCAATATTTTAATTTCCCTCAGAGCAGTTATTGGAAACTGTCAACAAAAATAACAAATTAGTATATTTTAATAAATTAATTTGATAAATAATAAATTTATTTTTTATCTGGAGTTTAAAATTAATTTATTAAACATACGAATTAGATTGTAAATACGAATAAGCAATTGAAATTATTTATACACATATGGTAAATAATTCCCTCGTATTATACAATACGTATGGACATAAAGTTATTAATTAAACTAAATAGAACCAATTACTAATCAATTACAAAAGTTTAAAATTAGTTATGAATTGAAGACTAATTAACTCTTGTCAGTTTTGACACTTACCCCTTCCTTTTCATTATCCATCAAAACTTTCTTCATAGCCACAAATTTTTTACTCGATTTCTTATCTCTGGCTTTAAAAACCTCTCTGAAAACGTTTACATAGAAATAAATTAATAAACATATATAATTTCCTTCTCCAAAATATAAAATAAATCATACCCAAAAGTTCCTTGACCAATTTTGGCAACTTTTTCATATTTACTGGATTCATCACAAAAAGGAAAATTGAATTCTTCAATGTATTTTTCCTTTTCTTTAATATTCATTGCGATAAATTTAATAGTTTTTTAACTCTTGAATCAATTTTCATAATATTTTAATGACATTTTACTTTTCAATATAATGATAGCTTTAAAAATTCACATACACACACAAAAGATACAATAATTAATGTTTTTCCGTTATTTACTTTAAATAAATAAAACAATTAATACTTCGACTGTCAAAAATTGTGTATTTGATGTTTTTTAATTTGTTTCACTAATGTAAATAATAGTAAATAGGGTAAATACAAAAACTTGGGAGGATGAAAGTTTGAAGTTTGAAGGCATAATGATACATAACCTCACTTGTTTATTTATTAATTGAAACCATCAAAACCTGATATATGACATCTCACCATTGTTTGACATCAACGATCAATATTTAAAAACACCTTTAAAAATTTAGAAAATTAATTTAAATTAATGTTAAAAGTCGAATAATAGAATAACAAAAATATAAACTTTAGTTAAATATGACGCTCAATACAAAAAAAAGTCAACTTTCTTTTTCTATAAATTCAACATTTTTTTATTTATGGTGTACGATTTTTATCAACAGTTTTATAAAACTTATTCTATAGCTGTTTTAATCTAAATGTTTATGTTTTTAACATAAAAAAATATTTACAACTTATAATAATATTAATCTTGCCTTGGATTGAGCGAAGATTATAAGATTAAACAAAATTAAGAAATTAATCTTCATTTTGAAAATTAAATTATTATTAAATATTAATAATAATTTAAATGTTAACAGCAATAGGGTAAATGCACCAGTGGTGGATCAGGCACCAATGGTGGATCAACAGCTTTAAAAAGGTTAAAATAAGCTATTTCTAATTGAACTAAATGTTTCAATCGTTTAGGGGAGGTGTATAGATAAGTTTTATGAAATAAAATCATTTGAAAATATTTAGGAAAACAAAGCAATACAACAATTGTTGATTTTATGCTTTTTCACATGAAATCTTAAAAAATAATTGTTTAGTCTAAATTTTTTTAATTTTTAGAGTAGAAAGTAATCAATTCTTTCCATATAGAATACTTCTGGAAAAAAATATACATCATTAAGTTATTTTTGTGTAGTGTAAAGGGGTAAATGATCCACGACTGGAGCAATGTCATTTTATTGTTGAATGGGGGTGTGAGGGGGTGTAAACGTTACAAGCAGGTCGAAAACTACACGATAGTGTCCTTGAAGACTTGTTAATGCATACTATTGTAAAGATTACCCTATATTTTTCATCTGAAAAAATCTGTACACCTTTAAAGTCAAAATAATAAATTTAGTAGGCTTAATTGATCCACCACTGGTGCAGTTACCCTATTTAATATTATCAATAATGTTCAATATTGACACTAAATTAAATTTTATAAATCAATTTTTTAAAACATTAAACAATTAAATTTTTTTCTGGAAATAAAAAAAAACTTCTTTTCAATATTAATAATAAACCTTAAATGTTAAAAATATTAACAATAACATTTAATTATTTACGATTATTGAATATTCAGTATCAATGAAACTCTAATCATGAATAATTAATAATAAAAATTCCATAAAAATTTTAAATAAAATTCAATAAAAAAATAAATAAAATATAAAAATTACTTTTAAAGTAATTTTTCCATTTTGCTCGAATAAAATTCAAATTAGAAAAAAAGAAATATTAAATTAATACAAAACCTAGAGAACATTTTGTCATCGACAAAAATCATCCATGACGTTTCACGTCTCTAAAAATATACGAATGGAAATTCTAAAATTCGTTAGAATATCCAAATTGATTGGCAAATCTGTACACACAAGATTAAACACAGTAGTAACCCGGAAATGCTAAATAGAGTTCCGATTTATAAACCCAATCCTCACGTCCATTGTCATTTACTTTACTCGTACTTGGTTTGGAAGGACCGCCATTCACTTGCAATGGATTTTTTGCATATGCTCGTCTTCGTGGCGTTAAATATTCAAACATACTCTGAGAATGTTTTGCTAACATTGGTCCCAAATCGCATGGCATTGGATCAGTCCAAAAGAAATCGTGATTTAATGCCGTATCGGAATCAATTCTCTTGCTTGGATCGAGAATTAAAAGTTTATCCATCAAATCACAAGCGAGTTTATCATTGACATGTTCTCGTAATCGCTCCACAACCTGTAAGAAAATTTTTTTATTCCATTATTTTCTAGTTTGATCTGTGATTATATATAGAAAAAAACCTTACTTTTCTTTTTTGACCGGATATTAAATGCATTTTATTAAATAGTTCTAAGGATTCCACATCGGGCCAAACTTCAGGCGTAATTGAGCCACACAATTCAGAGATTAAAGTTAGTTGTTGTTGTTCTGTAGCTCCCTGCATTATTGGAGCTCTGTAAAAAAATTATTTTAAAAATTACAAATAAATATAAAATAAAATTTCAAATAAAAATATTTATATTTTGAAATTAAAATTTTGTGATTTTCAATTAATAATAATAATTTTGCATCATTATTGTACCTTGTCCACATTTCAGCCATAATGCAGCCAGTGCCCCATAAATCGATAGCTGGACTGTAATTTCGAGCACCAAGCAATAATTCCGGTGGTCTGTACCAAAGTGTGACAACTTTATTTGTAAATCGATTCGGTTGATTAAATTTACTCTCACTAAAGGCTCTTGCGAGGCCAAAATCTGATAGTTTCAATAGACCGTTTTTCGTTATCAAAATATTTGCAGCTTTCATATCTCGATGCAGTATCTGTCAATATAAACATTTCGAAATTCATTTAGCAATTTAAAATTTAATTAAATTTCATTTCAAAGAAAATTCTTTTAATTGTAATCTCAGAAAATTACTACTAATTTTAAATTCGTTCTAATAAAATAAAATAAAATTTTTCATACTTTGTTACTGTGAATAAAATATAATCCATTCAACATTTGTCTCATCACATTTTTTATTTCACCTAATGTGAATTTTACTTTTGGACTTGCAAGTAATCCGGCAAGGTCGTGCTCACAAAAATCAAATATAAGATAAAAAGTCGAACGACTTCGATTGCCCGAAATTGCTGGAAATATTCAGAAATGAGACAATTTGTTCTTCACTAATAAACTTTCAATAGCTTAAGCATAATTTAATAAAATAAATAATATTATAAAGTTACCTGATTTTTTGCAAATTTCAATTAAATTTACAATATTTTTGTGCTTCAATAACTGCAATATTTTTATTTCACGCAATGCAGTTATTGGAAACTGAAAAAATTCATTTTCCGTAAAAAAAAAGTTAAATTCAAAGTATAAAGATTTATTTCTTTTTAATCTATACTCACCCCTTCTTTATCATTATTTAATAAAACCTTTTTCATTGCTACGAATTTCGTACTATTTTTTCTGTCTCTGGCTTTAAAAACTTCTCTGAAAATGATAAATTATATTATAAAAAATTAACTAATAAGCACTGAATGAAATATATTAACAGTATTGTTGAAAAAGTTTATTATTACAATTGTTAATTTAATATTTACCCAAATGTTCCTTGGCCGATTTTAACCAACGAATCATATTTGCTGATTTCTTCACAAAATGGAAAATCAAATTCTTGAATATATTTTTGTCTATCTATTTCACTCATTATTGGCAGTGAAAGATTTTTTTTCACAAAATCAATTTATTTTTCTCTATAAAGAGAAAACTAGAATTCTTGAACTTGGTTTGTCCTTTTTCCTTTAATTGTTGACCTAGTGGATTAAAAATACCCAATATTGACCGAAATGGATCAATAGTAGATTTAGAACAAAATTTCTAAGCAAACATAGACATTAAAATAAAATAGTACAAAAAAATTCTGAGGCTAACAAATTGTTGAAGTTTCAATGAAATATGTAATGAGTAAAATTATATAAAATTAATGCAATATAACTCTATATATTTTTGGATTGATATTTTCTCACTTTTCAATATTATTTTATTGGAAAATGTAAAAATGACATCAATTTATTACCTTCAATGGTTATTTCCTTTATTTTTAGTCAATTTGCTTGGATATTTTATTTTAAATTCAATATTGACCTGAATTGTCACTATTATAAAGAGATTTGTCATAAAAACTCTTTGAATTAAACTAAAAATAACTCTTGAAGCAATTAATTCTTATTTTAGATGAGAAGCATACCTTGCAGTGTATATTATCCATTAACATAGGAGTGAATTCTTCAATTTTTTGTATTAATACTTTTTATGTTTTTATCACAAAATCTGCGGGTTCAACTGATCACGGAACTGTCAGAACATAACCTAAAAATAAACATTTTATATAATTACAATTACATCGTTTTCTTCTAATATCAAATTTACAATAATAAAAGCATTAATTTAACTACCTTATATATTTTACCTGCATCACTTAGTTTGCAACATTAAACTTTCTATGTCAAAATTTAAAAAATCTTAATGATCTTTAAATGTAGAGGTATTTAATTAAGTACTTTAAACACTAATACCAACTGTTAGATCTCAAATAAATAGCTTCTAACTTTAAAAAAGAAGTTCTATAAAGTTAAATTTTAACAGATCATTAAAATGTTAAATATTACTTGTTTAATTAAATTTTTATAAAGATATCACTCAAATATCTATTCTATTTATTTTGACTAATTATTTCACAGAAGTTTAAAAAGACCGCAAAAAATGTAACCAGTAGATGGCGCTAAAATGTTACAAAAATACCGGGAAGCTTTAAAATTTGCAAAAATTAAAAACTCGCAAAGTTAAAATTAGTTAAAAAATTAGATATGAGTGTTAATTACATGTGAAAAATTAGAAGAGTAAATATCGCAATTATTAAATTTGTAATTTTTTAATGTTTATATAATGAACTGATATTTTTAAAATAACCGCTTCTTAGTTGCTGTTCATAGCGGAGAAAAAGTGCATTAACTTACCTTAACCTTACGTCGATATATGTCATTTGCAAAAAAAAAACTCCTTATCTACATCAAATTGTAAATATTGACTTCAGAATCAGTCAGAATGTTTTAATAATAATTAATTGTTTAAATTAATTCTAAAATTTACAAACTGAACAGTGTATTTAGTATAATTTGGTAATATGAATTGAAAAATAGTGAATGTTTTTGTGTGATACTTTACAAGTATTGTTATTGTCAAGTTTTTCAATCAATTAACTAAATTAACTTTTAGGAAAGTGATATTTTATATACTTAAAATTATATTTGCTTTAAATATACAAGCAAACATTTAAATTTTTTCAATAAACTACAAAAATGTGGAGATAAATTCAGATTTCAGTGAACAAGTTAATATTTTCTGTCATCATTGCAGATGTCAATAATTAAAATCGCAAAAATGTGAAAAAAGTAAATTTTTACGGTATGTGTACAAGTTTATTGCGACTATTATTATTGAATCTTTATTATTTAATAGATTTTAATTTAGATTTTTGTTAAATTTCAAATCAATTTATCACCTTGTTTTTTAGGTTAGAAACTTTGATAGATAAAAAAATGAAAAAAAGTTGTCTCTCATGTCAAGTGACGTTTTACAAATAATACCTATACATGATACGTGAGCAAAGAAGTATTATGATGTTCATGTTTTATTATAGATCTGAGATCAATACCAAATTATAGAGTATCTAAATATGATATAAATATTCATGTTTTTCACAACATGAAATCAACATTTTCTTATTAATTTTGTGAAACATTTCAGTTTTGCGAACGAAGTGATTACTTTTTATCAAGTGAACTATAAATTTCGATAACTATTTTATCTTCTATTGTGATAATTCAAGAAAGAAGAGTTTTTTTTTAACAAAATGGTTCTTTTTTGAAAGTTGCGACGTTAAATTACGAAAGTCATTAATATTCAAATATTGAAAGAAACTCCGATAATGGATGAAGTGATTAACATAAAAGAAATTGCGATACTTCCGCGTGTGAAGTAATATCGTATTTTGGATTTTCATAATTTATAAATAAAAACATTGATTTTATCAATGTCTCCTTGAAATTATAATTTCGGATATGACAATATAGTGAAATATAAAAAAAAAAAAAAGAAAAAACGAAAAATTACAAAATAATAAAAATATTCACTAAATAGTGAATTAAGATTAAGGATCAGGTTTCGTAGTGTTGCCTTGGATTGTTTTTCATTTATTTTTTCTGCGACAAGTCAAAAATTACTATACCATATTTGATCAAAAGTATATGATCGCGCATTGGTTCTTGCGGTTCCGAGAGCCACAGGCAAAACCCGTGTGTGAAGTTCACCGTTTGTGACATCACGCTTCATTGTTGGAGGTTTACGTCATTCTTGAGTCGGAGAACGACTCGCGGAACGCACACGCAGAAAAAAGAGCGAGAGAGAGAGAGAAATAAAAAGTAAGAGAGGAGGAAACCAGCCGCGAAACCATAAAAATTTTGTTGCCGCCTTCGCTGACCTGGTATCAGGATTTTGATCGGCAAATAAAATCAGTGTCAGTGCGGAGTTTGGGTGAATGAGAGTTATAAATTGAAAACAGTTTCAATATTCTCATTATTATTGACTGAAAACAAAAGTTAAATCGTGAACATGTCAACGACGACATTTCACTTAAACGCAACCAAATTCTCAGTGAATAAATTTCGCTATTATTTTTTATAATTGTGTCAAAATAGAAAGAGAGAGAGAAAGCGAAAAAAATTTTAATTTATTTTTATTGTATATTGAAAAAAAATTGAGTGTCAACATAAAAATGTTCATGAAGAGTACATGAGAAAAAGTGTTTTTCCCGTGGGTCGTTCGCACGGAGTCTTTCATTTTAAATATAACGATGTATAAATAAGTATGAGCAATAGCGGGAGTACGCGAGGCTGTCTCGCAAAGATTTTGTGAAGCAATCATACACTCTGATTGGACAACGTGTGAACGTGGCTGTTTCTCGAATTTTTAAAAAACGAGATAAAGAAAAGAAGAAAAAAACGAATTTTAAATTGTGGCAAATGCAGTCGTTAAATTTTAATTTTGTATTGACATCTGCCACATATGTTATTGTTGTGTGGGCATGCTCTGTGGAGGCTCTGCCAAGGTTAGTGACATACTGAAGCGTCTCTGTCGTCTTTGATAATGTCCAAAGAGTTTAATAGCGGTAGACCCTGATTTTTACGACTTTTAATGAATATATATATATATAGTTTGCCGGGTTCAGGGTTTTCAGAATAAATTCAGGGTTATAGGGTCCATGAACGTTGTTCTTTTTATATTTTACATCGAGGCTGCAAAATACAGTCCTTGTTGAATTAAAAAAAAAACTGTAACGTTTCCTTTTTATGCAGATTCTCACAATATATACAATATAAGAAAGAGAATGTTGTTGATTTCACGCATTTGTTATTTATTCAAAGCAGGATTTTATTTACAACGCAATTTTATTTAGTTCGTCGTTAATTAAAAAAAAAAAAAATTGAGAGAAAACAAACACTAAGTCATGTAAATTTTGAAAGAAAAAACAACTCTTATTTAAATTGCAAAATAGTTAAAAAGTGAAAAATAAAATTTATATATTGTTTATTTATAATACTCATATGCAGAGAAAAAATACAGGTGAATTAATAAGTGACTCGTGTATATAATTACTTCCTGGTGGAGTCAAATTTTATTTAAAACATAATTCATTTAAAAAATTCAAAATCGAAAGATTTTCATTAGGAATAAATAATTTCTAATCAAAAATTGTGATTTTGAATTGAACAAAATTTACCAACAAAAGTAATGACTTTCAAAACAATTAGAAATTATATTTTTCCTCGAGATTTTGATTACGAGATATCATCTGTGATTTGATTTAATAAAAAAGAGAATATGAAACTTTGGTATTTTTCCGTTAGCGTCAAATATTATTTTACTTTCACTTTATTTAGATCGATAATGTTTTATCAATACTCACAGCCATTTAGAATGTTTTATTCTATATTTTAAAGCTATTAATTATTATATACTTCTTTTGAAATTTTAATTTTTCAATTTTAATAATTTTGTTAAAATATATTATTAATATTATTTAATAAATTATATTTAAATTTGGTTTTTTAATTTTAAAAAATGTATTTCTATTTGTCCAGGGAAACTTGAAAAATCGATTTTGTCAGTTTGGGAAGTGTCGTCATCAGAATTAATAATTCTCCAGAATTAAACAATGAAATTGAACTGTCGGAATCAATTATTGCAGGATTGTTTACATTGTCGACAACAGTCTTCATGTATGTAGAATAATTTATTTTGTTAACAAGTATTTCAAGAAGTTAGAAATTCTAGTAGAAAATTTTTTTTATCAAAATATTCGATTTTCATATTTATTTTCAAAATAATTTAAAAGAATAAAAATTTTAATTAATTAAAAATTGGAAAAAAATGTTGAAAATCGCTTGAAATATTTTTATTTTTTCTTAACTACTTAAAATATTTATTATTTTATTAAAGCACCATTCGCACAATTTTTTATATTTGTTTTATTTTTTCTGTGTATTTTTGTTAAATTATTTTTTCACACGTTGATGTTTTTAGGCACATTGGATATACGGAATGCTCTGGTTTTCGAGTGAGTCGCAAGTGCATGAAATGTTGCACTGCACAGAAGATTGTCCCAAGATCAGCACTGACGCCTGTACAATGCTTGGAGAATTTTGTATATTTGCTACGGAACTTGCACGCCTCTGCGAGCAAGGGTAAAAATTATTAGTTACAAAATTTATCGAAATCAACAACACTTCTTTCTTTAAAAAAAAAACCTAACGATTGATTGTATGAAAGATGTTTTCGAATAGTATCAGAATTTATGTGAAGAACACAGCTTTTTCTCACTGTGCGGATATGTTGCAGGAAAAAGGCTTTGAACTTCCGGGAGTGATTGTTATGGAAATGTTTTGACAATGTCAAAACGCGGAATGCTGCTTTACATTGCAAAAGGATTTGATATTTCTAAGTACGATATTATTTTTAAATGCACGATTATTCATTTTTTCAATATATTTTTTTAATATTTTATTACATTTTTTGTTTTTTATTAGACGAAGATTTATTTATTATTTTTCTTCTCTCGATTTTGTTTTTTTAATGCAAATTTCGTTTTTTGAATTTAAATAAAGCATGAAGAAAAAGAGGGTGGATTGTCTTTATTACCACACTCTTAGTTAAAAATTAAAAATGAAGAAAATTTTACAAAAAAAAAATAGTTTTTACATATTTAAGAAAAAAAAAATATCAAATCCTCCTGCACAATAGTGATAAATTGTGTCCCATTAGAGTGTGATAATAAAGGAAAGAATATATTCTTATCGTTTTATGTCAAGCACAGAGAAAAATTGATTTGACGATGGATTCTTCTTCATCGTACGCTGTACAATCTATTATAATCGCTGACTATAATGAGACGCGACTATTTTTAATTTATGACTGATTTTTCTTTATTCCCTTTAGAGCAGCTGTTCCTATGAGCACCTCTCAATCATTAATCTGTGATGGAAAGGACACCAATAATAAAACGGGTTCAAGTAAGTTGGCATTGTCATTTTACACATTGATTTTTAATTTGAAAATTGATATAAATTAAAAAAATGAAAGAATGGTTTACGCATATATAGAATAATTTTTGTTTTTTTCAGAAAGAATGGCATGTGAGGTATTTTTGGGTGGATCTTGCAATCCTACAACATGGAGGTCAGAAATAGCGATACCGACACTTCAAAGTTTAGGAATTTCTTATTACAATCCCGTAAGTTGTTTTTCAAATTATAGAAAAAATTAATTTAAAAAAATCAAAATTAAGGTCGTTTACCTGTGACATTATCAGAAGATATTTCTACACATCATAAATGCATAGAAATTGAAAAGAATTTAAAAATCACTTTATTTTCCATTTTTTTGTATTATTTATTGTCATCGGTAGGAATAATGTATTTTCCATTTTTAAACAAATATTCCATTTTTATATTAATAACAAATTTAATAATTTGTTAAAAAAATAAGTATGAAACTAATTTAAAAGAAATAAGATTATTTTTTTTAATTTAATATTTTTTTACGCAAAATGTAGAATAAAATTGTAAAGATTTTTTTAATTTAATTCCAGCAAGTGTCACAATGGGGTCCAGAACTTATTGCTCAGGAATACGAAGCAAAACAGACTGCGCGTGTATTGCTTTTTGTAATAGATAACCAGACTCGTAATACTGCAGGAATGATTGAAGCAGCTCAATTGGCAGCAACGCGCAGAGAATCACTAGTCCTTGTCGTGTATCCTTATCGACAAGGTCAGACTATTCTTGGAGAGACCGTTTCCTCTCAGTAAGATTCAAATAAAAAAAAAAAAGAAAAAACCCCCAAAAAATATTCAAGGAAGCTACATTAAACCAAATTATTTTTTTTTAGAGAATATTATGACCTAATGAATGGGCTGCTAGTACTTCAATTTTTTATGGATAGACAAAGGATACCAATATTTGAAAATGTTTCAATTGCGCTCAATTGTACGTCCAAGGTAAATAAATTTTTTTAATAGAAAAAATTTATTTTTATCAAATGCTATGTAAAATAAATACTTTAACTAAAAAAAAGTAAAAGAAAGTCTAATTTCAATTTATTTGTAAATTGTCAATTACAGATTCTCCGCAAAGCGATAAAAGTGCAAGATCTGCACTCCGAAGATGGAATCAGGCCTACTCGAATCTCACTTAATCAGCACGGAAGCGATGTAGTGTAAGCAAATTTTCTTTTTTCTACATAATTCGAATATTTTTTTAGTTTTATAAAAATCAAACTAATCACATTTTTTATGACGCGAGAAGATCTGGTGACCAATCATTTTTTTCTCTCTTTCTCTCTCTCACCAATTGTGTCTATAAATTCCAAAAATTTGATTAGTCACTAATTGCATTGTCTTTCACGTTACGTTATTGAATGATTCAATTTTTCACGGAAGTATACAATGAATCAGAATAAAAAATGTATAACAAAATCTTTGTCATGTGGATAAATAGATTCTAATGATCTCTGTCGGCAATTATTATCAAATATGTAAAATAACATCTTAATCATATTTTTCTCGAATGGAAAAAGAGAACTTGAAACCAGATAGACAAGTAAACATTGCATTAATTTTTTTTTGCTTTCAGAGCATTAAGAGAGATCTTTCAATCTTTAGACGTTAATGACACAGGGACAGTAAGTCTGAATGATGTAAGTATTGCATTTATTATTAACTTTGATATTTTAATTTTACTTATGAATTTTTTAATTTAATTAAAAATTTTAATTAACAGGCTTTGATGACGTTGCAGTCGAATTCAAAGTGTAATGGATCCGTCTCTGACCATTTTAATTCTGTGAATAAATCGGGTAAAATATTTTAACACTTGGAATTTTTCATTTAAGAATTGATTTAAAGTTTAAGAAAAAAATGTAATTTTTTTACTGTTTAGAAACCGGCGAAGACGTGATACAAAGTTTTTCATTGAACGATGACCCGAAGGAGCAGAGGATAAAATTCGATCAATTTTGTGCGTTAGCGAATGAATGGTCCTGGCGAATGAGGAACAATGGCGTTACCTGTGAAAGTGAGATACCTTCCGTTTGGAGTATTTTAAGTAGGAAGACATCAAAGTTTCTGCGCAGCGCTTTCGTACACCCTTTTAATCGTTTCTTAGGTATTTTTGATTATCCACAACTCATGCGGAAAGTCACAGAAAAAAACGTGACTCCCTAATCGGAAATAGATAAAAAAAAATCACAACCCTCTCATCTCTTTCACTCTGTATTTTTTTTAGTAGTAATCACAAAAAAATATATCTGTCTTTCATTATAAAGAAAGAAAAATCTCAATTGTTCCAGACTGGACCAATTCATTGATGCTGGATTCCGAGAAAAGGGATATGTACATTGGTGTGATCGGCAAAGATCTGTTATGGTTAGAATCTTCAGCAGCACCTTTAATAAAGTCAGTGTTAAATTTACTCAAGTTTCTTTTTTTATCATGTCTACTGATTTTTAATATCATTACTTGATAAATAATATTAAATTCTCATGTTTTTGTTTATTTTTAAGATCGATGGGATTATCTTTTCATCGTCCGAGTTTAAACGAGTACAATATTAGGATATTGTCGCAAGAATTGCAGCATATGAAAAATTCGAGAGTCATTTTGTTAATTGTCCCGCAGCATTCGCGCGGTATTGCCATTATGGCCTTAGCGGCCCATTTAATTGGGCTGCATGCCAACCTTGTCCTTTGTGTTCAAACTCTTCCTGATAATTGCACCGTATCTGGCGAACAGGTATGTAAAAATAAAAAATAACAAAAAAATTCAATGAAATATTAAAAAAAAATGTTGAATTTTAATTTTTCTTTTAAGTTAACGGTGCAAGCCACGAAAGACTACAATAGGGGCAGAATGTACCTGTCGGACTATGCGACGCGCGAAGGTGTACCTGTTTTTCAAAAAGTCGCTGATGCCTTACAACACGCGATACAAATAGTTCAAAATCCCTGCTGACTTAACTTTTGAAACAATGTTTTTTTTATTGTTCACCTAGACGCTTTAATTCGATGACTAATTTATTTTTATTCAAGCGTTAATTTAAGTACAACTCGATGGAAATGCTTTTTACCACCGAATTCTCCTTTTCTCTAGTGTTTCGATTACTTAAATCTCTAAACTAAATTCTAAATTAACTAACAATTAATTAAAATTAGTTGCACTCGATATTTTTTTAAAGTTGTTATCGGTCATTTAAAAAAAATCGAAACAGTAGAAAATGTAGAATTTTTGGGAATTTTGTATCTCCAATTTGTCTACAATTTGAGACCTCTCGCGGTTGTGAGAATATCGATGAAACGTGATATTTTATCGTTATTTTTACACAACTTATAATTATTTTTTTTACTGTTTTTAATTATTCCTCTAAACCGACTCATTTTTTAATTTTTCTGATAAAAATCTGTTTTTAAAGATGACATACTGTGAAAATTTCTTTAAAAAAAGTATTGCTTATTATTTATTTATTTTTTTTTTGTTTTTTTTTAATACTAAAAGGATGTAAAATATTTCACAGACGACCAAAGAGGAACAGAGCGAAAGAGAGCGTGAGAGAAAAAGCAAGAGAGAGAATCAGAGGTCTCACGAACGTAGACGGTCGTTTTTTTAATTGTAACTTTGTCAAGTTTTTATAACCTTTTGGTAAAATGGTTGAGGATTGATTTGATAAATGTGTATATATATATTATTAGCTGTTTCTAACGATCTAATGAGAACTATATATAATTGCAATTCCGAAAAAAGAGTAAAAGGAACGCTGCGCTGTGTGTATGTTTGTATGAGAAAAAGAGAGAATGAAAGAATGAAAATAAAACTCAAGTTATGACTGAGAAACGCGAAAAATTTTAAATCATCCAGAATAAAAAAAATACCTTCTGGAAAAAATAGAAAATAAGGGATAATGAAAGAAAGAAAGCAAAGAAAAAGTGAGAGAAAGTGGAACGATTCAAATCTCAAATACGATTGATGCTCAGAGAATTAATTAATAAAAATTAATTTCATTCTCGTCGAATCAACGTAATCGTCAGCTCAAGAAACATTTTAATTGTATTTTTTTTCTCGAAATAATTTCACGTAACAACACTTCATACCACCGTTAATTTAAAAAAAAAAAATAAAAAAATCATTAATTTATATAATTTTTCGTATTTTCTTATTTAGGTATGCGATTTACGTATTTAATTTAAATAAATTAAATAACAAAACTATTTTTATCAAAATCATAGGAAATCATAGCTCAATGTTATTATTTATTCGGTTAAATAAAATTTAATCTAATTTTAACTGAAAAATAAAGATTCCCCTTTACGATCTTAATTTTTTGATAATGTAAGAGAAACAATAATGAGTTTCATAAAGTAATACAAAAATTGCGTAACTTTTTATATTCTTTGGCTTACATTAGTCAATTAATGTACATTGAATACTGTAACCATAAATTATTATCATTATCATTTCGCAAGCACCATTTTCACAATGAGTACCTATTTGTAAATTTGTAAGCAATTTTTTTTTATCTTGGAAAATAGTATTGTCTTATATTTTTAAGCGATAACAAGACGGGAATCATAACTGGAAGAAAGAGAGGTATATAGACAGCATATCTGAAACAAATATTCGAGACATTTTAATTTTTTCTAATATTAAACTTTCCATACGAAAATTAGATAAAAAAATCCAAACAAATGAAAATTAAAAAATAAATTAAACGTATGAAAATTTAATCGAAATATAATTAAAGTTAATTAAATTCTTTTGATTTTGAAAAAAAATAAAAAATTAAAATGTTGAATATTTTGATAATTAAATTTTCAAAGCGATGATTAAATATTAAAACAATTTTTCATTTTTTCTAATTAAATTAATTTAGCTTAATAGACGCTCTGATAATTTAATTTTTAATATATTTATTGTAAGAATCAATTTAATTCTCACTCTAAAATATATATTAAAATAATTAATAAATTTTAATATTATCTATGATCTAAAATATTTTTTAGATATTGAATATCTAAAAACTCAATGCAGAGAGAAACTCAAAATATTTATAAAATAATAAAATATTTATCATTATTTAATATATTAAATAATAAAACTGATAGAATATTTTCTCAAATAATTAAAAAAAAAATGTTTCAATTACGATATAAAGAGAATGTATGTAAGGAAAAAACTTACTTTTGGTCGTCAGGAAAATATAAAAGTGCAAGAAGCGAAGGATCAGTGAACGCAGCTTCAGCAGTTGCAAATGCTTCTTTGCTTTTCAAAAATCCATCACGTAAATTTCCACTCTGTAATAATGCTGATGATTCCTCGACAAAATTGAGAGCATTTTTTATTCTATTGCCAACGGTCTCGGTTATAACGATATTACTAATTTCCTCGAGAAGTTGTGCCAGTGATTGTAGCGTCAATTTTGCCGATGTCAATTGCTCAACAGCACGAACTCGCAAAAGTGTATCTAATTCCCATTCGCGGGGCTTGAATCCAAATAAAGGAACAACTGCCGCACCGGGAATTGGAGTCTGCGCAAAACATAATTTAAAAAAAATTATTCTATACATTTTCAAAATAAATACAATTAATATGAATAATGCGCTGACAAAAGAAAAAAAATATCGTTTTTCTTTTTGCAGAAAATATTTGACATAATTAATTAATTATAATTATTTTTTAATAATTAAATAATTTTATAAGCAATAACAAAGTTATGTAAAGATTAAATTTACTCATTTATTTCTGCAAAAAGAAAAATTATTTTTAAAAATAAAAATCTCACCGGGTCGGGTATTCCAAGCAAAAGCCTTAATTGTGCAAAGAAAACGCCAATGACAGTAGCATCATTGGGTGTTATTTCAACAGGTTTTGTACTTATACAAGCGTCAACAGGCGGATTAATAATTACAACACCACCCCATCTTAAAAAATAAATACTCATTATTTAATTTGTTTTCTAATATAACATTTAAATATTTATTTTTATTTATTTTTACCTGGGCGAGTGAAAAGCTTCGATATTGACAGTTTGTGCTCGATGTCCGTTTCGAGAATATATATGTAAGGGTCCTTCTTCGCAAGGAACCACGTACGCTACTAAATTTATACACGGATGCAAACTGACCTGCGATGCTGAAAATGCATTTTTTCACAAACGTAATTAATAATTATAAATATAAATGTCTTTTTTGCTAAAACTTCATTATCATTCGATAACAATTTCGATAAAATAAAAAGAGTTCGTGAATGTGAAATTTTAAATTGTTATTAATTATTTTTTAAAAATTATTTCATTAAGTTAAAAGAATTAAAAAAAACTTGCCATAGTTGTAAAAAAATAATTGACCTACCTAATTTTTTCTCCAATGGAGTAATTAACTGTGGAAGAATATCCTCTGACAATGCGAAATGTCTTCCAAGAATACTGCTATCGTAGACCTCTTTTGGTTTGACATTTAATGGCACCAGATACAACCATTGTGATTTAATGTGAAAATCAGCAACTAACGATATCTCATTCAAGAACGGTTGCAGATAAACTAAAATTAAAAAAATTAATATTATTCATCTCTATAATTAAGTTTAGTAAAAAAAAACGTGAAATTTACATGGTGCAACTAATAAAGATTTAATTAGTAGCAATTTTTTTTTTAATACGATTACAAGAATTTCACCATCAGCAATAGTCGGCAGACTCCAATTGACCTTTAACTTCTCTGGATCAGGATTCACCAGTGTAAGTAGAACATCATAAGCTGGACTAGTGGGAAATCTTCTTCTATTTTCTTTGTCTAAACTATATTCCGTAGGATGTGTCAAGGCATTTTTTGTCAATGCCAATGATTTATCACGTAAAATCCATTTTGATACGATTTCTGTCACTTTTTTCACATCTTGGAAAAAATATTAAATTTCATTGTATTATTTTGGTAATAATAATAATAATAAATTAATATTCCATTTATCTATTTAATAAAAATTATAAATCAAATCTGTAAATTAAATATGGGACATAGTCAATTGCCGGAGGTTGAAGTACATTAAAGTGGCAATTGAAAATTAATTGTATATCTTTAAATAGCAGATAATGAAAAAAGAAAAAAGAATATATTGAATGCGGACGGCTATTGCACCCATCCTTCAATTAAATATAATTTGTACTCAATTTTCTTATGTCACTTAATTACAAATTTAAACAAAGAGCTCGATTGTTTAATATAATTTCCTAAAATTCAGATAAAAATAATAATAATTTTGTATCGAAATAAAATTAAATGTTACCTGTATCAGGTGCAAAGAAAACAGTACGATTTGAACCGACTAGAATTTCTTCATTGAGATTTAGCGCCTCCAATAGTAGAAGATTTCCCATTTTGAGATTAAAAGAATATGCAATTGTTTCCAATTCATTTGTCGTGAAGGCAGACGACATTAAATTTCTTGAAACCACCTCAAATCTCACGCGCAGAGAATAAATTTCTATAACAGATTTAAATTTTTGTGAAATTAATCTATTATTATCAATTATATAAATTATTAATTCGTTTGGTGGTTGTAAAATTTGATTTTTAAAATTCCTAGACTTATTTTCTATTCTCTCTGATTAGAAATTTTGTTAGTTTTAAATTAAATTAATTTTAGTAATTTAATTAGAGTAATTTAAATAAATTATTCCGAGAAATTTGAGAAGGATCAGAAGTTATAAACAGTATTTCGCGAAACCATTTAATGACGTAATATCGAAAGATTGATGTCAAAGTCATTTGTCCCTCCAATTGATAGTATAACATCATGGACGACTATAAATTATAATTCCATTTTAATGTCACATTAGACCGTACAATATTTTCGTATTCGCAATATGATATTTATATACCAATGATCACTTAACTTTCAATCTTAATAATTAATCTTGCATTACAACTTTTTTGAAATGATATTAATTTTTTCAATTGACAAGATAATTTTTCAAATTAATCAGAGGAAAAATAAATTTTTTTTAATTTCTTTTTTTCTTCTATTACCAGAATCTTCAAAGAAGCTCTTTATTTCTTGAGCTAATTGTTCGGCTCGTTCTTTGCTGAGAGCAGCGACAATGATATCTGTCTGAATCTTCGTTTCATGATGGGAAAGAGCCGCAATTCCCGAATAAGGAAGTGGAACTCGCGGAACTGCCGTTGTGTACCACCAAAGAGGAATTCCAACTCCAAGAAGAAGAACCGCAAACGAAATACTGGCATAAGTTCGATATTTTTCTGAAAATAAAGAAAAATTTGTATAAATATTTTTTACAGCAATTTTTTGCGTTATTCTATATATTTTTTTTATTCCATTAAGACAAAATTTTTAGTATTCTCACAAAAACTAAAAATTCATTCTACGCATTTATAGTCTCTTCAATCTGAGATAAATCTTTTCTTAAAAAATATTTAAAAATATCCTCAAGTTTCGCCTAACAGCCTTTCCTTTCTTTCTATTCTAATTTAAAATTCTGACATAAATTTTTGTTCAAATTAATTATTGTACAATATTAAAATAATTAAATATTGTACAATTAATTAATAAAATAAATTTTTGAGATTAAATTTGATAAAATAATTTTGCGGATAACTAATTAAATAAACAAATTAAAAAATTTAATTGAAACTTTACTAAATATTGGCGAAAATTTTTATTAAAAAAAAAGGCAAAATAAAATTCTGTTAGTTTAAAGCGTAACTTGACCTGTGACATAAAATATGTAAATAAACTAAATTGGAAATGCCTCAAACAAAACTGGAACATTACAAAAGTCTTTCATATCGAATTTTTTCATTAAACATAAGAAATTTTTCACGATTATCACGAAAATTACATACCTACGTGTCTGTGATAATGAATTTTTGTATTTAAAAAAAAAACTGATTTGCTAATTGAAGAAAACTCATGAACGATAATCTTTTGTTGAATAAAAGGAAAAAAAACCTTTATCTCATGTGATAAAACGTATTCATTAATTAAAAAATCATAAAAGAAATAAGAAAAACGTGATCATTAATCAAAACATCATAAAATAAAAATTTTGTCCATAAAAATTACAAAAATTAAAAAATTTTCTATTTTAAGAAAAGGAAAAAAAAAATTACAAATATTTTTTTCTACCAAGGGGATCAATGTTCTTTAACTTCTATTAGCCAACGGCGTTAAAACGTAAAACAATTTGTTTTTTCGATGTCAAATTTTCTTTAAACATTAAATAGAGATAGTGAAAATAACATAGAGGAAAATGGTAAATGTTTTTCAAAGAAAAATAAAGAAAAAAAGAATTGTCCCCTCTCTTCTAGATTCGAAAAGAGGATACAAAAATAGACACGCTGACCCTCTATTATAAAATCCAGCGGAACTTTCGTGTGGAGAATGAGAATAATTTTGACCGTCATACAAGTCGGAGTTAATATAATAATGCACAATTGCACACCTAGTTTAATGTGTGTGCAGAGTTCACTTGAACTCGATCCAACTTAGATACTTAAATTCCTGTCATATTCGTTGAATTAATTCAGCCTTCCGGTAATTTTTCTTGTAGTGTGTGGATTTTGTATTTATATTAATTTTAATTATCTTGTGAAAAAAGGGACAACAAAGATTAGTTCGTGCGTACAATTTTTTTTTTTTCAACTCAAACAATTGACGAAAATATGTTTTATGTGAAGTTTCAAGTGATCAGTTTAAACACGAGAGAGACGACAAGATTTCAAGGAATAACTTTGGCATCGAGCAATGACCGTGAAAATGTCACAAATCCTTGGCTAACTCGTTCTTATGCATTGTAAGTATATGTACCGTTTAAAATCAAATTACTAATCGACAATCACTGATTATATTTGATTGATTCGCACCGTCACAAATTACGTTGATGAAGTTCATAACGTTTTTGATTTAGAAGAAAATAAATTTTATTATTACTATTTTAATAAATATACAAAAAAAATTATTCTGTAAATTACTTTTGTTTAATTTAAAATTTATTCAATTAAACTTAACCCTTTGCCGTGTGGCGGAAAATAGATTCTCACGTTCATTTTTTTTTGTCGTTTTTTGTGATCATTTTATTGTTCTATTTGGGTTATTTTTTGTTTTAACGAACTCGGGTTTTTAGACAAAACAAAAAATTTAAAGTAAAAAATGTTGATATATATCAGATAAATATATACTAGATAATAGTTACACAGAAGTACGATTACTAGTAGAAAATGATTATAATAATCAATGTAATTGATGAAAATTGCAAAATCATAATATAAAATAAAATGTGTGGCGAAAAAAAAATTATAAAAACTAAATTAAATATTCTGATTGCCAAATCCCATATTTCTATTGTAAATAAAACTTTCGTCTACTTAAAAGATAATTTTTAATTCTTAAGCTTTTTTGCTTTTACTTAAATTATTCTGATCTAGTTAAAAATAATCTAGATAAAAAAAAAGTTTATTGGAGTAGAATAAATTTTTTTTTTTATCAAAATATCAAACATTTGGATTAATTTGAAAAATGATATCAAAATTTATATAGGTGAAAGCTTTTCCTTAAAAATGTATTAAAATTTCTTAATTTTCAATTATCAATTTAATTTCATTATTTTTATTATAGAAAATTTTTAAATGATTATAAAAATGAAAATAATTATTTATGAAAAATAAATAAAAGAAAATTAAAAAAAAACAGAAAAAAATTAAATTCGATAGCAATTTTAATATCAAGAGCAAAAAATTTTTTTTTCGTTTAAAGATGAATTAATAATTTTTCTTCACTTAAATGGTAAAGTGAACAGTTTAATGCTGATATATATTGAAATGTTTTTATATGCGTAATATGCGTTTCAATTTTACATAACAAACGTTTTCTTTCATAATCAAAAAACTAAGACACAATCAATGAACATCTGCTTCTGGCACTATTCTTTCAATATTTATTAAAAAATTCCAATAAATGAACAATTTTCAAAATGTTACAATGAAATTTTTTCATTAAAAATGCGTAAAAATTTTCGGAAAAAAATTGAAATATAAAAAATATTAATTATAATAATACAGATAAAAAGTAAATAAATGCAAAATTTAAGGATTTAATTAAACACAATAAAACCGATTCAAGAATTAAAGTTTTTAAAGAGGAGGGAGACAGTGAGTTAAGAAAAGAGGGGCAAGTTTCAATCATACGTAAGTGGTTTTCAAGTATAATTCTCAGTTCACGATGAACATCTGAAAAAGAAACTTGACAAACTTTAAAATTTGTAGGAAGAATTATAAATTTGAAAAAAAAAAAATTTTAAGTGAAATGTTCATGTTAATGTAAATTGCCTCCCTCCCAAAAAAACATCATACAGTGAAAATTTTTGTCTTCAAAAATTTGAAATTGTGTCATTACTTTATATTCCTACAGTGCTTTTATTTTTATTTTTAAATTATTTTATTTATAATTATTTAGTTAATTACCAAGCATTTTCAAACGACTATTAATTCACATTTTGAATTAAGTAAATAATTTAAAAATTATTAATTTTCATTGAATAAATTTTTTTTAGTGTTTTTACTAACTAGTAAACAAAATATAAAAGAAATGTTTACTGAAAATTAATTCTGACAAAAATTTGTTTTTTATTTTTTTAAAAATTGCTTGAGGATTGTTATTTGAATTGTGTCAATAAACTCTACTATTATTTCCTCATTTACTTTGCAGGTAGCAATAATAATTTATTTTGGAGGATATTGTAACTTTAATCAATTAGAATACACACTAGATATGAAGGTAAGTAATCACACGAGTTCATTATTTTTTTTCCATTTTAAAGTTCATCGACATAAATTTAACTTGCAAATTATTCAATTTATAATTGTATCAAATTAAAATTTCTTTTTTTTATTCACACTATTATTACATTACTATTTTATTTATTTCTAAATAAAAAATTATTAATCCTTTTTTAATTTTATTATTTTGATTGATTTAAAATGTTAGTGGGGAAAATTGAATTTATATGAATTTCACCAAATTGATAAGAATAATTCTCAATAAATAAATATTGTAGAAGATATTTTTCATGAATGATTCTGTATGTTGGCGTAAATATAATCAATTTATTTAAGATATGACGTTAAAGGGAAAATTCATATTTTTCATATTTAATTTTGATACAAGCGGCAATTGAAGAAAATTCCTTTAGTTTTTCAAATACAAATCAATTGTATACGTATTGTTATCAATTTATTGACACGTTTATATTGATACATATAATATAGGTATATATTATGTATAAAAAAAAAGTATTTCGAGAAGCTTTTATTTTATTATGAATTTCCAAAAATATTCACAATTTAAAAAAGTCCAATAAAATTTATTATTTTCTTGTGTTTTTTTGCCAAATTATTTATGATTATTGGAGTTAATATTTCAATTAATAAAAAAAAACCAATAAAAATAAATAAATTTAGATAGAATATATTATCCAGCAAGTCATTTTGTATATTGATAAAAGACTAGATACAATTACGTTATTATAGGATTATTGAAGGAAGTGATAAAGATTTGTTTTATGATCAATCATAAACTTTTTATCAGTCTCTAACTAATAGGATAGAAAAAAAAATTTGAATACACAAATTCTCCCTTAATTAAAAAAAAAATTAATTACAAAAGTATTATTCTTTAATTTAAAAAATTTTTTCTGTCAAAATATATTTTGTGATTAATTTTAAATACAGAATTTCATAGTAAACAATTTATTAATATTTAATTGCATAATCTTCATTGCGCGTTAAAGGAAATTATAAACTCTATAAATAAGAAAAAAATTCTACAATCTTGAAAGATGTATACATTTTATATACCAAGTTTTGATTAAAAAAATTTTGTTGCCTCAGCTAAAATTAAAATTTTTTAATTTTGACACAGTCAAAAAAAATGTTTAATTATATTAACTAAGTGTTTTGTTATCATTTATCAAAGTAGAAATATTTTTCTAAGTGTCAGAAAAAGAAAATTCCACTAAGAGAAATTTTGCCTTTAGTGTTTCACTAATTATAATAATTATAATTCTATTTAAATTTTTTAAAATTTAAATTAGAGAAAAAAAATTAGTTTTAAAATTTTATTTAAAAAAAAAATACCCACATGCAAACTTTTTCTATCGTATAATTGAATTTTTTCTGATTTTAGTAACCTAAATAGGGGCTGATTTGAATCAGGATGCATTCGAAGTCAGAGGACTTCGATCCGGAAGTAGCGGAAACAAATAATGGAGGGTTAGTTAAATATGAAACTGCACATATACGCACTAAATAATGGCACTTGTGCAGCTGCATGTAGAATAATAATAGATCACATTTATTCATATATTACACTTGTCCAATTCTACCACTTGTTAAATCTCCTATAAACCAATTAAACTCACATCCATTAAATCAAAAACCGCTGATATAAACCGCATTATTAGTTTGTTCTCACTTACAATTAAAATTCAACACAATTGTTTATAACGAATATTATGATCCTTATACGTGAAATATACATCAACAATCAAGTAATTTAATCTGATGAATTAGATTTCGACTTTAATAATTCCTTATGTCCAATTAACATTATTGTCTTATGTAATATGTATAATTAACGTGTTTTGTAAATTTGTGTAATTGATCACTGTCGTTAAAAAAAGAATTTTTGCAAAAAAATTTTTCACATTCTGAAAACTTAAATATTGAAATTGTATTCATATGCAATAAATCATTTAAACTTCCCGGCCTTTAAAATATTTCACACTGAGATTTTTCCAATTTTTTAAAATACAAATTATTAATTTTTTCTGATTTAAATAAACTATTTTCAGGGTGCGACACAAAATTTTTAAATACTGATAATTTTATTGTTTAATTTTAATTTTTTTAATAAATGACAATAAAATTTGTAGAGATAAATAAATAATTATGAAACTGAAATAAAATTGAATTTTTTTTTTTATTTAAATTTTTAGTTCTACTTTGTAGCTACTGTTTTATAATCATTGCTCACATTGCAAACTTATTTTGTATTCCTATTGTGCACCATGTATTTGTCAACTTCAATTTAAAGTCATAAAGTCATTAAAGTCATTTACGCACAAAACTTTTCTGATTGATTATGCATTTCCGAAAGTTATGATCACTCTTTCAGATTGACATTTTTTTTATATATTTAAAAGTGATTTTTTTAAATTGAAAACAGTTATGTTAATACTATATTTTTATCGAAGCCGATACATTTTATATACTGTTATTTTGCAAAAAAAGTTAATATTGTCAATTGACTTCCGTCAACGATGAGAATAAAAAGACAAGAAAATAAAAAAGTCATTAAGATAGATCATAAAAGTTGAATGTATGTACATAATGAAGTTGTAAAAAATTTTGTAAACACCTATATTAAAAAAAATAGTTGACAAGAAAACAAATTTGAATTAGAAACAAGATTTTACCGTCAACATTATTTTTTTGTGTTTAAAAAATTTTTTTTTTCCGGTATTATCTTCAATTACAAAATAAGTATGCAAATTTTTTAAATTTTTACAATTATGTAAAAATTGAGTAAACATTTTAAAAATGTTGTCAAAAAAATTTATATTCGAGAATTAATTAGAGAAGAATTATTAATTAGAAAAAATGTGTTATTTTTCCAGAAAGGTTCCTTTACCAACCCTTAATACACCCTTTCATGTACTTTTAATTAAATTTTTTGGAGTTTATTGGAAATCAACAATTGTAATACTATGGCCACTTTTATTACTTCCAATTATTATTTTCAACAATGCAGAGGTAAATGTTTTAAAATAAAAATTTAATAAACTAGGAGTCAAATGAAAATTTATCCAATTTTCTAAATATTAATTTTTTTTTTTAATAAATAGATGTTTCGGTGCCTTTATATTGTGCTAATAATGGCACTATTTTGGGTGACGGAAGTGGTACCATTGCCAATAACAGGATTAATACCTGTTACATTATATCCTCTGATGGGTATACTTAGTACAAGTGAAACATGCGATTGTTATATCAATGACACTACCATGATGTTTTTTGGGAGTTTGGTCCTGGCAGTTGCCATTGAAAATTCAGGATTGCATATGCGAGTTGCATTATTAATAATTAAAACAATCGGATGTAGTCATAGGAAGTAAGTTTTCTTTTCGCGATCAATTATATAATCAACTTTGTAATTTTTTTTATATATTTTTTTTTTTGAATTTTTCAGATTAAGTTTAGGTTTATTTTGCGTGACAATGTTTATTTCAATGTGGATTTCAAATACTGCAGCTACTGCAATGATGATTCCAATAGTAGAAACAGTTCTCCTCGAATTAGAGGCGGTAAGTAATGGAAAAAAATTTCGCGAAAAGGAAAAAAAGTGAAAATAAATAATTAAATTAATTTTCAGCAAGGACTAGGGAATATGTTTTATCATGAAAATGATAACGAACATGATGCCGAACCGTGAGTAATTTTAAATAAATTTCGAATTTATTTCAATTTACTTTTGCCACACGAAAAAAATGAATTTCTTTTTTTAGTACAAAAAGGCCAACAAAAACGACAATGGTTTATTATTTAACCGCTGCTTACGCTTCGACTCTTGGTGGAATTGGTACAATGGTTGGAAGTGGGACAAATTTGACAATGAAAGGAATTTTTGAAGAGTTCGTGTGATTTATAAAATTTATACAAAAATAATATCAAATACCCCCAAAAAAAATTTCTATGCATATAATTTTTTTATGATGATATTTTACAGACGATTTCCCGATAGTTCTGGAATAAATTTTGCAGCCTGGATGCTGTACGCTGTACCAGTGATGCTGCTAATGGGATTCTTAGTATGGCTATGGTTGCAAGTAATGTATATGGGCCTTTTTAGGCCAAAAAGTAAAGAAGCTCGTGACATAGATATTGGAAAACAAGGCGAACAGGTGGCAGCAAAAGTAATTGAAGAAAGATACAGAGAACTTGGACCAATTACGTGGCATGAATCGTGTGTTGGAATAATTTTTCTCTGTGTTGTTTTTCTTTGGTTTTTCAGAAAACCTGAATTTGTTCCCGGTTGGCCAAGTTTCGTTACAGAAAAGTAAGTAAAAAAAAGCGACAAAAAAATTCATTAAGAAATTATAGAAAAAAATTTTCCCATAGAAAGAAATTTTCGAAGAAAATAAATATAATTCAAATAAATAGAATTTTAGAAAAATAATTTTTTTTAGGAAAGTAAAAGACTCAACGGCGGCAATAACTGCCATTATTCTGCTGTTTGCACTTCCGGCCAAATTAGATTTTCTTAGTGCATTTAATAAAGATCCCAGTAAACGACCAACGAAACCCTCACCGGGAATGATAAATTGGAAAGTTATTCATCAAAAAATGCATTGGAGTTTAATTTTTGTTCTTGGTGGTGGATTTGCCATAGCCACTGGTAGTACGAAATCTGGACTATCCAAATGGCTTGGAGAATCTCTAACTGGGCTTAGTTCATTGAACGTTGTAGCAATTTTATTTATGGTATGCCTCTTCTCTGGAACAGTCACTGAACTGACGTCAAATGTGGCTGTGGCAACAATCATTTTACCAGTATTAGCAGAAATGGTAATTCTTCGAATCAAAATATTTTTTTCAACTAAATTAATTTTAATTAAATTGTAATTTAATCTATTTTTTTAAATATAATTATTATAATAATATTTCTTAACATTTAACGAAATTTTATTTCTATTTCAGAGTGTAGCTGTTAAAATTCATCCTCTTTATTTAATGTTACCAGCAGCACTTTGCTGTTCATTTTCATTTCATCTTCCTGTGGGAACTCCACCAAATGCTATTGCCAGTGCTGCTGGCCATATAAAAACAAAGGATTTCGTAATTGCTGGCATTGGTCCTAGTATTATAACGATTGTCATTACGACATTGTCATTTTCTACTTGGGGAGTGTATGTTTTTAATCTTAACGAATTTCCGGAATGGGCTTCCCACAAACACATTGGCAATTAAATTATTTATTTGTTTTTATTTGTCTATTTATATTATAGTCTCTCTTTTTTTTTAAATGTGCCGATTACTACAAGTTTTATAATATTTTATGTTTGTCATTTTTCTCTTTTTTAATAACAATTTTAAAAATAATTTATATAACAGATTTTTATCCAAAAATTTGATGTATTTTTTATTTTTTAAAATTTTGAAATCACATTCATCACTTAAAATATTTACTATTGTTGCCGTTAAATAGAAAAACACTATAAACAGTATTTTGATTTAATCAGAATACGAGATGTGATGAAAGTAATAAAAATAAGATCATTGTTAATGAATCATGTGATATTAAAACGTGTTCGTCTAAATGCAAATTACAACGCGTTGTTAAATTTCTAATAGATAATATTTTATATACATTTAATAGAAAGCGATTAAATAAAAATTTTAATCATACAAATGATGTGTTTTTATTTTTTGTGTTTTAATTAAGTAATTTAATGTTTAAAAAATGTATTATTAATATTATTAACGCTTTATTAAATTGCAATTAAAATCACTGATGATAATGGAAAAATATATTCAATGACGAATAAAAAAATTAAAATAAAATTATAATAAAAATGTGTACACAAGTATTTTAAAATAATTACTTACCATCTGTAGCAGTGTCGTGACCTACAGCATCTTCTTGTGAATTAGACATTTTGTAAAATATTAAAATAACAATTTCACAAAATCAATTACTAATTTTGTATACTTCTGCGGCATGAATGACCTAACCTCAAAACGTCCAAACTTTAACACTCCGAGTTAGGAATATAATAGACATAAATACTAATTTTTTCACCAAGAAACGAAATTGTAACAATAAACTGAATTTTATTTGATACTGACAATATTTTTAGAAACTAAACTGCAAGTAATAGAAAATTAAGAAAATTAAAAGAACTCACGGACATATTTGAAAAGATTGAAAACTTTCTATTACTACTGTGTAATTTATTATAAAACTTCTAACTGAACTAATACTATCAATACTGAACAACATAATAATTGTTAATTATCACTCGTATAAATAATTACAACAAAATAAATAAATTTTTACAAAACATCATGAATACATTTGACAGTTGTTGATACGGGGGGATGGGCTGTAACTAAAGCTGTGTTTCCATGTCGCCGGTCGCATTACGTAGTTTGTCCAGAATTCAAATTATAATTTGAATATTATAGTATATTTATACAAATTACATAACAAAACACAATTAAATGACAAAATATATATTGTTTATTATATAAACTTTAATTTTACTATTTAAGACTTTAATTCTTTTACTAAATAAATTCACGCCGAATGTTGGACAACTTAAGACTAAAGCCAAGTTTTCAATAATACAGTGCTGCCAATACAGTAAAAAACCGAGATGGTAACACTGAATGTTCTATTTTCTATTTACTGTATATAAATGCATATGTCATAACAAATAAAAAATTAAAATATATTCTATTTTGTATTAATGGGTGCCATGTAGAAATTTGTTTGTCTGGATTGTGCAAAACGAAAGAAAATCTGAGAAGAAGAAATGATAAAAAAGAAAATAGGTGTGAAGGTTGATTTATGCAAATTATACGTGTACTTCTTGTAAAATAATATTCATCAAAATTTCTACTTCTTTCGGCGAAAAAAACCATGACCGACCCACTAGCTAAGAGTTTTGCATCAGAAAGCTTTAATCCAGAAAAATGTAAGTATTTTTTTATTGTATTTGCATAAAACGATGTAAAATAAAAAAATTGTGGCTACATAATTTATCAAAAATTGATTCTAGAAAATATATTTCTCAAGAAGAATTGAAAACAATTCTTGTATATAGAATTAGTACTATAATATTAATATAATTGTAATTAGTATAATTACAAATTTGTTTTTCATAAAAATTAACAGTCGTCAAAGATCTCAGTGCTCAATGTGTGGGAGCCGATGAATTACGAAAACAACGAGCAAGAATTCAGGAACTAGCAGACAGTACATCTGCACAGCTCAAACGAAATGTTTATCAAAATTATATGCAATTTATTGAAACAGCAAAGGAGATATCGCATTTAGAAAGTGAAATGTATCAATTATCACAACTTCTTAGTGAACAACGTACTTTATTAAGTTCTCTAGGAACTACTGGAACAACCGGAATTGTTTTTGATGGTGCATTCGATGCATTTCAAGAAAATGCAAACGATTTAATTACAAAAGAAGACGAGCAAAAGGAAAAATTAATACAACTATTAGAGAATGTTGAAGGCGCTTCGGTTCGTTAAAAATAACAAATTTCTATTTTCAAATTTTGTTTAAACTAAAAATAATTGAAAAGTAAAAAAATATATAATTATTTCAGAGTCTAGTTGAAACACCGGGTCGAGTGTGTCTTCATGAAGGATCTTTATTGGAATTGGATCCTTTGGAGGGAACTCCATTAAAAAGGGTTCACGCTTATTTGTTCAATGATGTTTTAATGGTTGCATCTTGGTTGGCTACTGGTGCTAGACGAGGTCCTCCTAAATATAAGATGCAGGCAGTTTATGATATACAAAGTTTGGCAATAGTTAATGTCAGGGATCTTGGTACTGTAAAGTTGGCTTTTAAACTTTTAGCTTTTCCCGATACGAGAGTTTTTCAGTGTGCGACTGCAACGAGCAAGGTTCATTTTTTTTATCTGTTAATTTAAAGTTTATTTTTAAAGAAAATTCATTTGTATATATTTTCATTGCAGAAAGAGTGGCTAGAAAAGTGTGAACAAGCAAAGAAAGCTAAATTGTCCGAAGAAGCACAATCGGAGTCGACGAAAGTTGATAAAGTTAAAAAGGAAGATCAATTATTATCCTCTCGTTCAATGTCATTGGAATCAACGACTATTGGTAAATAATTTTTACTTAATTAAAAAGATATAATTTTGAAACATGCATTTTATTTTTAAAAGGTGGCGATGATAACGAAAATGTTGAATATGAACCACTTCCTGAATGGGTTGTCGAAGTTCCCGAGGATTTGGATTCGTGTATTGCACAACGTCACTTTGAGGAAGCCTATCATTTATTGGAGAAAGCGAGAAATTATTTAGAAAATGCTCATTCTACATCACATTTGACTGAAATGAAAACGAAAATCAACGAAAGGGCTAATTCATTGGTTGATGTTCTTACAAAAGAATTAGAATTGAGTGCCGAGGCAAAATCATTACAAGGTGGCGGTTTGCGAAGTGCAAGACGCGCTGTTAGAATTCTTATACAACTTGATAGAAGTGCTCAAGCTTGTCAGTTGTATTTAAAATTATGTAGTGCAGCCCTCAAGGCTCGATTGAAACGAGTTAAACGCGAGGGTGCCACTGTGCCTTATATTAAGCAATTAAGTGCTATTGCTTTTAGCAATATTGTTGAAATGTCGCGAGAATTTTTGAAAATTTTTCCCAATTACACGAATTGTACTTCAGGTATATGAAAATTTCTTTTTAATTTTATTTTTCTCTCTAAATACTTTTATATCTAATTTTTAATTATTTTTGCAGCTTTACTTGTTTGGTGTAGTCATGAAATAAAACATCTTACCTCACATCTAATTAAACAAATGTTCATTCCTCAAGTTTCAATAAGCACTCTAGTTGAATGCATCGTTGCAGTTAGAAGTCATTGCGATCAAGTAAGTTCGTAATTTTAAAATTCTTTTTCAATTTGAATTCTTTTTTTAAATTTATTATTGATCATTTCAGTTATCCCAGTTGGGCATGGATTTTCGTTACCAATTGGACGGACAATTTCGAACACCATTAGCAAAAGCTTTGCAGGACGCGGGCGAAAAATATGTCGATGCAGTGAAACTTCGTGCATCAGATGACACGTGGCGTCCTTCGAATCTTCAAACAAGTCAAAATTTAAATAAACTTTTAACGGAATTAGATGATCTTGGAATTCCCGTACCATCGAGTTGCTTAACTAGTGACTGTTGGATTTCGTTAACAACAAATACTTTAGCGTTTTCAAGATTGTATATAGGATTATTAGAAGACTGCCTTAGTGTAACAACACCAGAACTTATTTCAACTGTCGAAAATGTTCTCACTTCTGTTATGAGAGCACAAGTGCAACATCTCACTGCTTCACTCTCAAATCCACGACTCAAACAAGAGGTATTGTATTTATTTAATTTTCATTTAATTTCAAAATTTTAATTTTTAACAATTACAGAAACAATTGGTGCAAGGAAATGCGTCATACGTTCGAGAAGTGATAATTGAACGTGCTCTTGAGCTTTATAAAAGTGTTACGAGGCAAAAATTCATTAAACTAATTACACTGAAAGAACAAATAATACTTGGCCCATTAACTCCAAATAAACCAAAGCCTGCCCCAAGAACTTCAGTTCAAAAATACTCGACAACCGAATACATTTAATATCGTGAAATGATATTGGAAATGTTATATGGAATGTCAAGAAAATTAAATCATTATCTTCCGTATATATATATGTTAATGTAATCTATTGTATATATGAATTAATGAGAAATAAATCAAACCTAATTTAATTACATCATTAATTAACGCACAATCCGAGAAAACAAATTTACTTCACTAAAAGAAGGTATACTTAATTTTAATACACTAATTAATTAATTTTGTTAATTAAGAAAGTATTTAAGTTTACGCATTTTATTAACTGAATTTTCTTAATTAACTAAATTAATTTAAAAAACGATTGCTAGTTAAAGAAGTTACGTTAACGATCAAGTATTTGCTACTAATTTAGATAAAAGCTTATATACTGATGCAAATACTTTTTTTTATAATTTCATAGAAAAATGAATAATAAATTAATACTTTCAAGAATTTTTCATCATTTTGTCTCCTTCTTTTGAATTACTTTGTTCGTTTGCAGACTCCAATTTTCGTTTCTTTGCACGAATGTCATTTAAAGTTTGCTCTATACTCCTTTGATCTTTTTTGTTTTCGCTCGGAACTGAAAAAGAAATAGATTATAAAATTAATTTAATTAAATACATTACATAAATAAATATTCTACTAAATAAATAAAATTAAAAAATAATCGTAATATTTTTTGGTAAATTTTCTTACCACATCCGTAACTACTATTTGCTTCGGTTTTTCTAGCAGCTTCGAGAGCAGCTTCTTTGCCAATTAAATGTTGATATTTATCCTTATAAAAACTATTGGGCACAAAATTGTTTCTCTCTTTTCGTGTTTTAACTTCTTCGAGTTTCTCTTTGGCTAATTGTTCTCTTTCCTCTTGCAGTCTTTTTCCCACTTGTTCATTCCATTCTTCCCCTTTTCGTAGAGTATTTATTTGATCCTCAGAAGGAGCATGTTCTCTTTTAAAAAGTATCATATACCTATCGACACCTTCTTCTCCAAATGAATACGCCCAAATATTCGCTTCTTCGGCAACGTCGTGACTAAAAATGATATTAAATAATTTATTTGATTTTTAATAATAATAATAATAATAAGTAACTGAATTTTTTCTTTGCAATTGACGTACATTATAGTCCGAAAAACTTTGTCCATTGGCGGAAATTTGTATTCTTTTGCTGAATCATCTTTAAGAAATTTGTTTAGCCGCGCCTCAACCTAAATAATTTTTATTTACCCATTATTTAATTATAATTAACGATCTTTGCAATTAAGAGAATCGTATTGTATAAATCAAAAAATTTTTCTTACCTCTTCTCGAAAATTCTTAAGTTTTTCTGCCTCAGCCTTTTTATATCTTTCATGTTCCTCTTTTTGCTCTGCAATAAACAAAATTTCAGAAGTAAAATATTTGTTACTTCAAAATATCAATTTACGAGGTTATAGGTATTTTATTTAAAAAAAGAATTAAAATATTTAGGTATATAAAAACTTACTCTTAATTAAAGCCTTTTGTTTGTCACTAATACTTGGAGGTTTGTCCATCGAATTAAGAATCGAATCAAGGAGATCCATGATTTTAATTAATTATATAAAATTGTAATGATAGAGATCGTAATTATATAAATCATACAATTGACAATTACATTAAGTATGACAAATCACAATAATGATCAAAACATTAAACAATTTGCAAATTATCAGCAAAAAATTTCCTGGCACTTTGACAATAACAATAATCAATTTTCTAGGTTAGGTAAACTTAATCAACATCCACAGTTCTGAACTTTTTCTGAATTTTTCTGAACACACCTTTATATTGAACGTCAACAAAACAAACCTAACCTTAAGGTGCCAAAATTGTGTGAATGTCTATAAATTTTTTATAAATAATATATAATTATAAAAAAACCCCATCAAATGTAGGTTTAATATTTTTTTAAAAAATTGAAATTTTCAAATACGAAAAATATGCCGCAATCTTCCGAGGAGTTATTATCACCTCAAGATATTCTTGCTGATGTCAGAAGATTTATTTCTGGAGCAGCAAGACCATCTCATTCAACAAATACTTTAGAACTTACAAGAACTGGTTTATCTTTATTAAAAAATGTCCCAGCAGCAAGAGATGCTGTTTTAGAATATTTATGTAATGTATTTTCCGTAGCGGTAAATAAACATGTTAGACAAATTGAGGTTAGTATTTTTTAATCTGTTGCTATTATCACTGTAATTATTGTTATGGTTATTATAACAATTGTTATTAATAAACAAGTTATAAAATTTATCGAGAACCTTTTAGAAATTTTAATGTTTTTTTTCAGAATAATCAATGTTTACCGATACCGGAGGAAAATACAATTGCAGAAATTCATTCGGTTTTAAGTGGTTTTATTAGTTGTAATCCCGAAGCATGGGCACCAATTATTTCAGCTTGGACATTAGATTTATTAGGTAATTTCATAAAAATAAAATGATAATTATATTTTACGTTTATTAATTATTTTTCTCTATTGCTTTAAAAATTCCAGGTAAATTATCGTCAGACTATGCGAATCGTGGTAATTTAAAAGAGAAATCATCGGGAATTAATGATTTTCTACATCAATGGATGTCATGTAGAACGACAAGAACACTTATTGATATAACAGCACAATGTCTACAATGTCTTATGTTTTCGGACACGGAATCTTGTATTAATGCCTTACTAAATACAAGTGTTTTACATAGTCCACATTTTGATTGGGTCGTTGCACATGTGGGAAGTTGTTTTCCCAATACAGTAATAACACGAGTTCTAACTTGTGGTCTCAAAGATTTTTGCGCCAATGTCAATAATCCAAAATTAAATTCAGTTGTTGGTATTCTTGGTCATTTAGCTGGGAGTCATTTTATCGATATTAGAACTGCACTTCTTGATCTATTTAAAGTAATTAATTTTATTCTCATTACTCGAGTTTTTCTCACAATAATTGGAGTAAATTTATTATTTTTACTTTTCTTTTACAGTGGAGTCTGGATGAGAACACAAATATGGACGGAGAATCTAGGGTCCATAAATTGGCAACTGTTCCTTTTCTACTAAATTTAGCGAAACTCTCGCCAATGTTGTTGAAAGCATTAACAACCGACGTGTTGCAAATTTGTTCGTATAATTTTAAAATATTAATACTGCTTTTGAATTGAATTATTAATTTTCTTTTTATAATTAAATTTCAGTGAGGCCGGACGTTATTCCTCGATTGGCATTATTCGCCAATGAATGGTGTAGATATTTCAGTAATAGTCCAGAAGTTTTAATTGATATCACCGTTGAATTAGCATTGGGATGTGAACAAGGCGCTGTGCAAATTATAAATATGTTACTTGATACAAGTTTAAATAACAGCAATGTGGGCTATCATAGTGTTAATGCGGCACAAAGTGTCAAGAGTGTATGTCGTGAAATTTTGGAATTAATTTTGGAGAAAATTGATTTTCGAATTAGATCACTAATTCCGAATCAGGTTTTCAATATTTCTTTGTTGAATTCGATTAAACAAGATTTAACGGCTGTGATACCACTTTTGTTAAATTCGAGTCCATTAAAAGTACAAACGGCCGTTCGTTTATTATCATTACTCGGTACACAGTGTCCAAATGTTTTAATATTGTCAGCTACTCATATGCTAAAACAAGCGGATACAAATTTTCATTTGGCTGCACTTATTCGTTTAATTTCAAATAATGCTGTTGGATTTGCTGCAAGGAAATCTGACGTTGAAAATACACTTTTGAGTCATGGTTATTTTACTCAAGTTTTGGAACATTCTATTAGAGAAATTCAATATACCAGTGGTAGTAACAGAGAAATTCAACAGTTGTTTAAAAATTTAACAATTTTATTGAGGTAAATAAATTAGTAATTATATTATAAATATATAATTAGTAAAATGAAAAAAATTAATTTAACTAATTTTTAATTTACTTTTGACAGGTGGGAGAATTCGAATAAAGTTTCCTGTCTAAGATTTCGAATGATTACAAACGCAATTCGAGCAAATTTACAACAAATTTCATCTCTTTTATTAAAAACACAGGATTTTTCACTAGCAAACGATATTGCTTGTATGTTGGATTGTTTAACACCTTTTGAAAATGATCATTATCTACCAAGTGTCGAATTGACGTTAAAATTGACAAGAGCGATTATTCGTTATTTTTTCCTTTGTATTGCAGAAGATGGTAAATTAATTCTATTACAAAAAGAAATTTTAAAAAATTCAATTTAAATAAATGCAAAATTTTTTTTTCAGACATTATCACAAAGGAGCGCGGTGTTAAAATAGTTTGTCATTTACTGAGACTTTTGACAGCTTATTCAGCATGTGCAAGAACTTTGGCCCTCAGGGAATTATTGGCGTTTTCATTATTTAATGGACCGGCAAAATATTTTGGAGCACGAGAAAAATTTGAATCTCGTGTTGAGGAAACTTTTCTTCTTCAACAAAATCATAAACAGGTGAATTTTTCGATTTACGCTATATTCGAACGAAATTCATATTTTAAGTATAAAAAATGTGAAATTGAAATTATAATTACTGTTTAAGGGCACGAGCGCAATGTTGGCGCAAAGACATTCTTCGGTTTTTCACGCTGGCGTTATTGGTCAAGGTCCGAGGAAACCACCTCCTGAAAATAATATCGATAAAGAAATTATTACTTTAAATAGTACACTGCTCATGGATGTAATAAAGGTAATTGGCAAATTTATTTGTAAAATTTTTCTTCACTTTACCTTAAATTTGTTTTCTTTTTTAGGCATGTTGCTGTAATCACGATCCGAACAACAGAAGATATTCAGTTAATTCTGATACTTTAACAATGGTCAGTTTATTATTAGTTGAATTAGTATCTCCCGATGTGATGTATAATGGACTTCCTTGGCCCGATGAAGAGTTTACTAAGGTGAGAATGAATTAAATTTCGAATCATTCAATTAAATAAGGGACTAATTTTTTAATTAACTGACAATTAATTACAGGTGACAGTGGAAAGAGATTTGCAAATTAGACGAACCTTCAAGGAAGTTCCTATACTTTGGACATTATTGGCTCTTACAGCTTGGTACCGACCTGCCTTGGCCTATTGTTCTGTACTACTTCGTGCAATTTCAGCAACAATAATTGCCAATTGGAATGCAACAGAAGGTGCATCATTATCAAATGTAATGGCACTTGGACAATTACTGCCTCCTCCGCTCGCGAGTATAAGAGATATTCTCCCAGTTCTGGAATCTCAACAGGTACTTGAGAAAATTATAATCTATTGAAGAGAACTAAAAATATAACAATAAATTATTACATAATTATTATAAAATTAATTTTCAGATAAACACAATAATGCGAGAGTGCATTTGGGCGTATATGCACGAAAATGTTCCTTCACCGGCATTATTCACAAGATGTGAAGGAGCAAATGTTGCCTGGCGAGATACAGACAGTTCTATTCCCAGTATTCGTTATACGGAAACTTTACGGCTCATTTTAATAGCAAATATTCATAAACTTGGTCCACTTTATTCGACACTTTTCTACAATGAGCACAAATAATTATCACAATTTGAAAATGATGGATTTTAAATCAATTTATAATGTACACAATGTAAAAAAAAACTTTGCAATTAATATTTTTATATTATTAAAATTTTCGATTTGTCTTTTTAATTAAAAAATTATTAAATCCTTATACTATATAAATAATTTAAATACAAAGAAAAACCAGTTTATATCAATTGCATTTTCAAAACGAAATTCCATTTTCAAGTAAGAGTTTTTCTCACAATGGCGTTTTAAATAAAATGAATTATAATTTCATTAAAAATTTATGTTTATATTTGTTTTCGAATGAACATCAATTGCCAAAAAAAAGGGGAAATTAGATGGCAAGCACTAAAAAAAAATTAAATGACAAAGACATCGGAATAGTAAATAAAATTAATAAATTAATTAATTTTCTAAAAATATTTAATTGTGATTCATAATATTCAACTTATTTTCTTTTTGTTGTTATTCAACAAAAAAAAAATTGAATTCTTAATCACGCAAATATAATCAATTCTTAGAAAAACTATATTTTGAAAAAAAAATCTTAACACCAAAAATAATTTCTTAATAGCTTGTCAGTTTACTTATAATTTAACTTAGTTTAATTTTTTCTAAAAAAAAGAAAAAAATTCATTTAGTGAAAAATTGAAACTGACAAACTATTTTCATTAAAGAAATGTGTGGAAAATTTTTTTACAGTGAAGGTATTTTGTCTCTACTACAACTATCTTAAAATCTTCATACAATCAGCAACACTTAGAAAACATTACTTTTTGTCGACACGCACACGGTACTATTTATATAGGTATTTTATTTTAAATTAATAAATGCATTCCCCATTCATAAGTAGTTTCGAAGAATTCAATTCAAAAAAATTTGCAAAATTCGACGAAAAATCTTTACACACTTTTAATATTTTACAAAGAGTCAAGTTTTTATGTATAAATTACGAAAGTAAAGAATAAAAATTTGATTTTGATAATTCATAACTTTTTCCAATTAATAATGGCATGATTTTTTCCCTCGTTTATTCTTTTTGTACACTGAAAATAGGATTTTTTTTGAGGCGGAGAGGTGAGTGGTAAGGAAGACAACGAGAGTAGTTTGAAATTTTTATAAAAGCTGTTTTTTTTCTTCTCTTGATTACAAGAGATCCAATCTTAATAATTTAAATCTTAAAGAGTCAAATTTTCTCACAACTTGCACAATAATTTTCCTTGAGTCGTGTGATCGATGGATAAATCACGAAAATTAATTAATATATTTATATATAAAAAGTTTTTCTTCAACGTTCACATGACTCGAGGAATGTAATTAATTTTACGTTTGCAGTATTGTTAACAATAATAATACAGGAATGATGGTATTGCAAGCGAACTGGATTAATCAGTCGCTAAAACGAATGCGCGCCTCGTCCTGTAAAAATTACATTGCGAGTATTGCATTATATGTCGATATAAATCACGCGTACTCACTGAGTCTTTATTTCATTTTTTTTCTTTTTGCAACCCTCGATAAATCGAGAGCTTCAAAAACAACTTATGCCAAGAATTATTTTGAGGGCCACCACCTTAAAAAAAAACAAAAGAAATAGAACTTTGTACCCTTTTCTCTTTAATTGATGTTTCGTTAGCGAAAGAGAAAAATTGTAGTTATATAAAAGAAAAGTTTTCCCTTTTTATATTTTTACTAGATTTCGTGATGAAAAATAAATTAAATTCTATATCTCTAGACCCTCGGTTCCTGGCTCACAATTGTTAAACAAGAATCAGCACCACATGCTTACTTCTAATTCTTGTATGTAAATATATATATATAATAAATATTAATTCAGTTCTTGAGAGGGGAGGGAGGGCATTGAAAAATTCACTTTTCAAGTCTACGAGCATTGAATTTTCAATTTTTTTTTTTAGAAGAGTAATGTACTCATTCCACCCATTTCACTTTGTTCTTTGACGAAAATCTCAAAGTACTGATAGATAATTGTAACGGCGAGCAAAATTCCAGTTCCGGAACCAATTGCTCCGAGGAAATCGGCTAAAACTGATAGTGCTCCTATACAAAGACCACCGAATGCCGCTGCTGTTGGAATATATCTATTCAATTCATGAATCAATGATTTTTCTCGATGTCCTTGCATCACCATTTGTGAATCCTTCAATTGCTTGGCAACCTAATTAAAAGAAAATACATTGTTACATTTCAATAAAGTTATTTTTAATTTTGATATCTTTATCTATATTTTTTAAAAATTTAATAAAAATATTGATTCAACAACGTACGTCTTTAGCTGAGCTTCCAGAAATTTCAATCCAACTTTTTGAGAAGAAGGCACACGATCCCAGCATAAAGAGAATGTATAACATTGCATGAACGGGATCTTGAAGAATATGTCCAACTGATTCGGGCGGTGATAAATAATAACATAAACCACCAACAGGATATGATCGCGCTGGTCCACCGCCACTCACATCCGACCACACTCCCAATAAATTTACTATCAAATTCCCTTGGAATTTCACTGCCAACATTTGCGAGATAACATACAAATTCGAAACCAACGCCGATTGAAGAATAATTGGAATGTTACTTGTGTAGAAAAGTTTTATCGGATAACTGCTTTGTTGTCCACGATAACGTGCTGATTTGATTGGAAGATCCACTCTGAAGCCCTAATGAAGAAAAAACAATTTTGCAAAATTTCCACGAATTTTTTAAAAATAAAACATTCAAAATTATAAAAAAATGTTAATTTAAAAAAAAAGAAATATTAAAAATATCAAAAGGTTGTTGGCAATATCGTGAATTAAGGAACAATTAAGGTTTCTTTAACTTAAAATATTTGCCTTCAATCTTCTTCCATTCGCAGCCAATCCCATTGCTTTTGTCAATGAAATGGTAAGAGTTTGGAAGACAAAAAAAAAGAACAACAAAGTTATATCTTTACCTGGAAGTAAATTACTATAGCAAAGACGAGAATTGTGGCGAGAAGATTCATCAAATTAGGAAGATTCTGTCTGTAAAAGGCTTCACGAAGTGCTCGTACTTTATCCTGTCTTGTGGCCAAAAGATGAAACAGTGCAATAACAGCTCCTTCGAATTCCGTTCCTCGGCCTAAATGAAAAGAAACATAAAATTATTTTCATTCAATAATAATAATACATAATACTAATGGAATAAAAAGAAAATAATTATAATACCTGTATTGACGGTAGCGGGTGAAAAGGCTTTCCAAACAATAGTTTCGCAAATATTTGTGGCAATAAAGAGAGAAATTCCACTTCCAAGTCCATAACCCTTTTGCAATAATTCATCCAATAAAAGGACAATTAATCCAGCAACGAATAATTGAATAATAATTAGTAGACAAACACCAGCTCCAATTTCGGCAGGATCACCATACATTCCAGTCATAACATAAACAATTGCTTGACCAACAGTGATTACCATTCCAAATACTATTAAAAAACAAAATTTCAATTTTCGTTGATAATTATAATAAAAATAATTATTAATCAAATTTTTCATTTAATTTTTAACTCACATTTTTGAGCTCCATTAAAAAGAGCACGGTCTTTAGCCGTGTCGCCGACTTCTATTATTTTAGCACCTGCCAACAACTGCATAATTAATCCGGAAGTTACAATTGGGGAAATACCAAGTTCCATTAAAGTTCCTCTGTTTGAAGCGAGAATTACACGAATCCAATAAAATGGATCCGCACTGTCCGATGACATTATTCCAAAAAGAGGAATCTGTAAATTTTATTAATTTTGTTTTCTTCAATATTTTTAATTGAAATAAATTTAAAGTTTATAAAATTCTTCACTAAAATTAGAATTTTACACAAAATAAACGAAATCTTTTACCTGGCAGCAGACCAAGAAAATGAAGAGGGTAATTGCAGTCCATAATACTTTTTCCCTGAACTGGATCTGTAAAAAAATCATCCGTATGTTATTGACATATTTAATGTTATTTGACCTCAATCAAAAAAATACCACGTTGGCATTTTTTCCACTAAAAAAATCAAAATTCATAAACACAAATAAATATTAAAAATTTCTTTAAAATATGTTACAATGGAACAACGGTAAATGTACAAAATGAGGCCAGAAATAGACACGTTGAACAATCTTACCTTGCGTTGTGGCTTTCCAATTTCCGGCAATATGCTACAAAACGGTTTTATCACCTCCAGAAACTTGACTGAAATGTCAAAAAAAAATTTAAATGATTAATTATCACAGAAATTGACATTAATTTCATAACTAATTAATATTATTCTAATAGGTCAATATGTTATAAATTTTCTTGTAAAATATAAAAAAAAGAGAGGTTACTTTATATACCGCAAAAAAATCGTATAAATTAAAAACGATGAATTAGATTAACTGTGAAAAATAATAAAATTATGTTTCACTTACTCCCCATGATGAATTAATATGGTTTTAGTCTTTCTTATAAGGGACAATTAAATTACACAAACGAGTAGAGAAAACACAAGACACTAAATGAATAAACGGACAGTGTATGATGCGACGACCAAAGATAGCAGGCGTTTGGATGGCAAATAAGTGGAAATCGTGGCCCCTTACGCCGACACGTATCAATACAGTCACGTCACGTGACTTGATGATGTGGGCCCAGACAGTTTTTAGTTTCATTCACAAACGTACGGGGGCGTTAAATTAAAATAGATGCGCACGCAATAGAAACAACACGTGTTTCATTTTTCAAAATTTTGCCGCGAAAGTCTGCACTTATAGGTTGAACGCATTTTTGTTTATAAACGTTCAAATGTTCTACATTTAGTTTGTAAATATCTAAAAATGTTACTCACATTTTTCAAAATTATGCGAATTAACACTGACTCGAATTTGATTATAATTATTGTTTAATTGATTAATTTGAAATAACAAAATTCTAAATTTTAACATATAGAAAAAACTATTATTATTAATTGTGTATGCAACAAAATTTTAATAATTTAAACTTTAACTGACAGGAATGAGGAACATGTTGAGAACTAGCCTTTACGAATTATTCATGAATATTTTCAAATTGCAGTCAAGGCTGCATATTGTAAATGAGACAGAAGGATTACAAAATGGTAGCCAGGCTGTAACCGGTGTGTGATTGACAGTGTCTGAAAATTAATTTCATCAGGTTTTTGTATATTTTAAAATTAATGATCAAAGTATGGCCCATTTGTTATTGTCTTTAGGTAGCAGAGTTGAAAGATTTGTATTTCATTCTGCACAAAAAGGAAGATTTGATTATCAAGTAAGTCACTTTTAGAGAATAACCTAACCTAAAAACTATTTTTTTATAAATATAAAAAGACTTTCTGTTTATTAGTCATGTTTTGAGATAAAAACAACTGTAATTTAAAATTAATTAATGTTCTTGATTTTTGTCGTAACAAATTTTTGACAGTTAATTACTATACGAGATATGACACTAATGTTTTTATTTTATTTCTTTAAATGATGTATTTTTCTCACGTTTTTAGTAATAATAATGCTTTATGTAACATTAGAAATTGCGTATTTTTGTGAAATAAATATAAAACATTGATGAATTTCTTTTATGATATACACGTTTTTAATTCAAATTTAGATTTTTATGAAATAAACATATTGCGTCGTTATGTAACGATAGATTGTATACATCAGGTGTTGATTATTTTTTCAAATTAATATTTTTAATTTTAATGTACACGTTTTTTTCTTAATTAAACATATTTTAGCATAAAAATTATTTATTTTATTTTACAGTTATGGAGGCGATTAACGATGTTAAATAATAAAAAATTATCAGCAATTGAACGTCTTCATCAACAGTTACAATTTCATTCTGAAAAATCGCGAAAACAGTTTGAATTTCTATTCAGATTGGGTAAGAAATTTCTTAATATTTTAGAAAAAATTTGTTTTTCTTTCTCTATAGTAGTAGCTGTAAAAAAAACTAGTTTTTATTCGTAATTTGATTTATTTATAATTGTAAGAAAAATTTGTAGGTGGAAAAAGACAGAATGTTAAATGTAGTGGAAAAAGTGGAAAAAATGAACAAAATATACCACCAAAGCAAACACCACAATCAAATAAAGATGATTCAAGTGGATTTCGTATTGGATTTGGATTTCGTATAGGAGAAGCAGGAAAAGATGGTGCTAGAGGAGGAGGAGGAGGAGGAGGATCACGAGGAATGGGAGATGATGGTGAAAAAAAATGGCTTGCTTATGTATTAGGAGGATTTTTTGGTTGTGTTGCAGTGTTTTGGTGTTGGAATGTAAATTATCAAGAAATCACGTGGAAGGATTTTGTGAATAAGTATATAAATTAAAATTTTTTACGTTAATAATTTCGACAATTTGATATTACAAGGGAACAAAGAATTTTTAATTATTGAATCATTTTTTTTCAGTTATTTAAATAGAGGATCTGTAGAAAAATTAGAAGTTGTTAATAAAAAATGGGTACGCGTTCAACTCGCTCCTGGAGCGTCATCCGATGGCTCGGTAATATTTACTTTTTTTTTTTTTTTTTAAATTAAATTGTAGGTGAAATATTACAAATTTCTTTTCTTTGTAGACATTATGGTTTAATATCGGCAGTGCCGATACATTCGAGAGAAATTTGGAGAATGCACAACTTGAATTGAATACAGAACCACAGAATTATATCCCAGTTGTTTATAAAGCAGAAATTGAGTTAGCACAGGTTGTTGGATATTTACCATCACTCGTTCTTCTTGGTTGGTCAATTTATTTTATTTGTTTGCTTTGCAGTGAAAAAATAAAAATTATATTAATTTTTCTTTGTCTTCTACTTTTTGAAGTTTTAATTATTGTTTTATTTTAGCATTTTTAGTTTACGGTTTCAATCGTTCCGCTCAAATGATGGGAGGCAAAGGAGGTAAAGGAGGTGGACTTTTTGGTGGTGTTATGAATTCCAATGCTAAATTAATCAACAACAAAGACATTGAAGTTCGATTCAAGTAATTTTTACCACTTTTTTTTAAATTTAAAGATATTTATATTTAATCTTTCGATTTCATTTGATTTAATTTTTCTTTAGAGATGTTGCTGGCTGCGAGGAAGCAAAAATCGAAATTATGGAGTTTGTCAATTTTCTAAAAAATCCACAACAATATTTGGATCTTGGAGCTAAAATTCCCAAAGGAGCAATGTTAACTGGTAATTTGAAATTAACAATAAGAATCTTTTCATTTTAATAATTTTTAGGTAATCAAAATGTTTTTCTTTTTAAAAAAAAATTCTTTGCAACTTGAAATCTACAATTAAATTAAAAATTTGCAAAAAAAAACAACTGCTTTTAGGTCCTCCGGGAACTGGAAAAACGTTATTAGCAAAAGCGACAGCGGGCGAGGCAAATGTGCCTTTCATTACAGTTTCTGGTTCTGAATTTTTGGAAATGTTTGTCGGCGTTGGTCCATCGCGTGTCCGAGATATGTTTTCAATGGCTAGAAAAAATGCTCCCTGTATATTATTTATCGATGAAATTGATGCCGTTGGTAGAAAGCGTGGCGGAAAATCGTGGGGTGGACATTCGGAGCAAGAAAACACATTAAATCAACTTCTTGTTGAAATGGACGGTAATAAATTTGAGAAAAAATTTTTTTTTGTAATTTCGATTTTATAATAAATTAATTTCTATTTCAATTAAAATATTTCCTTAGGTTTCAATTCAACAACGAATGTGGTCGTTTTAGCCGCAACTAATCGAGTGGACGTTTTGGATAAAGCACTTTTAAGACCCGGTAGATTCGACAGACAAATTTTCATACCAGCCCCCGACATTAAGGGTCGTGCCTCAATTTTCAAAATACATTTAGGACCTATTAAAACAGCAATAGATAAAAATGAATTATCCCGAAAAATGGCGTCTCGCACGCCTGGTTTTACTGGTACGTGTTTTTTTTCTAACAAATTTTCAAAACAAATATTTTACTACTCTTGTTAAAAATACATCATTTTCTCTATATTGAACAAATTTAAAAAGCTTTTTTTGAGAATAAAAAATTTATTAATATTAAGTTTTCGGGAATTTTTTTCTACAGGTGCGGATATTGCAAATGTATGCAATGAGGCGGCATTAATAGCGGCTAGAGGTTTAAAGGCAAATGTTGAGTCTCAAGATTTTGAACAAGCCATTGAGAGAGTAATTGCAGGTATGGAAAAAAAATCACAGGTCTTACAACCGGATGAGAAAAAAACAGTGGCTTATCATGAGGCTGGTCATGCAGTTGCTGGTTGGTTTCTTGAGCATGCGGATCCTCTTATTAAGGTTTCAATTATTCCACGTGGAAAAGGTTTGGGCTATGCGCAATATTTACCACGCGAACAATATCTCTATTCAAAAGAACAATTATTTGATAAAATGTGTATGACACTCGGTGGTCGAGTTTCTGAGGAAATGTTCTTTAAACGAATAACGACCGGTGCACAGGACGATTTACAAAAAGTAAGCAAATTTTTATATCTATTTATCGTTTTGTTCTTTAAAAAAATGTTATAAAATAAAATTATTTACCGATTCAATGGAAAATTTATAAAGAAAAAATTGTTTATATGCAGATCACTAAAATGGCATATTCGCAAATAATTCATTATGGAATGAATGAAAAAATTGGAAATGTCAGTTTTGAAATGCCAGAGACAGGCTCGCCCTACACGGATAAACCTTATTCGGAAAATACTGCACAAATGATCGATCAAGAAGCACGAGCAATGATTGACAGTGCAAAGAAACGAACTCGTCAAGTTTTAGAAGATCACAAAAATGATGTCATTAAGGTAATCAAATATTACTTTTATTCAAAAATTTTCGTTTCATTAATTTAAAATGTCTAAATTAAATTATTTTTTTTAATTTCAGGTAGCCGAACGTTTATTGAAACAGGAAATTTTAAGTAGGGAAGACATGATTGAAACATTAGGACCGCGACCATTCAAAGAATTATCGACGTATGAAGAATTTGTCGAAGGTACTGGATCATTTGAGGAAGATACAACACTTCCAAAAGGTTTACAGGATTGGAATTTATCGAAGGAGGATAAAGAAAAAGTGGTAGAAGAATCGAAAAATGAAAGTAAAGAAAGTAAATTGGAAAAAGAAATAACACCACCGCCAAAATCACCGAAACAATCGAAAAAACAACCACAACCGTGATTTTAATTTTTATACCTCTCGAATATTTTGTCCTTATTGCATACACAATTTGTACTTTGTATAATAGTTAAATATCTATATATATATACAAATTATATATAAATATTATATATAGTTTAGAAATAATTTATCATTCGATTTGGCGCACTCTTTTCTTATATTTGTCAGTCATCACCTGTAATAATTTTCCTATCGCGATTTCGCCAATATAATATTTGTAAGCAGACATTTGAAAAAAAAATTTTCATTGTAAATTTAATCCCTATTAACTTTGTTTATTTGTTTTTTTTTGTTAAGCATTTTTTTTTAATAACAGATCTCAATTTATACGCGCCTGATTAATTGAACTACTTTTAATTGATTTAAAAAAAGGGATTTTTTTTACGTTTTAATAGTCTGTGTTTGTGTGACTTTTAAAAAGTGTCACAATATCAGCTGTCTGCTAAAACGATGTACAATAAAAAGAAACTGTCAATAAGTAATTTAATCGAAGTTTATTTCGATTTTTTTTTTATTAGAAAACAAAAAATTATTTAGTTCGCGCTATTATCATGAAATTGAATTATATCCTTAGAATTTTATAATTTCAGTATTTATTTGCCCATTTTTTTATAAATATATTTATATAAATAGGTAATTCATTTTTAATTTACTTAATTATAATTCTTTAATAATTTTTTTTAAATTAAAAATTACAGTAGTAAGCTATAAAATTGGTTATCCAACAAAACATAAAATGTTGGAGTTTATTGTCTGTTAAATTTGTGCTTGTGAAATTAAAAAAATAAAATATACAAAATTGTAATTTTGTAAATTTTTTGAATATGAGGATTATCTTTTTTAATAAATTTATTTTATTCCTTCAGAAGGTTTTTTAAAATTAAAAATTATAGTAAGCTGTAAAATTGGTTATTATAAAAAAAAAACAACTTGATTTTTGGGAAAAAAATGAATTTTGGCTTCAGAACATTTGTTTATTCTGCGCTACTGTCCCGTACACAGATACTCGTAATAAAATTGAAAAACACGTGTTAACTACGTGGTCGGGGTTATATATATATTTTTTTTAAATATAAATTTTGAGTTTGTTCCATTGTTCGTATTTTAAAGTGATATTTCACTCGCTGTGCAATAATTGAAAAAAAAGAAAACACCTTTGTTTCTTAATTTAATTCTTCTTCCACAAAAAACATTTTTATTAATTAATATAAAAAAATAAAATTTTGCAAATATTTTCAACATGTTGGCATTATATTTTCAAAATTCCATTATCCTATATAGAATGCCAAAAAGATTGACAATAAATGCAAAAAATATATTCAATTTTAAAAAATTAAATTTTTCTTCTAATCTATCAAATCAAATATAAAAAACTTTTTTTCTGTAAAATTTAGAAATTTGTCAATAATAAATTATTCTGTTTAATTATTTTTAAAAGAAAAATTTGAATTTATAAAAAATTTGTTTGAAGCGTGTGTACAAAAAATTGATTTACATAATTGGAAATTTTTTCTTTGTAAAATTAGATTTATATCTTATTTTTTAAAAAATTGTCACAATTTTATCGTGACGCTTCCAATTCCATTTCTACGCTTATTGATGAATTTCAAGTAATTTTTTTTATTTTTCTTTGAAAATGGAAAACGCATTTTTTTTCCTTTTGCAACTTCTACAAAACTATATTGATTTATTGATTAAATATATTATAGGTTTCAAAATTACCATAAACTTATGTAGTATACTAATCGCTAATGAAGTATTATACAATCACTAAATTATTGCTTTGTCGTACCTTGTGTATCACACTAATCTAAATTCTATGCACTTATTTATTTATATATATATGTATATGAGTTTTTTCAAAAAAAATTTTTGTAAAAGCATTTCGCTCCCGCGATTTATTTTCATTTTGTTTTTCTTTTTTAAAAATATTTTTCTTTCGCTTGAGATTAAAAAAAATTGTTTAGTCAGTTTGCTTTAAGTATTTTAATTATATAAAACAATTAAACTTATAGTTATATAATTAATTATAATTAATTATCTTTGAATAGATAAAATTGTAATTAATAATACCACAATATAATTATTTACTATAATAACAAGATAATAAATTATAATTAAATGTTAAAAAGAAAATCTTTGAATTATTATATTCTTTGAAAGTCAAATGAAATGTGATGGCGGGAACGTAAGCTTAAATAAATCTGCGTGTTTAAAAAATATAATAGTATCAATTGCCCATTTCAAGGTAAATACAATATAGCAGATCTAAAATTACATTTTGTCGCAAAACACCTTTTTTTAAAAATAAAAAATATCAGTTCTGCAAATTTGGAAAACTTTGCACGTGTAACTACTTTACAATTTTTCTCTTCATTTCTAATTAGTTCTTTTTTTTTAACTCTAAGTTCTAATATAATAGGGAAACAAATTCGTCGACAAAATGTATCACTAATATTATATATGAAATATAAAAAACTTCATTTTGAAAATTTTTTAAATTATTACAATTTCTGATTACAAAAAGTTTTTCCATTTCGAATATTCGAATAAAAGGACATTTCTTCTTCGATTTATAAGAAACCCCTAAAATTTGAATTTTCTTTCAACAAGTTAAGATTGAACTGGAAAAATTTTAAATTGGCTAAAATCGAATTTTAATTTTAATGTTTGCAAGAATTGCATTTTTTTTTTTGCTCGTTTCCAGAATCTAAAATAACACATAATCACTTATTCGTATCCAATTCAATTGTCTAAAGGCATCGCGATACACTGCATAAAAAACAATTTTTTATTTATTATTCTACACGCCGTCAGTCTCAGTTCACATTTTTTTTGTTTCATGATTTGTGAAAAATTCGAGGATTTTTCACCGCAGATTATTTCAGAATCAGGAAACGTTCCAAATTTATTAGTATTATTATTATTATTATTTTCTGCTATTGACTACAGTTATAAGGTTTTTGTATAATATATTTATATGTGTACTTATTCGATTGACTGTAGAGTATTGTTTTCTATAAATAATTTAAGGGCAAAATTGATTATTATTTATTGAGTCTAATACCAGTTTGCTGTCAGTCTGAATAACGACTGAAAAACTATAGACTCGATATTATACTTGATTTTATAAAAAGAAAATAATAAAATTATATTCACTAAAAAAAATTCTTCTCTACTTGTTTCGATTATTTTTTCCAAATATTTTAATTAGTAGAGAAGTGAAAATTTTTATTCTTGATAAATTGTTCAAAATCGTCGATGTATTAGGACGTTTTAAGGTATTTTAACTACATTTTAACAATTTTTTTAAATAAAAAAAATTAATTTTACAAAACAAATATTATTCATTGATAATAAATGCACTGTCTTCCTTTGACTATAGTAAACTCACGTATATCACTATATATTCTCACTATTTTTATTTAAATACCTTTGCCAAATATAACTGAAAAAATTAAAATTAAATTCATCTTGACTTAGTTTTGACTAGAAACGATGAGATAAATATATTTTTTTTAATAAAAGGAAATTATTTAAAATTATAATTTTCTTTTTAAAGAGGCAACAAATTATAATAGATTAAAATAATTATCAAAGCAAAATAAAAAAAGAAAGCAAAAATTATAAAATTAAATTAACGGCCTACAATGAAATTATTATTTTCAAATATATTGAATGAGGTAATTAATTATTATTTGAATGTCTAATGTTGAGCTATTTTTCAGGACACACGAAATGTCCCATTGACGTTATTTGGACAATCTTCATATTCAATGTAACGCCTACAAAACATTTCTATAGAAATTCTAAAAAAAAATCCAAATTTTGTGTATTCTTTGCTTTTTTTAAATTAATTTCTTTCGTGTATTTATTATAATTATATTATTGTAAGAATTAATTGTCAGGTAATTTTTTAAAACTAATTTTCGGAAATCTTTGATGTTTAAATATAGTTTAAGTTTTGAATTGAGAAATTATTTTCTACATTTAATTTTTGCATTTTGGAAAATGAAATAAAAATGAAAAAAATATAAGACGGTAAAATTTTGACAAAGAATTCACATAATTTGGTACATGATTGTTTAATCTATTTAATCCATTTACACTTGTATGTCATCTAATTTTATGCCTCGATTGATAAATATTTTTTAAATCTATGACTACCCTGCGAGGTTTGATGAAAAGCGTTTGAACATACTTCATTTTTTGCTTACTGACAATAATTTTAAAGTAAAAAAAAGAAAACAAATTTTTGTTAAATAACATTATAAATAACATTTTTAAAATCAACATAAAAATTATATTAAGAATTTGCAAATGTAACTAATTGGAAAAAATTGCCTGCATCGATTTATTATTACAAATAATACATTATTTTTCATTTTTTTATTATAATAAAAAAGTTGTACATCCCCTAAAATAAAAAAAATTTCAATAAAAGTTTAATTTTTTTTATATTTTCGAATTTTTTATACTCAAAGACAAAAAATATCTACAATTTTTGAAGTTTCATTATTTTTTTTTTTTTTTTGCTTTTTTTATATAAACATTCTAACATTAAATAGGGGATGTTATTTAAAAAATTTTTAATTAATTTTTTTCTTATTTGCAAGTAACTTTTTACAAATAGACAAGTAAGATATAAAAATAATATTTCGAATTTTTTTTCTTTAGAAAAAATTGAAATTTCAAATGCTCTACTAATACTACATATTAATATTATTATTATTAGTATTAGTATTATAGTATTATTATTATTATTATTATTATTTTTATTATTATTTAGGGACAGTCTACTTAAATTCATATATAAAGAATGGGATATGCATTTTTAGATATCTTAGTCGATATTAAAAATAATTTTCTCCATGCTATCCTTTTTCTAGAAATAAAGGAACGATTTTTTTTCCTTTCAAATCTTTCAATTTTTTTTTAAGTCCATGTTTAAATGGAATTGACGCTGTCAAAGTTTTGTGTCAAGTGACGACGGATTAAAAAAGATTTTTTATTTAGTGAAAATTCGATGTCTCGTTCTCGGCAAGAACCATTATTATATTTTGGCTCAAAAAGGTACTGGGTAATACTTGAGTATCGTTTTTTTCTTTTTTTGGTAGAAAATATAAATCTACACGAGGATAGGACGCAACTATTACCAAAAACATTTCCGGGCACAAAAATATTTTCAACAACATTTTTTTCTGAATTTTTTTTCTATTTTATAGGATTTTTTTTTCTTGTCCCATTTGCTCACTATATTTCATGTACTTAAAAATAATGAAAAAAAAATTGTTTCATTAGAAAAATGAATTTTTTCTACTCGTTTCTAAATAGAAAAAAAAATTGTTTGAAAAATGTTTTTGTGCCAATGATTTTCTCACAAGAAATTTTACAATCTTATCAAATACAATTTTATCCATGATGAGAATATTAATGTATAACGCTTAAAAATGATTTTTCTCGTTTTTTTTTGCCTTAAAATGTCTGTACTCGAGATCGTAAAATCGCGAGCGAGTTTAAAGTCACCATTTTTTTATGATCTTGTAGTACAGTTTTTTTTATGACAATAAAACTGCGTTACAATGTGAATTTCAATTTTTTTTTTCATTATAGAAAATAAAATGGAACAATTTTATGGCGAGTTTTAAAAACGGGGGTACAGAAAAAAAATAACGGAAATATAGAAAAAGAATATTACATGAGGTTCCTCTGTTAATGTGAATTTCCTTGATGAACATATAGATTGAACGAAATATAAAGTACGACACGCACTTTTGTATTTGCTTTCCTGGTCCTCGAACGTTTACGATAAATTTCCTTTTCTTTTTTTTTTTTTTGATCGTTGCTTATCTCTATTGAATTTTTCTTATGTGATTTATAGGATTTCCCATGTTTTGAATATTATAAATATTCGTCGATGGAAATCTATTGGTACAATTTCAACAGCATTTCATAGTCTGTAAAAAGTTAAAAACACTTTATTAAAAATGTTTTTTGAAACAATATTTTTCTTCTTTGAAAAAAAATTTAATTTACATGCAATTTAAAAAGATTTTAATTTTTTCAGATTTAAAACCAGATACAGTCAGACGAAACGCTGCTGTTATATTTTTCCTCATTTTGTTTTTTGTAAAAAATTTCCGCGGAAAGTCATCTCAGGACTTTTTAAAAAAATTCTATCTAATCAGGTTCAGAATTTAATTTCTCCACGGGATGCAAATTTTTTGTAGAAACTAAAAATAATATATAAAAAAAAACTGACCTTATAAATCGTTGTTTTACGTGGACGAAACTTCAATATCATCCAAATCACCATTTTCCTTTTGGCATGCGGACTCAAGATGTTTATTTAAATATGATTTTAGCGCAAATGATTTACGACATCGTGGGCATTCATAATTTTTATCAGCCGAATGCGTTTGCATGTGTGCACGTAAATTTGAACGATCGGCAAATGCCTTACCGCAATGAGCACAACCATATGGTTTTTCCCCAGTGTGACTACGCAAATGTCCCTGAAGTAACCATGGTCGGGAGAACATTTTCCCGCATACACCACAACTGTGTGTTAATTTGTGTGTTAATACATGCATTGCCAACGCTGGCATACTCACGTATGCCTTGCCACAATAAATACATTTTTTCGCTGATTGCGAATCAATACTTCGATGTGTTTGTTTGTGTCTTGATAAATTCGATGATGTCGCATATTGTTTGCCTGCAAAAAAAAAAGATTTTTCGAAATAAAAAAAAAAAATTAATTTTTGTATTAAATAATATCACTCACCGCATTCGCAGCAAATATAACGTCCACCCTTGGGCGATTCAAGACTGTCAACAGGTTCAGTCTCGACATCATCTTTTTGTTGTTGCTGTTGCTGTTGTTGTGAGGGTATCTTTTTATTTTTTGATCTACCATCAGCAACGAGTAAAGTATCATAGGTGTAGGCGGCAACTTTCACCTCCGATTGTTCGGTGATTGTTTGTACCTCCTTGTCACGTTGACTTGGTTGTGAATTTGGATTATTGTTCTCGATATCGCTACTGCATTCGGAAGTCGGTGGCGTTAATGGTGGAACCGTCTCAATTGTTTGCTGAGTGATAATTGACGTTGGCACCGATGGAGTGCTGTACGTGAATAAAATCTCCTGAACAGGTGATAGTGGTATAAAAACACCTCCGGATGTTTGTTGAATAATTGTTGCATTTGTTGCTGGCTCGTAAATAATTCCAGTTTGATGATGTTGAATTTGTTGCTGCTGATGATGATGATGATGATAAATACCAGTGTTTAAATCACTGGCAAGAATTGTGTTTACTTGATAGACAGGTTGCTCGGTAGGTTGATACACCTGTAATTTTATAAGAATTAATAAAATGTAATTTTTTAAAATTTATTTTTTTTTAATTTTTGTAAAAAATGATTTAAACATACCGTCATCTCCTGAACGTCAGTTGAGGGTGAATCAATGACATTTTGTGGACCAATTGCAACACTCGGCTGTGGCAATGGTGGCAATGATCTTGACAATTCCAATAAATCGTGAGCAGCTTCCGTCTCTGCTGCCGATCTATCTCTAAATAGGCCTGTAGCAATTTCTCCAGCCAATGATCTCTCTCTAAAAAATCCTCCATTAACTTCCGCTTCCGTTAATGATCGATCTCTAATTACTCCCAATTCCGTTTCAATTACTGATGATCTTTCTCTAATGACACCTGTTGAAAATTCCGTTTTATCAATAATTTTTTTCTCCACAATTTCCGATGATCTATTATTGACAAAGTGTTCCGTTTGATTTTGATAATCCTTCGAGATTATAACCGAGCGTGAAGAATCGAAACTCGATCGAAAACGTTCGGTGGAGGATGTTTTGTATGGTGAGAGAATTTCGAGTCGAGTATTGTAACCTTCAATTGAAGAAGAAGAAGAGGAAGAAGTAGATAAGGAAGATAATCTAAGAGAATCTTCATTGAATTTTGATAATTTGGTAAATTCTGGCCTGATTTCTTCGTAATTTTTTGATGATGTTGATGATAATGTCGGTTGTAGTACATTTCCAATGCAGGAAATAACAGTTGTTTTACCCGTTGTAATTTTTGGTGGATTACATTGATCGATGACATTTTCAATAACATCTTGTACTCTCTGGAAACGTTTTTTTGGCGATTTATCAATGGAATTTTCAATTCGTTCATCATTCGTTCTACATTCTTCTTGAATTTTTTGATGACGCCTTTTTGGTGATTTTTCCACAGAATCCTCAATTGCATCTTCCTTCACGTTCTGAATTCTCTGTAGTCGAATCGATGGAGATCTTTCATCGGAGGCTGTCAATTCATCTTTCTCCTCTGATAATGACGCTTCTGAAAATTCAAAGCAAAAAAATTCATTATCAATAGAAATTATCCAAAGTAAAAAAAGTGAGAATATTAACAATCTCTACTTTATTTACAGAGAAAAAAAATTTGTCAATTTAAAAAAATTATATTTTTAGAGGACTAAATTTTTTAAATAATTAAAAGTCTTTTTCTAAATCAATTTTTAATTTAAAAAAAAATTGAAAAACCTGTTGCAAAAACAGGATTAAAAAAATATGCAATTATCCAATATAATGAAAAATAATTTTTCTTTTTGTACAAAGCGTATAGCAGAAAATGGTTTGGTAAACTAGTTGAGAATTAAGCCGAGTACAGAAAAGGTATAGCCTTCACGGACTGCGGCATCGATTTTTCAGTAGCCCCTTGCCGTAAAGTTTTCAAATGAAATTTCGAACGACTCGAGCAACTTCCGTGTCTGCCTTCGCCAAACGGAAATGGGGCAAAATATTCAATAGTTGTTTATCACGAACTGACGAGATACAAAGGGATAACAATGATTCATAATATAAGACACGCGCATATATAATTGTGAATAATTATAATCACATTAATATATAAATATATATTTTCAAAATCTAATAAATCCATTTTGAAAACATTTTCTTTCATTTTATTTCAAAATTTTTTAATTAAATTTTTCTTTAAAGAGAAATATTATAGGAAATAAAAACTGTGTGTTATTGTTATTTTTAAATGCAAATCGTTAGAAAGAAATTAATTATAATTTCTATTTTCAAAGTAAATTTACGTATTTTATTCATTATAAAAGTAGATAGCAAGTTTTTAAATTACTTTGACGTCTACTTAACATATAGTCGAAGCTAATTCAAGATGAAGTCAATGTTCTAGTTTGACTTTAAAAAAAAGACTATAATTTATTTAAATCTATACCTATACTATATTTTCTTTAAAACTATTTTTATTTCGAACTTAAATATAACAATTGTAACACTTAATTATTATTCATTTTTTATTTCAACATTACAATTATTAAAAATATCATTTCTTGTCAGTTTTATAATTTCGTAGTACTTTTAAATTACTCTTAATTTTTAATAAAATATTACCAAATATAAATTACTGATTAAACTAATTTAGTAATATTTTTTAGTAAACTTTTTTACTAATTTTTAGTATAATATTAGTTATTTTAATATTACAATTGTTGAATATTATTAATAAAGATATGTGATAATTGTTATATTTTTCTCCTGTTTTTTCTTTAGCTTTACATAAATTATAAATGTGAGAATATTTTTTGGGGAAAATAAGACAGACATTGATTTTATCATCCCTTCTTTCTTTTTTTTAATACAATTTTCGAGGTGTCAAGTTGTTATGTAACTGATGTATAGGGTAAGAAAAACATGTCAGATTTATCAAGAAGATTAGGGGATTCTTTAGGTGTATAAACAATACGTGATCCTTAATAATGTATGATACATTTTATCATGATATACCCTCATTCATTTTTTTTTCCTAAGGGACATATTTTTTTCCCTACTGCTAATTTGAAAAATTGACTCCAATCTACTTGTACTTATTATTCGATTGATCCAAATAACTTTAGACAACAAATATAAATATATAATAATCTTATCTGTATACGACAAAAAATATTTTTATTAAATTGGATTATTATTTTTTTTATATTTTTCAAATATCTCCATTAGAAACAAAATAAATGAATTATTATTAACAAATTAAATAATACAAAAAAAATTAAATAATAAAAAATAAAAATAATTGAAAAAATGTCTTAGGAAAAATGTGACATACGAATAGCTATATACATATACTGCCAGAGCTTACAAGTGCTTCGCTACGCAACCAGACGAAATATTACGTAAGGATCGGGACAGTGACTAATACTTTAGAAATATATAACACTTAAATGTCAACTATATAACAAAAACTATTTTTTTAAACAATTTTTATATTATAATAAATTTAATAACAACAAAGTTAAAGGCATTTATTTGTCCGTACAAGCTCGCGTGCAAATATTATGTGCTTTACAATTTTCTCCATAGTCACTATACATGTATTTTCGACCGTTGATGAAGGATTTGGTGTGAAAATTGACGACTTAACAGTTTCAAGCTTTCAAAATTGCAAAAAACGGTAAAAATTGTTTGTCTAATAAAAATTAAATTTTTTGGGAATTTAGGAGATGCTTAAGGGTGGCAATAGAAATCTTCCTCTACTCGGATTTGGCTGTCGATTTTTTTCTACACTTTTAGGTGTATTTTGTGCAAGAAATTGCAATAAAATAGTCCGCCTAAGAAAAATTGAATTTTTTTGGGAACTTTTTTATTTTTTTGGATTTATGGGTTGGATGACTTTTTGGTGGTAATAGGTGTCTTCCTCTACTCGGATTTGGCTGTCGATTTTTTTCTACACTTTTAGGTGTATTTTGTGCAAGAAATTGCAATAAAATAGTCCGCCTAAGAAAAATTGAATTTTTTTGGGAACTTTTTTATTTTTTTGGATTTATGGGTTGGATGACTTTTTGGTGGTAATAGGTGTCTTCCTCTACTCGGATTTGGCTGTCGATTTTTTTCTACACTTTTAGGTGTATTTTGTGCAAGAAATTGCAATAAAATAGTCCGCCTAAGAAAAATTGAATTTTTTTGGGAACTTTTTTATTTTTTTGGATTTATGGGTTGGATGACTTTTTGGTGGTAATAGGTGTCTTCCTCTACTCGGATTTGGCTGTCGATTTTTTTCTACACTTTTAGGTGTATTTTGTGCAAGAAATTGCAATAAAATAGTCCGCCTAAGAAAAATTGAATTTTTTTGGGAACTTTTTTATTTTTTTGGATTTATGGGTTGGATGACTTTTTGGTGGTAATAGGTGTCTTCCTCTACTCGGATGTGGCTGTCGATTTTTTTCTACACTTTTAGGTGTATTTTGTGCAAGAAATTGCAATAAAATAGTCCGCCTAAGAAAAATTGAATTTTTTTGGGAACTTTTTTATTTTTTTGGATTTATGGGTTGGATGACTTTTTGGTGGTAATAGGTGTCTTCCTCTACTCGGATTTGGCTGTCGATTTTTTTCTACACTTTTAGGTGTATTTTGTGCAAGAAATTGCAATAAAATAGTCCGCCTAAGAAAAATTGAATTTTTTTGGGAACTTTTTTATTTTTTTGGATTTATGGGTTGGATGACTTTTTGGTGGTAATAGGTGTCTTCCTCTACTCGGATGTGGCTGTCGATTTTTTTCTACACTTTTAGGTGTATTTTGTGCAAGAAATTGCAATAAAATAGTCCGCCTAAGAAAAATTGAATTTTTTTGGGAACTTTTTTATTTTTTTGGATTTATGGGTTGGATGACTTTTTGGTGGTAATAGGTGTCTTCCTCTACTCGGATTTGGCTGTCGATTTTTTTCTACACTTTTAGGTGTATTTTGTGCAAGAAATTGCAATAAAATAGTCCGCCTAAGAAAAATTGAATTTTTTTGGGAACTTTTTTATTTTTTTGGATTTATGGGTTGGATGACTTTTTGGTGGTAATAGGTGTCTTCCTCTACTCGGATTTGGCTGTCGATTTTTTTCTACACTTTTAGGTGTATTTTGTGCAAGAAATTGCAATAAAATAGTCCGCCTAAGAAAAATTGAATTTTTTTGGGAACTTTTTTATTTTTTTGGATTTATGGGTTGGATGACTTTTTGGTGGTAATAGGTGTCTTCCTCTACTCGGATTTGGCTGTCGATTTTTTTCTACACTTTTAGGTGTATTTTGTGCAAGAAATTGCAATAAAATAGTCCGCCTAAGAAAAATTGAATTTTTTTGGGAACTTTTTTATTTTTTTGGATTTATGGGTTGGATGACTTTTTGGTGGTAATAGGTGTCTTCCTCTACTCGGATTTGGCTGTCGATTTTTTTCTACACTTTTAGGTGTATTTTGTGCAAGAAATTGCAATAAAATAGTCCGCCTAAAAAAAATTGAATTTTTTTGGGAACATTTTTATTTTTTTGGATTTATGGGTTGGATGACTTTTTGGTGGTAATAGGTGTCTTCCTCTACTCGGATTTGGCTGTCGATTTTTTTCTACACTTTTAGGTGTATTTTGTGCAAGAAATTGCAATAAAATAGTCCGCCTAAGAAAAATTTAATTTTTTTGGGCAGTTTTTTGTAGTCCTGGATGACTTTTTGGTGGTAAAAAAGGTCTTCCTCTACTCGGATTTGGGAGTCAATTTTTTTCTACACTTTTAGGTGTATTTTGTGCAAGAATATACAATAAAATCGTCTGCCTAAGAAAAATTTAATTTTTTTTGGGCAAATTTTGTAGTCCTGGATGACTTTTTGGTGGTTAAAAATGTCTTCCTCTACTCGGATTTGGGAGTCAATTTTTTTCTACACTTTTAGGTGTATTTTGTGCAAGAAATTGCAATAAAATAGTCCGCCTAAGAAAAATTGAATTTTTTTGGGAACTTTTTTATTTTTTTGGATTTATGGGTTGGATGACTTTTTGGTGGTAATAGGTGTCTTCCTCTACTCGGATTTGGCTGTCGATTTTTTTCTACACTTTTAGGTGTATTTTGTGCAAGAAATTGCAATAAAATAGTCCGCCTAAAAAAAATTGAATTTTTTTGGGAACTTTTTTATTTTTTTGGATTTATGGGTTGGATGACTTTTTGGTGGTAATAGGTGTCTTCCTCTACTCGGATTTGGCTGTCGATTTTTTTCTACACTTTTAGGTGTATTTTGTGCAAGAAATTGCAATAAAATAGTCCGCCTAAGAAAAATTGAATTTTTTTGGGAACTTTTTTATTTTTTTGGATTTATGGGTTGGATGACTTTTTGGTGGTAATAGGTGTCTTCCTCTACTCGGATGTGGCTGTCGATTTTTTTCTACACTTTTAGGTGTATTTTGTGCAAGAAATTGCAATAAAATAGTCCGCCTAAGAAAAATTGAATTTTTTTGGGAACTTTTTTATTTTTTTGGATTTATGGGTTGGATGACTTTTTGGTGGTA